CAACTTTTTCACCCTGCTCCAGGTCTGTCCACATGCTTTCATCTCCTCCTCGCATGACCTCCTCCAAGTCACCCTTGGACGACCAACTCGCCGCCTCCCTTTCGGGTTCCACTCGAGGGCTTGTCTAGTGATGTCACTTGATGGTTTCCTCAGCGTATGGCCAATCCATCTCCATTTCTTTCTGCCTATTTGTTTCACAATCGGTTCCTGATTGGTTCGCTCCCAGAGATCCCTGTTGCTGATCTTTTCTGGCCATCTGATCTTGAGTATTGAGCGGAGACAGTTGTTAATGAAGGTTTGAAGTTTGTTTGAGATGCTCTTTATGACTCGCCAAGTCTCTGATCCGTATAGTAGCACTGACTTCACATTGGAGTTGAAAATCCGGATCTTATTTTTGATGCTGAGTGCTGTTGACCTCCACACAGATTTGAGAGTAATGAAAGCTTGTCTTGCTTTTCCGATTCTGGCTTTGATGTCCTCGTCAGTTCCGCCTGTAGTTGAGACGATGCTTCCCAGGTAGGTGAAGGAGGTTGTTTCTTTCAGGTTCTTCCCATTTATGCTTATTGTGGTCTGTTGGTGTTGTTGATGTTGGCTAGGAATCTTCATCATCTCTGTTTTATCTATGTTCACGTGAAGTCCTATCTTTGATGCTTCTTCTGCCAACTTGTTACTTTTCACTTGCATATCTTCCAGTTTATGGGAAATCAGACATATATCATCGGCGAAATCCAGATCCTCCAAGTCTTTTGTGTCAGTCCATTTTATGCCTGTTCCCTCGTTGGTTGCCGTTGTCTGTCGCATTATCCAATCAATTGCAATCAGGAAGATCATTGGTGATAGTAGACAGCCTTGCCTCACTCCCGTCCTCACTTCGAAGGCTTCCGTAAGTTTCCCGTTGTGGATTACTTGGCATGCAGCATTGTCGTATAACTGTTGGATGAGGTGTATAATTGTCGATGGGACCCCGTAGTAGCGAAGTAGTTTCCAAATGACCTCTCGATCGACGCTGTCGAAGGCCTTTTCAAAGTCGATGAAGTTGAGATAGAGAGGTGACTGCCATTCCAAGCTTTGTTCAATGATGATCCGTAGAGTGGCGATTTGATCAATACATGATTTGTTTCTCCTGAATCCAGCCTGTTCCGGACGAAGTTTTTCATCTAGGGCTTGTTTGATTCTCTCCAGGATGATGCGACTTAGTATCTTGCTTGGAATGGACAGAAGCATAATTCCACGCCAGTTTTTACATTGACTTAAGTCTCCTTTCTTTGGAAGTTTGAATAAGTAACCTTTCTTCCAATCCTCGGGTACTTTGCCCTCTTTCCACACCTTCTCCAGTAGTGGTGTCATCAAGTCCGCTGTTGTCTCTGGGTCTATTTTCAAAGCCTCTGCTGGGATTCCATCTGGTCCCGGTGTTTTCCCAGTTTTAAGCATCTTGATTGCATTCAGGACTTCTGATTTCGTCGGGGGGTCAGTGTTCACTGGTAGTTCTGCTTCCGTTGTTGGTATTGCTGGACGTGTTGTAGGTGGCGGACGATTTAGAAGTCTTTTGAAGTGTTCAACCCAGTGCTTTCTCTGTTCCACCTCTTTGGTGATTGACTTTCCATTGTCGTCCTTTATTGGCTTAATCTGTGTCGAACGTTTGCCCGAAAGGTTCCTAGTTGTTTGGTAGAGTGTGGCGAGGTCTCCTTTGCCTGCAGCTTGTTCTGCTTCGTTTGCCATGGTTTCATAATATTTTCTTTTGTCTTCCCTGGCACTTTTCTTCACTCTTTTGTTCAGTGTATTGTAGCTTGCATTCAGCTCCTGTTTTTGTTGCTCGTCGTGCACTGGATAATCTTTTGCTTCACTGTCCTTCTCTCTTCTATTAGTTTCCAAGTGTCCGTAGTGAGCCACTGTTTGTCCTGTCTCTTTTTTCTGCCTAGAATTTCTATGCAGGTTTGGCTCCACACCGTTTTCAAGTTGTTCCAGTGCTTTTCAACGCCGACCTCTTCGCTAGTGTTGATTTGTGTCTCGGCTTTGTCCTTTATGCTTGCAATGAAGATGTCCTTTGTAGCCTGGTCCTTCAGCTTTTGAGTGTTGAACTTGGCTTGTGGTCTATCTGCAGCTCCTGATTCCCTGAAAGCTTTTAATTTGATTTGGATTGTCCCTTGTACGAGATAGTGGTCTGAGCCAACGTCTGCTCCTCTTCTTGCTTTTGTGTCCAGTAGGCTGCGCCTCCACTTCCTTGAGATTGAGATGAAGTCGATTTGGTTTTTGGTTTGCCCGTCTGGTGACACCCATGTAGCCTTGTGGATATCTTTGTGCTTGTATACACTGCCACCAATCACCAGTTCGTTGAAGGCGCAGAAGTCGGCGAAGAGTTCTCCGTTTTCATTCATTTCTCCTAGAGCTTCTCTACCCATGATGAGTTCCCTTCCCGTATTGTCTGGTCCCAGTTTGGCGTTCATGTCTCCCATTAGTATTTTCATGTCGCCAGCTGGAGTATTGTCCATTGTTGCCTGTAGTTGCCTGTAGAATTCTTCTTTCTTCTCGAGGTCTGCGTTGTTTGTGGGTGCATAACATTGTATGATTGACACTTTCCTTCCTTTGGAGTTGAACCTGGCGGTCATTATCCTGGACGAAATCGCCTCCCATTGTATCAGGGCTTTCGTTGCCGTTGGTGACATCATGATAGCCACGCCCTCGGTGTGCGTGTGGTTATCTTCTGGGTGACCGGAGTAGATCACTGACTCACCTGTTGACAATTTGGTGAGTCCACTCCCATTCCATCTGCTCTCACATATTCCCAGCACTTGTATTCCGTATCTTTTCATCTCGTTGGCGATCTGGGCAGCTTTCCAGTCTCGTACATAGTTCGGACGTTCCATGTTCCTACACAGACTTTTTCTTTTGGTGCAAGGAGGTTCAACATACTGAAGTTTCTTTAGCAATTTTTGTTTACAGGGTGGGGTTGCTAGCCTCACGCCTGAGAAAAGAATGATTACATTAAGTAAAAGTTTAGAGAGAAGCAACTTTTTGGGTTGCTCCCCTCAAAATCAGAAAATAACGGACAAACAATGAGAACAACATCAACAAAGGAAACAGTTCACAGAAAAAAGGGCAAAAAGCGACGACAACTATACAATAAGACAACATGCAATATAGTTCAGTACATTTAACTAAAATGATATCTTAACCATAAACTCACTGACTTGGAGCAACTTGAACATATAAATCCAACAATGTAGACAATCTAAAATTTGATATTATATCATACTTGATCGTGCCCATAAAAATGACATGCGTTCTCATGTAATTTTATTTGTTTATATGAAAATATACAGTATCATTTGTTACGGCAAGCTGTGTATACAATAGATATGCATTTGTAGTGGCTATCGACTTTTGGTTCACTGCCTAAACGTAGGCGTGTAGGTGAAGCCAAGAGTCCGTTACAGGAACTTCAGGGGCACAGTTGAATGTTTGGGGAAGGCTTTGTGCGCACCGCGGCATCTTTTAGGCAAACTGGAACTCACTGTCCCACCTCTTCCGATGTGCCCGAGGAAAATACTGGGTTGGCGGGGAGGAGTCCAAATGAGATGTATCACCAATGACATGTATTTAAGTAAGAATGGAATGAGTGACTGTTAGTATTAAGTACTTCGTCACATATACTCAGTCTTCGTGGGGATGGTCGCAGGTGCTTTGTGACGGTGGCCTTGAGGTATTATGCTCTCCAACTACTCACGTGGTTCGACGTTCTATCCTCGACCATCTTTGCACCCCTTAACCTCGCTTAGTTGATTATATGCTCAACAAAGGGGGAAGGTTACCGTGAGACTAGCATCCCGAACCCGATATAAGGATAACTCTGAAGGATGAAATAATAAATAATACAAGCAGAAGATTACCAAAAATAGGGGTCTTTACCTTAAGATCAAGAAAGGATTACATGGAAAACAATTCAACTTTTAGTAGCTTGTAAAAAGCACATTGGATATTTGGCCGTTTACTTTTGCAACATTGCTCAAGGCAGAAAAGGCGCGCTATGGTTAAAAATTTCGCATGTAACGTTAGTTCGTTGGCATTTTCATTCATTGAGGTCGTTTACTTGTTATTTTTCGCATACATTTATGAAGTATACTTATATTAATCTTGCTGTACACAAGGCGTGGGTTGCTTACTAATACACATGACATGAAGCATATTTACGGACCGAGTAACGCTGTCACTCCCTAGTAGGTGTTATTTTAAGTCCTTCCTGAATGTAAATCTGACTTCCAAAGAAAAGATAGATATATATGGGCTTCTCTAGAGCTTTAAATGAAGTCGGATGTAATATAGAGCCACTACATAGTGGCTTACTATAATGCTGAATTAAATCCTACAAATTCTGGAATAGTTCTGAGCAAATTATAAATCTGTTCCGAAATGATTTATTTAATGTCACAGACTAGGACTCTGCTGGTTTGCAGCATGACTGGCACTTATTCAGCACCGTGTTATTTTTCTAGGCATTTTCAGGAGTAGATCAGAAGCATCTGGTTTCGCTTATCAGCGTTGTTCCAGCCCTCACAGGACATATTAAGCACGAACTAGCATTACTTCGGGACAAAAAGACTTAGTTCAGCACCCAGCTCTCTTTTTATGCACAACCAGCGTCATATCAGAACATAGCATATAGATGAAATCTTTATTTACCTTTTAACGGCATTATCGAAGAACAGGTTAGAATGTTTAGAATTGATGTAAGCTGTAATACTATCAAGAAGTATGCTTCTTGATAGTGAGGGATGTGTGAATAAGAAGTGGAGGAAATTAGTTGTTACCAGTTTGACTGCATTTTAGATTCAAAATTGGTGGGAGGTTTGTGCAGAACTTTCCTTATAAGTTAGACTTCTTTCCTGATGCACTGTGTCCTGTTATTTTCAAGTTATTGGTCTTATTGGCTGCATAATCCATTATTTAATGACCTGTACTCATGGTATACATGTAAAAATTTTAGTTGGATGTTGTTCCTTCCTAGTTTACAAACTCATTCGATGCATGTTTTTATGCTGAAAAATCGGAACAGGGTCTTATATTGTAGTTTTCTGCATCTTGACAACTTCCTTCTGCAGTTCCTAAACTGTCACACTGTTTTCAAATCCTTTCATTCCCTCCCCTCAAAATAAGCAATAACTTTTGGTCATTAGGCGTAAATAGATTGTAAAATAAGTTTACCCCACACACTACTGCACAATTTTAATGAAAATTAATCAAATTATTTGCGTGTATTTACTACAGATAAAATGTAGATAGTATGGAGGTACAAAGTACAAATCTTGACACATATCAGGCTAGAGGTACTGATGTTTATACTTCTTTGGAGACGGTTGTTCTTATATCTAAGTAAAATGCCAACTTAACCTTTTACTACTGAGTGATGAGTTCATATATCTCATCGAATATTCACGAGGAAATTTTGGGGGACATTAGTGTAGACAAGTTTTCTAGTCCTTAACTGAATCTGATGTAAAACAAAGTGTCTCATTTTCCTTGAATGCCGCCGTATTCTTGATCTTCATAGAGCTTTCCAATAGAATTTTGGATAACGGTTTAATTCCATGCATGATCTAATAAATTCAATAAATACATTTGCTTCGTGGTCCTAGGTCATACGCCATGTGACTGTCAATTTAAAAGTTCAATACAGTTGAGTCTTATTTCCAACAATCATAAAACTTTAGACTTGTTTTATAATACGTAGCGAATACAATGAATTAATTTTATTAGATTTTTGAAGAAATGGTGAAGTGTTCTGGATGCAGTAAAACAGCGTCAAAATCTCTCCATAAAATCTAACACTTCAACCTTATTGGGATAAACAAAAGCGTTCTAAGTAAGCAATAAGTAATGAAACCCTTAAGCTGTAGAAAGAAACTTGTTATTGTGAGTATATTTCATGTATATCACCTAATATCCTTCAAACAGTGACTTAAATTTTTTGAATATTTCACGTAGGAGGTCAGCTAACTAGTTGAAATATAAGTGAACAGTCCTGCAGTTCCATTTACCACAGTGAATGGACACAAGAAAGGAAAGTGGATACCGTGATAAGCAAGAACAGGTAGTGGAAAATAATTTAGCGGAAATTTGTAGAAACAAGTGGAAATACTTAGGATTTCAAAGATGATAATAAATACAATTGAATGATTTTTCTATTGCTTTTTAGATTACTTAACGTCCGGAACAAGCAACCTGATTGTTTATAATTAAGTGAGGTGTATAGCCAGAGATTTTGTGATTTACTGTGGTGTTTCGGTCTGACTACAATCCCCCTTCTCTTCTGTCTATCTTTGTCTTTGACAGGATTACTTCAAATAGCTTAAAATGCTACCCTAGTAGACTCCGATAGTCACCTGCACGGTTAGGATTTAAGACTAAAGTAAAATGACCCATGTTTGTTAGTAAACTTATGATTGGTTCTTCTTCGGGTACCTGGAACAGAAAGAGGGTTAGTGTTGGGTGACCGCAGAGCCCACAGGACAACTGCTTGAGGCCGGTCACACATGGCCTGTATGAACTAGTTTCTTGTATTGGTTCCGTATTAGTAAATTTATTGCCCGTTACAGACCACCGTAGGCGGGGTACGTCGGGGTGTACAACTGTCGGGGTCGACCTTTTCTAACCGCCTCCCTCCTGAGTGGAGAGACACCATAGATGGCATTCTGGTCACCTGAGAGAAAGACCTTACTGCTGTTACATCTCCGTTCCCCGACAGTACGACTTAACCCAGAGCCCCCCCCAGCATAGTGTAAAAACAAAATTCTTACACTATTCCGGTAACTGCTTTTAGTTTAATCACTATCCTAACAACCTTCCTGGCATGGTAAGACCTGCAGGAACAATAGTTCCAGCCAGTGTAGCTTGCTGGGTCATTGCGATATGCAAGCCCGGTGACCACGACGTCAATGTAGCAGCTATTGGTCGGGATTGGTAAACATAAGCGAAAAAGAGTTTTCTGAACGTTTCGCTGTGTAGGCCAAAGCTTCTTCAGCAGATTTATTCGTTTTTTATTAATCATCAAAATATATAGTCAAAGTTTCACATAAATTTATTTATAGGTCACTTGTTGATAGACATTTCTACCAATAGGAATATGTAAGCAGTCATCACATGTATTTGTAATGACTAATGTCAAATTGTTATTGGTTTGTAAGAATTCCTTTTTTATGAGCGTGTGTGAGTGTATGTTATTTGTTATTATATGGAAAAGAGGGCAGCTCAAATGTGATAAACGTGATAATACATTTTTAAAGGCCATGGAAGCTCATAGAGGGTTTTGTTGTATTTTGATCTGTCTTGCTTCATTAGAGTTTGCCATATAGGTGATAAGTCTATTCCTTCTTTCCTATTTTTAATGCATTCATTGTGGTTAAAATGTGCAAGGCTTCAGAGGTCAACCTTTCTTGACGTGTTGAATGAAATCCCCTTTCTAGAATTTCGACATTTTCGAAATCAATTTTATATCCGCTATCCATAGATAGCACGCATTGCTACAGCTGGTCTTTTTTCTAGACTTTTTAATTCTACTTCATTTCCAGGTGGGCGTTTTGTGCATAGTTTATGTTCATTCACTCTGACCTTCATCCGTTTACTGCTCTTCCCTATATAGCATGCACTTTATTCTGAACACTATCTTGTAGACATAATCACTTCGTGACATTTTGGGAACCATTTCCTTGACATTCACCAAAGCTTTCTCTAGAGAATTAGAGAGCTTGAAATAGACTTTAATAGTATATGAAGCAAATAGTCTTTGAGATTGTTCAGCAGTGTCCTTTCGATATAGAATGGCTGTCGTCGGTCGATAGCCAAGATTTTTCAATTTTGTGTTTTCCCTTCTCCTTTTTTATTGATAATATTATCTAGTAGCTTTTCAGGATAACTATTTCCAATAAAAACCTTTTTTTATATTGGATATCTCGTTCTCCATATCGTCATTATCTGTTATAATGTTTCTAGCTCTGTTATAACGAGATTCAAAGCTACATTCCTTTACTGGATGATCTGATTGAAAATTCAAATACCTGCTGTAGTGTGTCGGCTTTTATTTATTTATTTATTTAAACGCATAAAAACTTGGTGCAATATGGCACCAAGAAGGATGCGCCACACAATGATAATAAAGCAACATAGATCAAAAGAAAAAAAAGAAGAGAAAAATACAAATATAAGCAGAGAACGGATAAAGAACTTCATATGGAAGGAAAACAGTCGTGCTTAACAAGTTCAAACAGTATTCGTTAACTATCATCGGGAAGGGAAGAAAGAAGGAAATTGCAACACGTGTAATAGCACGCAATAAGTTTCATTGATTGTTTGTTGCTTTATTCAATTCATTATGTGAGGGCTGTGATACTTCCCGGGCGGCCAGACCGAAGCAGGTGGTTTTATATTAAGGGACCACGTCCCCCGAGCCTTTGACTTGGAGTCTAATCCGCAAGGCAGCGGAGCAGCGTCAGGAGCTGCATTCGCATGGCTGCCGGTGACCCACATGGGTTCATACGCCATTTGATCCGATTGGATACTGGAGCCCATGTACCCCATGGTGGTAACTGCTTTTAGTTTAACCGCTATCCAAACAACCCTCCTGACATAGTAGGACCTGCAGGCACAGAGTCCCAGTCAGTTTAGCCTGTTGGGTCATTACGGTCATTACCACCACCACGACAAGGTAGCAGTTATCGGCTTTCTGTATATGGTAAACTTTAGTTTCTCGTCAGTTTGTCTTTTTACAAGACAATCAAGAAAGCTTATTATCTACTGTGATATTTAAAAGCAATTTTTATTTACTTTGATGACTACAGCTCATGTGAACCACCTTTCTTCTTCTTTTTCTTCCCTTCTTTTTGTATTCGAATCCCAGACAACACATAGTTGATTAATTCTGTTAAAAAGGAATCAAAAATGTCACCAATTCTCTTGCTTACCCATCCTAGTCATGTTATCCTCCCGTCAGATGAAGCAGCAACTCGATCAGTCATGTGTTATCTAACCAGAAGTGGATTACCCTATCGTGTTGATCGTATAATGAATGCTGATTCCTGTTCACCGGATCATCTACTCCCTGTTACAATAGTCAATGGTTTTATTGAAACTGGTTACACCTCATTGTGTTTACGATTGAAAACTTTAAAAGCGAATAAAAGTCTGGATTTTGATATGATGAGATTATCCTCAAGAAATTTAAAACATACTTATATATTTTGGATATCTGATCTATTACGTAATATTATGCTTTATTTCACATGGTTGCACGAGACAACCTATAATAATTTCACTTATAAACGTTTAGAAGCAAGTACACGATGTCTACTTATTACTCAATTTATTGCTAGACGTAAACGAAAACAGCACACTGACTTTCTTAAATCGATTAATTGGGATAAACGAAGTATAGGAGATATTTCAAAAGATATGGAAGCACTTTGTGTCAGTGTTGTTGAACTACTTGGCAGTGGGCCATTCTTATTTGAAAGTGATTCACCTGGTAAAGCTGATGCTCTTCTCTATGGTTATTGGACTGTGTTCTATGAATTTTCAGAATACTTTAATGCTTTAAAGCCTATTATGGATAAATATTCTACGATTAGTGATCTTGTTCAACGGATTGCTGAACAGTGTAACCAGCCTGTAATTGTATTTAAATAGTTAATATTTTTTAAAATTTAGACGTGTGTTAGATTTATGAAATTTTCTCTTTTTTTAGTTAGACATCATATTAATTCATTCAACGAATATGCATTCATATACACACATATATATATATATATCCATGTACACAGAAAAGAGGCTTCAAAATATATACTTTACATTCCGAGTATTACTTCTTTTGCTTTAATTTTTATTTTTTAATTTGTAATGAGAACTACTTTTATCATTATTTATATTAAACATAAACGTGGCAATATTATGGCTGTCAAGAGATATGCGACAGCTGGGAGTATGTTTGATCACCTAGAGAGAAGCAGGTGATTGTTTTAAGAGGCCATCTCCGATGCCTCTGGCTTAAAGTTTGGCTTGGAAGGCGATCGAGCGGCGTCAAGTCTGTCCGTCTGTCTGTCTGTTATCGAAATAGAACTTTGCACCGATGTGCAGCAGTTCAAGTCGCCACACTCCATGTAGCACACAAATCAAGAGAAGAAAGTAGAAGAAATCCACAATAGAGACAGTAAACAGGGATATAAGACAAAAGGAATAGTAATAAGGAAGAACATTATAGTTTTATTGAGTTGATGCATCTACGCCATTGACAATGGTTTTAAGTCATATTACCAATTGTTTCCAACCATTGGTTTTTACCGTCCCGAGGACCCCAATCAATCAGGAAGTCTAGACCTTCCTACATGAGTGACTTAAACTAACTGTTGTGGATTTCATTAAATGATGAAGCAATGCTTTGGTTTGACCACCACTGGCTAACTCTTTTCCAGCCTGATCCTATATCAGTTAACATTGCCTATTGTCGAGGAATGCGATGGCTAGGCATGCGTAACACATGTCCGAACCATCTCAGTCGATGTAGCTTCACAGCCTCGTCTATTGATTTCCCCTCCTTACCTACCACTCGACCGATGCCTCACCTGAATATTGCTCACCCTATTATACCACTACACACGGGCGATAAAATGCAGGCACCTATGATAAAGGTAAGTAATGTTGACGTTAGGCGTAGAGTGTTGGGCAAACAGGGAAAATCATTCGACGAGGCTATAAAGTTACGTAGATTGAGATGGCTAGGTCACGTGCTGCGCATGTCTAACCATCGCCTCCCCCGATGGGCATTACTAGCTGATATAGGTGGTGCAGGTTGGAAAAGAGTAAGTGGCGGCCAAACAAAAACATGGCATCAATCCATGAAGTCCTTGACAGTTAAACTGAGTCAGGTAGGGCTTGGGACTCTAAGAATCAATGGCTGGAGACAAAAGGTGGCATGGCTCAAAATCGTTGTCAATGGCCAGCGCAGATGTATTCAATCTCTGCAATCTTTCATATTCCTTTCTACCATTACCCATTCTGTTTCACTCTTATACTTGTCAGACTGTGTTGATTCTCTTCACTCATCTTCTTGTCTACCTTTGTGTGCTATTTGGAACGTGGCAACTCGGATTGCTGCACTTCGGTACCAAGTTCTATTGTTGAATCCAGACAGACAGCTTCCCCCCACCCCCATGTTAAGTGGTATAATATGGTGAGTTAAATGGAGGTTAGGCAGGTGTATAGTGTTAGATGAAGAGTTCAAGTCGATCGACGACGTTGCGAAGGTCAATCAATTGAGATTATTTAGTTAGATGTTGTGCATGCCGAAGCATTGCCTTCCTCCGTGGGCAATGTGTTAAGCAATATTGGATTAAGAAGGTTGGAAGAAAGTTGAGAGGGTCCGAACCAGAAGAAAACGTGGCATCAATCCATGAAATATTTGACAGTTGGTTTGAGTCATGTAGAAGTGGGTATATACTACCTGGTTAAAAATCTCAGGATGTGAAGGACCAATGTCTGGAGACAAGTGGACGGGGGTGGCATGGCTCAAAATCGTACTCAGTGGTGCAGATCCATTCACTCTTTCTAATCTCTCAGATCCACTGAAGACTCATGTTACTGCATGTTGCTATTTCTGCTTATTGTAGCTATTTTGAGTCTCGTTTATCTACTTTTGTGTAGTGTGTGTGTGTGTGATAACTTGAACCGCTGCACTTCTGTGCATAGTTCAGTCAGTCAGTTTTACAGTATTCATGTGTCTGCGGCTGTAGAGTCTTCATAAAATAAAAATAATTTGTTATCCCTTATTTTTTTTCTATCATCCAATTATATCTGCTTATTTCTTTTTATAGCAATATGGGCGTTGATTTCACCTATTCTCTAGTTGAAACTCGTCAACTGGCAAAAACTAAAGTTGTTGCTTGTGTATGGTCACCAAGGACTGATTTAATTGCTTTAGGCTCATCCAATGGATGCATTTCAGTGCATAGGTAAGTAGTGATTTCTTGTTCGTTTTTCACTTTTATAAAGTTAACGAATATTTTTTTGATAGAAGTGACTATCAGATTTTTTTTAATTTCTTATTTACAGCTTGATTCCACACTGTATTTTTGGTACAAGTATGGAATTTTCAGCATGGATATCGGTAGCCCAAATTTTGCAGGCCGACCATAGATATCAGATGTGCGTCGGTGCGGGTTCGAACCCCGGACCATGTGCATGGTCGGCGAGAGTCCTAACCACTGTGCCACCGACGCACGATATGTTCAATATTCAGTTTTATCATAGATTCTGTACCAATGGAAGTAACACGAACTGCTGACTTCAGAGACTAAAGGATTGACTTATCACCACTAGGGAATAATCTCGTTGACTTAGAATATGCAGCTGAAAAAATGCAGTCTTCTGAACACCTTGAACTGCAATCTACGAATGTTTGGCATGCGATTCGCTCCCGCCAAATGTAAGATAATGTTATAGGATTGGACTACACTGACTCCTAGCTTAGAAATATTCAGTTAAGTGGTTAGTGGAGCGTGTTGATCACTTCACTTATTTCGGAATTGGCGTCAGTCAGTGCCAGCAGTTTGGTCGCTGACGAAGTCTCAGCACGGATGCAGAAGGCTCGTTTTGCATATGCCAACCAACTTACGCAGTCTCTAGCTTAGTAGACGTGATATCCGGCTGGCTGGCTGGCTGTCAACCAAAGGGCGTGCGTACTGCTCATCAGTCCTCTCTATCTTCCTTTATGGGTGTGAGACCTGGTCATTGAGAGTAACGGACGTGAAAAGTCTAGTTGCGTTTGATCATAAGTGCCTGCTTTCTATCTCCGAGTTGCCACGTTCCAAATAGCACACAGAGGTAGACAAGAAGATGAGTGAAGAGAATTAATAGAGTTTGACAAATATAAGAGTGAAACAGAATGGGAATGGTAGAAAGGAATATGAAAGATACAGAGATTGAATACATCTGCGCTGGCCATTGACAACGATTTTGAGCCATGTCACCTATTGTCTCCAGCCATTGATTCCTAGAGTCCCGAGGGCCCCAACCCGGGAGTCTGCATCTCCCTACCTGACTGACTCAGTTTAACTGTCAAGGATTTCATGGATTGATGAGGCCATGTTTTTGTTTGGCCACCACTGGCTCTTTTCCAACATGAACCTATATCAGCTAACAATGCCCGTCGGGGTAGGCGGTGGTTAGGCATGCGCAGCACGTGACCTAGCCATCTTAGTCTATGTAACTTTATAACCTCGTCCTTATGTGATGAGTGGAGTGTGGTGACTCGAACTGCTGCACCGATGTACAGCATTCTATGTTGAAAACAGTCAATCAGTCAGATAGAAGTAACTATTCATATTTTTAGATGTTATTTTTTGTAAGGATTTCAACTAATTTCAATCTAAATATCGACCTCCAGCTCACTAATGGCTACTGTTGGCTGTCGTGAAACTGTACCGAGAAGCCCTTGTCACTTAGTCCATTATGTTAAGGTGAAAGATACGAAAAGGGTAGCTAGCTGTCCTGATCATACGTGTCTCCGTTCTATCTCCCGTGTTAAGTGGTGTAATAAGGTGAGCAATATTGAGATTACACATCGGTAGAATGCTAAATAAGCAGGAGAAATCGATCGACACGGTTGTGAAGTTACATGGATTGGGATGGTTAGGACATGTGTTACGCATGCCTAACCATCGCCTTACTCGATTGGATTAGAGTCACCTAGTGGTGATCAAACGAAAAAAATGGCTTCATCACACTCAGTGAAATCCATAAGACTTAGTTTGAGCCAATCAGTGTCGTAGGGAGGTGTAGACTTGTTGACTGGTTGTGGTGTCCTCAAGATGCTAAGAACCAACCAACTAATGAAGGTTGAGGAGAATTGGTGATATAGCTGAAAGTCGTTGTCAGTGGATAGCGCAGATGCATGCGTCCATTCACTCTTTGTGATTTGTCCTATCCCAAAACAACTCTGTTGTTCTTCCATGTTACCCTTCCTATTTTCCATACTCACACTTTTGTTTATTATCTATCTTTTTATCTTTTTAAACGCTCCTTACTTTCTTCTCTTGCTTTATGTGCTACATAGCAGGAATGTAGCAACTAGAACTGCTGCACTTCTTACTTACTTTTACTTTACTTCGGCTATCTCCTACGGGAGGATGAGCCGGCTTCATGAACGTCTCGAATCATCGCTGCCCAGGCGCGGCAATTTGTAAGAGAGTTCATGAAGTTTCATGGGAATTTGGTACGAGTGATGTCCCCACCATCGCTCGGCCTTTTGTTTGAGAGTGCAGCTCTAGCCTTTACACAGCCAAGTGCGACCTACAAGGCAGTAGGAGTGGAGTAAGGAGTCCACTATCCATTGGCAGCCGGTGACCGGAGTTCGGTTCATACGCCTTTTTGAATGGGGCCAGACATCCAGGACATCCAACAAGCCATTTGTCCATACGTCTGCCGGTGAGCTCCAGTGAGCTTCATACGCCAGTCGTTGGAGGTTTGGAATCAGGGTTTAGCCATCTCCCCTAGACCGTCATCCAATGGACAGTCAACCCGGTGGAGAGCGCCGGGTATCCGCTTTTGCCCTCTCACTTTGGTGAGAAACACCTCCGCCACGTGAAGGCAGTGAGTAGGACTTCCTCAGGAGAGGCTATGTAAGACGCCCGGTCATATGGGAGCATTTCAAGAGGTGTGCGGAGGGGTGGCCAACCCGCAGCGCAAGGCACCCACCCCCGACCATCCTGAGGCTTTGGAGGCTGCACTTCTGTTCCAAGGTCTCTGTTGAAACTAGTCAGTCAGTCAGTTAGTCAGTGGTTTCCAATAGTTCTCTGTTTACGTCAAACTCGTTGACTATTGAGACTGGAATCCAATGCCCCATCGAATTCTAACTTTGTTAATTTTGGATTTAAGCATAACCGCCACTCGATATTATTGTTCTCACAACCGACCTGGCGGGATCCACTGGTCAGTACTTCTCACTATACAACTGTGAGCACTAGTGAACATCGGAATTAATTTTCACTACTTAGTTTGTCATGGGGTTTGATTCATACATTCTGCAACGGTAATGTAAGCTAGATTATTATTATTCTCACAGTGTCCTATTATTTCTTTTGGGCCACCTCAATGTGTGTTTATAAATTCACCTGTTCGTGTGGAGCTAGTTATGTCGACCGCACAAAGCACACGCTTTCCAAGCACATCTCTGAACATTATCCGGCATGGTTAGGAAAGGGACAATGTAAGACTGTTACTAGGTCAATTCTCGAGCACTTCACTTTGTGAACTCAGGCCATGTGGCTCCACCAGAGTCGTCTTTCAAGATTATCTACAAAGTGAAGCCGAATGGTACAAAGGGCGTCAGGTTTTGGGCTTTTGTGTACGGCGGAGGCGCTGGCAATTCACCAATACAATCCTGAACTCTGTATACAGAAAAAGTTTGTCCAGTCTCTTATTCTACCTTGGTCTTAACCTCTTGCCTCCAAAGCCTCAGGATGGTCGGGGGTGGGTGTCTTGCGCTGTGGGTTGGCCACCCCTCCGTACACCTCTTGAAATGCTCCCATATGACCGGGCGTCCTACATAGCCTCTCCTGAGGAAGTCCTACTCACTGCCTTCACGTGGCGGAGGTGTTTCTCACCAAAGTGAAAGGGCAAAAGCGGATGCCCGGCGCTCTTCACCGGGTTGACTGTCCATTGGATGACAGTCTAGGGGAGATGGCCAAACCCTGATTCCAAACCTCCAACGACTGGCGTATGAAGCTCACCGGCAGATGTATGGACAAAGGGCTTATTGGATGCCCTGGATGTCTGGCCCCATTCAAAAAGGCGAATGAACCGGACTCCGGTCATCGGCTTCCAATGGATAATGGACTCCCTACTCCACTCCTACTGCCTTGTAGGTCACACTTGGTTGTGTAAAGGCTAGAGCTGCACTCTCAAACAAAAGGCTGAGCGATGGTGGGGACATCACTCGTACCCAATTCCCATGAAACTTCATGGTTCATGAAGCCGGTTCATCCTCCCGTAGGAGATAGCCGAAGTAAAGTAAGTAAGTAGGTCTTAACCTCTTCACCAATCGTTCTCTGTAAAAAAAATAACTTTGATTTTTTCTTTTGTTTTTTAATTTTTAATTTTACTTTTGGTTTGCTTTTGCTTTAACAATTAATTCACTATTATCAATCTCATATGCTCCTTTTGTATATTTTCACACCCTCTTCACACTTGTTAAATTGACGCTTGACATGTAACCATAGAAATTGTGTGTTTGTTTGATAGTCTGATATATTTTGCTATGCTTATATGGATCGATATTCCATTATAATTAGCCAATCATGTTAAGACTGTCTATTGATTTGTTCATTTTGAATATTCGCTCTCACACTTGTGTTCACACACTTGTTCGGACATTCATATATATTTTTGTTCTCACACTCTTGTGGGACATATTGATTCTCCTGGTGTTTTGGAAAATAGAATTATCATCTCAAACCTAGTGGTCTTCTGATTTCCGTCTTTCTTGCGTCAGGACTATTAAATTCTCGACCAGTACATAATAATAATTTGGCGACGAGTACATAATACACTCAAATATCTTTATTCCCACTACTCAAGAGCAATTTTAACCTTATCAAATTTCTATCTTTGTTCCGTTGAGTACCGCGTAATTTACAACTTTTAATTTTCACTTCTAAAGCCACTTATGAGTAATTATATCTTTTGTTTACGTTAAAGTATCTTTTTTATTCCTTTACGTTCCCAGCGGAACATAGGGCACTTTCAAGCTAGAGGCTTGAGGTTTCTGTAGGAGTGGTGTTTATTTTTACAGGATGGAATTGCTAGCCTCATGCCCGACCAACCTTTCCTCTTTACCAGTTTTATTACTGGCTTAGCGAGGTAAAGGAGTGCGCCAGTGTCCGGGGATCGAACCCCGGACCACAACCATGGTTGGCGAGCATTCTACCGCTGTGCCACCGATGCATTAAGCCCAAATAGCTCAGTGGTAACATCTCTGACTGTGTAGCACTGGGTGATGCGGATTCGAATCTCAGAAGGGATATGAGTTCCTCTTCAAGTCAGTTGCTGATACGCCTTGCTGACGAGTGTCGACTAACATGAAGCCTAGGTCAAGCAAGGCTTCCTGTAGCCGATTACCTCCAACCATGTAATATCGTCAAAACTATCTTCTGTTCACCTTGTTTTTAATTCCCCGCCTACTTTATTAATTACTTTTACTTTTTATTTTTAACCCAAGGTATAAAATGACGTGTATTTGGGAATGTGATAAATCCGATTTAGGCTCCGTCAGCTGTTTAGCCTGGCGACCAGATGGGAAAATATTGACAGCTGCCTTCCAATCGGGTACTGTATGCTTTTTTGTTGTTGGAGATGGCTTCCTATTTCATGAATTACACTTCACCAACCCGATAGACCACTTGTCATGGACAAATTATCAATGTTCAGGCAATAATAATGCTGGCGATGAAAATGGATGTTTGAAAAACAAAGTGACCGCTTATTTTCCTGAAGTGAAACATTTGAGCATGTTTAAATCGTGTGAGTTAGTCAACTTAATTTTTAACAGATGAATTAATTCAATCTTTTCAATCTCTTGTTTTAGAGATGTCAATTTCTCATCATCGGATGTCTACAAGTATGAACAATTGCTTGGAGAATTACCGAATAACAAGTAGCTTTAAATTGTTATTGTGAAATCTTACCTCTTTCTCCCTCCCTCCCTCCCTTTCTCTACCCCTTCTCCTCCTCTCTGTGTGGGTGCACTTAATTAGTTTACCAATATTGACAGTTTATTCAAATCGTGTCGTTTCATTCTATGGCTATGGTGTATTTGAAATTGCCGCGTATACTTTACACTCGACAAATGCTGATACATCTTCCAAGGTATGTGTGTGTGTGTGCGTGTTCATCACCTGTCTCTTTCAGCTTATTAATTGTCATTTATCAGCGGAACAGAATATACTTTTGCTTACTGAAGCATTGCTAGATACTGATGGACAATATTGTGTACTTTGTCATAAAGTAAGTTAGACGTTATTTTTAGCGTTCATAATTATACTACTTATAGTAGTGTGATTATTATTATCATCGTTTTTCATCAGATCGGTATTTTTCTTATTTCAATTTTATTATCTGTGAGAGCTAACTTGCATTTACGGTGGACCGCATATCGTCAGTTCCTGTTGACATGTCGGCTTCTAGTACAGATGCTCCGAATTTAGTAAGTATGGCACCATTTTTTTGGCGAAGGCTAGCAGTAGAATCCTGAATGTGCATCACGTCCTATTCGGAATGCACACACCCACAGTGAGTGGTGATATTTTTATGTAGACTGGCGTCCAAAACCCATGGTTCCAAATGCCGAAATGTTATAAACTGGGCCGTGAAAGTCACCTCTTGCGGAAGGGCGGGCAACATTTGTTATCTGGAGGTGGTGAATTTGTATTTCGTGTCCAGAGACTTTCGTTGGCCTAATTATGGTTAACGCTTGGACGTTTGAAATTATAGGTTTTCGCTTCGAATCTCAGTGGGAACACCATCAACTGTTGACAAGTCTGAAATACATTCTGATCTCTGCTGCCGGCGATCACTGGCGAAGTAACATTGTAGTACTTTGGTGTCATTACTGCATGAATTTGAGACGGATATTTTGTTCGATCTACGTCAGGGTTAAAATGCCCACCATCCATGCATGCGGTTTGGGGCTTGATTCCTGCCTTACGCAATCCTTAATTCCTAACAAACCCACTCCTTAAAATAATTTAAGTGCTACTGTTGTAACGACAGAAGACAAGGGCTAGACAACAGAACAGTTATTGAGAAAATCAAGAGATTTCTAGATTTTTATGTACATTATTAATCGTTATTGTTAGCAGAGAGGTAACGTCTTCTGATTGGTTGTTTTCCTGCTGAAGGTTATTTTGTCATCTCTTTGTGGCCGTTTCTTAGACAGTCCGGTGATATATCTGCTAATCGTACTTGCCCATGCTAAATCTGCTGTGATTGGTTGTTGAGTTGGTCTTTTGTTCTTGTTTTTTCTCATGACCAAGATTTGGGACGTTAACATGGACGTAAATTGTTGTCTACTAATTTTATCTTGCAGACAGCTCTCACCACACTGTAGCAACCTCAAAGCTGACAGCTTGGAGTCCTGTGTTCTACTTGGAACGCGAAGCTAAGAAAAAAAATATGATGTTCCATAAGAAATTAGGAAACGATAGGCCAGGCCGTCGAGCAGAATCCCCATCGGAAGCGACGAGTGGGTTGTCCTAGGGTGACATGGAGGAAGAGATGAAAGAAAATGGGCAATCGTAGACCCAGATGAAGAGCGCAGCAGTAAATAGAACAGAGTGGAGATGTGTTGTACAAGCCTTATGTGTTCCATTCGGAACCGAAGGGAATAATAATAATAATAAACCAGTGACAGTTCCACGTAAAAATCCGCCCTTTTAAGGTATAAATAAAATAAATAAATAATTTTTCCTTCACGTTCCCCTGTGGAACATAGGGCTTCAAGCTAGTGGCTTGAAGTTTTATAGCAGTGTTTATTTTACAGGATGAGGTTGCTAGCCTCATGCAAACCTTCCCTCTTTACCAGGATTATTTCTGGCTTAGCGAGGTAAAGGAGTGCGCCGGCCAGGAATCGATCCCGGACCATGTGCATGGTCGGCGAGCGTCCTAACCGCTATGCCACCGACGCACTTTTAAGGTATACACCTATCTATCAGTATCATCTGTAACGGGAGAAGATATGAGGCTTATAACGCACCTTTACTAATGGAAGACACATCATACATGTCCACAACGTAAACTAAGTCCAGATTTGAGAAATATACACTTCTACCTCTGCGGTCATGAATTTAAAATGTTTATCACTTATAGCTGTTTTGCTATCAGTATGATATAATAATAGACTTTGGGCACTATGGTAAATTGTAATTCCATTGTGGAGAAAATTTAATTTGATAGTCTCACAGTGTTTGTTATGCAGTAATAATTACTGATGGCCACGTTTCGAGAAGAATTCTATTGCTGCTCAAAGTCATATCAAGTTACTCATACAACTTTTCAACTTTGTTTATATAATGCCATTATTTTTCTTCTCTTGATTTGATTGGTAGTAGTGTAACAACAGAAGACAAGGGCCAGGCAACAGATCGCTTTATTATGAAAATCAACACGTATTTATACATCTTTCAACTACATTATTATAGACAAGCGCAGTCATCTGATTGGTTGTTTAGGTAGACAAACGCAGGCTTCTGATTGGTTGTTTCGGGATTCCTTGACAAATAGAGTTCTCTCTGCGAATCACATTTTGCCAGGTTAACTTTGCTGTGATTGGTTGTTGACTCAGGCTTGTTCATATTTTCTCACGGCCCATATTAGTGACCTAGACCTTAACGTAGATTAGTGCCAACCAATCGGCTAGCAGCCTGCTCTCACCACACTCGTCCCCCCGTGAAATACGTGCGACTGAAGTCGGCTTGATCTACTTGGTGCAGGCGTCATCGTTGGCTTGTCTCGCTGTATCCATTTCTGGAGCTCGCTGACGTTCACGCGCCTCTCATTGTTTGCCATTGCGACTGTGTCTGCGTAACCCCATCTCGAAGTGACCATATATGGTCCTTCCCACTTTGGAAACTGTTTGCCTGACCCTGTCGAACATTCGTCCATACTTCGGCTCACACTTTCATATGCTGGTTTCACCCGACCTCCCAGCAGCGTCCCAAGTAGCAGCTCCATCGCTGACAGATCTTGAACGCCACTCAACTGCGCAGAAGCCTTGAAGTCCTGCCCGAAGATCCATATGTCTCCATCAAAAACTGCAGGGTATAGGCTTTTCATTTGTCGGTAGGCAGCGACACCAAATGTAACAACAGAAGACAAGGGCCAGGCAACAGATCGTTTTATTATGAAAATCAACACGTATTTATACATCTTTCAACTACATTATTATAGACAAGCGCAGTCATCTGATTGGTTGTTTAGGTAGACAAACGCAGGCTTCTGATTGGTTGTTTCGGGATTCCTTGACAAATAGAGTTCTCTCTGCGAATCACATTTTGCCAGGTTAACTTTGCTGTGATTGGTTGTTGACTCAGGCTTGTTCATATTTTCTCACGGCCCATATTAGTGACCTAGACCTTAACGTAGATTAGTGCCAACCAATCGGCTAGCAGCCTGCTCTCACCACAGTAGTATTTTCTATACCTTTGATATTGGTGATGAATCATTTCGATTACATTTGTTTGGTGTAGATTCTGTGAATAAAAATTCAGTAATGAACTTCTCCCTCCACTTACCTATATTACTTTTTAGAATTGTATTGTCCATGCATACAGTCTGTCTGTCTGTCTGTTTTCGACATAGAACTTTACACAAATGTGCAGAAGTTCAAGTCGCCACATTCCGTGTAGCACGCGAAGCAAGAGAAGAAAGTACAAGAAAAGCATACTGGAAACAGTGAGCAGAGGTGTGAGACAAAGGAATAGTAGTAACGAAGATCAAAACAGTTTCATTGAAGATCATAAGTCACAGGGAGTGGATGCATCTGCGCCACTGAGAACGGTTTTGAGCCATGTCACCAATTGTTTCCAACAATTGGTTTTTACTGTCCCGAGGACCCCAGCCTGGAAGTCTACACCTTCCTACGTGGCTTAGACCAACTGTTGTGGATTTCATTGACTGGTGAGGCCAAGTTTTTGTTTGACCGCCGCTAGCTTTTCTCCAGCTTGACCCTATATCCGCTAACATAGCTCGTCGAGGGAGGCGATGGCTTGGCATACGTAACACATGTCCTAACCATCTCAGTCTTTGTAGCTTCACGACTTCGTCGATTGATTTCCCCTGTTTACCTAGAACTCTACGCCTAACCTCCATGTTGCTCACCTTATTATGCCACTTTACACGGGAAATAGAGCGCAGGCACCTATGATCAAAGACAGCTAGTCTTTTCATGTCTTCCACTCTGAGTGGCCAGGTCTCGCTCACAACCATAAAGGAGGACGGAGTGGACTGATGAGCAGTACACCCGTCCTTTGGTCGATAGTCGAACATCTCGTCTACGCCAGAGTCGGCGTAAACTAACAAATGCGAAACGAGCCCCCTGTATTCGTGCTGAGATTTCGTCAGAGATCAGCCCGTTGGGGCTGATGGTACTTCCCAAATAAGTGAAGCGGTCAACGTGCTCTACCACTTCACTTCCTATTTTTAAACTAGGCGTCGATGTAGTCCAGTCCTGTAACATGATCTTGCATTTGGCGGGAGCGAATCGCATGCCAAACATTCGTAGATTGCGGCTCAAGGTGTTTAGAAGACTCTGCATTTCGTCAGCGTCTTCGCCTAGAAGGACTATATCGTCTGCATATTCCAAGTCAACGAGATTATTCCCTGGTGGTAAGTCAATCCCTGAGTCGCTGAAGTCACCTAGGGTTAAGTCCATTAACACATCTATGATGAAATTGAATAGAAAAGGAGATAATGGGCATCCTTGACGGACACCACTGGCCGTCATCAGTTCAGATGACAGCTCGCCGTAAGCCCTCACCTGGCTGTATGAGTACGAGTAGAGTGCCTTAATCAGTGCAATATATTTTCTTGGAATTCTCTTTACAGCCAGTGCCAGCATACAGTGCGATTGCTAAGTTTTATTCCTTACTTGCTTATCTTCATGGGGTCAATCATCCTCACTGTAGCTAAATTCTTATTTTGTGATAATCCGAATACCTCTTGTCTACTGGTTTAAGTTATGTAGTTGACTTCACTCACAGTCACTGCAATGTATTTTGTAAATTATATTGTTTTGTTTAATTATGTCAACAGGGTCCTTTCCCCTTACGGAGCTGGTCCTACCTGAGTGAGTTCACAGGTTTCAATGCCACCCTAATTCCTGATTTGTTAAGAATCTTCCGTAGGGTTTTAAAGATACCTCTCCTATCCACTCGAATTATTATTATTATTATTATTATCCCCTTAGGTTCCGAATAGAACATAGGACTTGAACAACACATCACTTTCTATTTTTCGCCGTCTTCTTTAGCTGGGTCCACGATTTCACATAATCTCTCATTCCCACCCCCCCCCCCTTAGGATCTCCTCCATGTCATCCTCACACTGACGACCACTCGTCGCTTCCCAACGGGATTCCACTTGAGCGATGGCCTGCATTGCGTGCGGTGTCATTCGGTGGCCTCCTCAATGTATGTCCAATCCATCTTCATTTTCTCCTACATACTTGTTGAGCGGTAGGCTCTTGTTTGGTTTGTTCATATCCCCAGAGTTTCTTGTTACTATTTCTTTCTGGCCATTTGACCTTCAGCATAGAGCCAGCGAGGGTAGCTGTTGACAAAAATCTGCAACAGGCTGTTGGAAATGCTTTTCGTGACGCGGGTGCCAAGTTTCTGACCCGTTTAGAAGGACGGACTTCACATTGCTGTTGAAAAAGCCGAATCTTATTGTTTTTGCTAACTGAATGCAGAGGATTTCCAAACTGGTTTCAGGTTGACAAAGGCGTGTCTTGCCTTCCCAATTCTGGTTGTCTGAGGATTAGAGAGGTTTTGTGTGCATTTTGGATTGTGAGGACGATTGTTACTTCCCGGCTGCCCACACCGTGGAAGTTGGTTGCGTGACCGCAGAGCCCAGGGGACAACTGCTTGTGGCCGGTCACACGCGGCCTGTTTTTGTTTTTTCTCTTTTGTTTGGTGTGTCTCAGTAGCATACTTATCACTCCTGCCCTGTGACACGGCAGCAGGAAGCGCGGTCGTTGTTAATCCGGGCCACGGCCGGCCCGGCATGAAATTTTGTGAATTTGTTTGAATCATGGTATTGGATGGGGTAGCTGCTTTTTGTTTAACCGCTATCCAAACAACCTTCCTGGCATGGTAGAACCTCAAGAGACATAAGTCTCAGCCAGTATAGCTTGATTAGGTCATTTCGGTGTTCAAGCCCGACCACCACGTCAAGGTAGCAGCTTTCGGTTGGCTAGCTCTGACATCATCATCCGTTCCTTCAGTAGTTGGAACGACGTTTGCTGCCTAGACAAGTGAAGGCACCATGGCACCAGTCAATGAAATCTAAAACAGTTAGTCTAAGCCATGTAGGAAGATGTAGACTTCTTGACTGGTTGGGGTCCTCGGGACGGTAAAAACCAATGGTTGGAAACAATTGGTGACATGGCTCAAAATTGTTCTCGGTGATGGCTGGCGTAGATGCATCTACTCCCTGTGACTTATGATTTCCAATGAAACTACGTTGTTCTTCGTTACTACTATTCCTTTGTCTCACATCTCTGTTTAATGTCTCTATTATGCTTTTCTTGTACTTTCTTCTCTTGCTTTGTGTGCTACATGGAGGGAGTGTGGCGACTTGAACTTCCGCATATGGGTGCAAAGTTCTATGTCGAAAACAGACAGACAGGCAAGTGAAGGAAGTAAGCTGTGTCAAATCTGTCCAGTTGATGGTGATGGATGATGGTTGTTGTTGTTGTTGTTGTTGCTGTTGCTGTTGGTTATCTTCATCACCCCCATCTTCTTTATGTTCACATGAATTCATGTTTTTGTCTTTACTGCTTCTTCAGCCAGTTTGTTGGTTTTCGTCTGCAAGTCTTCGAGTTTGTGTGACATTAAACATATATCATCTGCAAAATTCAGATCTTCTAGGGTCTTCTTATCGGGGATCCAGTGTATTCCCATCTCCTCGCTTCTTGTTCACAGTCTGATGTATAATTTAGTCTACCATACTTGGGAATATCTCCGGTAATAATAGGGTGCCTTGTCTTACTCCTGTATCCACTTTGAACGTCTCGCTGAGTTTTTCGGTGTGAATCACCTGACACGTGGCATTGTCATATAGCCAAGTGCCCCCAAAGCCTCAGGATGGTCGGGGGTGGGTGTCTTGCGCTTCGGGTTGGCCACCCCTCCGTACACCTCTTGAAATGCTCCCATATGACCGGGCGTCTTACATAGCCTCTCCTGAGGAAGTCCTACTCACTGCCTTCACTTGGCGGAGGTGTTTTTCACCAAAGTGAGAGGGCAAAAGCGGATGCCCGACGCTCTTCACCGGGTTGACTGTCCATTGGATGACAGTCTAGGGGAGATGGCTAAACCCTGATTCCAAACCTCCAACGACTGGCGTATGAAGCTCACCGGAGCTCACCGGCAGACGTATGGAGAAAGGGCTTGTTGGATGTCCTGGATGACTGGCCCCATTCAAAAAGGCGTATGAACCCGACTCCGGTCACCGGCTGCCAATGGATAGTGGACTCCCTATTCCACTCCTACTGCCTTGTAGGTCACACTTGGTTGTGTAAAGGCTAGAGCTGCACTCTCAAACAAAAGGCCGAGCGATCCTCGGGACATCACTCGTACCCAATTCCCATGAAACTTCATGGTTCATGAAGCCGGTTCATCCTCCCGTAGGAGATAGCCGAAGTAAAGTAAAAAAAAAAGTTGAATGAGACTGATGAAGACTGCACGCCGTTGTCTTGAAGCAGTTTCCAAATTCCCTCACGGTCAACACTGTCTGTCAACGTGCTCTTCGAATTCGATGTAGTTGAGGTAGGGAGGAAGGGTTTGACTGCCATTCTATGCTTTGTTCTGTGATGATGATGATGATGCGTAGTGTTGCAATTTGATCAGTACATGATTTGCCCTTCCTGAATCCAGCTTTTTTCGGGTGAGGGGAGTTCTGTATCTAGTGCGTTCTTTATTCTCCCCAGGATACTTATCAATGTGTATGACTCCAAAATTTCTTATTCGTAAAGTATTTTTTAATATATGTGTAAGCTTATTTTTTTGTCACACTTTATTGTGTAGATTCCATGCGATGGATTTCAACGATTCAATCATCAGTTAATGAAGCTGTCATTACAAGCTTTTTCAATTAAAATTACAAAATCTGTAAGTTAGTTGTATCAATAATATTATGTAAATTTTTTAAAAAAAAACAGTTTTCTATAGTTTGGTTTGTAAGGATTAGTTATGTTTTACGAGTTGATCACGGATTGATATCAGTTAGAGAACCATTGAAAACCAGGGAGTACTGGACAGCTGCTGTTTCATCCTACTTTGGGAATCATCGGCAGTACGCACCCACCAACAGGGTTCGGACCCAGGACCTTCCGGTTACAAGGCAAGCTCGTATACCATTCAGCCACTGGGACCCGATTCAATGGCTCGTGAATTCTAACTTCTACTAATTCGTGATTTAGCGCGACCCAAACCATTGTCGTTTGTGGGACATCCATCCACACACGTGACATCTAATTGGACCTCACTGGTCACGACTTCTCACTAGAACTCAGGAAACTCCAACCTGTAGCAAGTCACTAGCGAGCATCAAACTATAGAAAGTTAATCTGATGCTCCCAAAGTAGGATAAAATAGCAGCTGTCCAGTACTCCCTGGTTTTCAATGGTTCTCTAACTGATATCAATCTGTGATCAACTCGTAAAACAGTTTTACTTCACATCAGTTATATTTATATTTCCATGGATTTTGAGCACAATATTACTCACTTAGAAATGACTTGGCAAGCTAGCTACCTAATGTGTATATACATCTGAGGAGATTGTGGCTTATTGGCACGGTGCACTTATAATTGATGCTTTAGATGGTTGGCAGGAAGTCTAGTCAGCTGACCTAGGTGTCGTGTGCTAGTTGGCACTCACTCATTCAGCAAGACGTATCTGCAGTCTTTAAGAAACTCATGTCCTCTCTCTGAGATTGGAACCCGGGTCAGCAGCCAGTGCTGCACAATCAGAGACGCTACCAACACTAAGCTATTTGGTCTCTCGCGACTGACCTCTTGTAGGACTGTATGCGAAACTTTGATTAGACACTGGCGGATGCCCGGCGCTCTCCACCGGGTTGACTGTCCATTGGATGACGGTCTAAGGGAGATGGCTAAACCCTGATTCCAAACCTCCGACGACTGGCGTATGAAGCTCACTGGAGCTCACCGGCAGACGTATGGAGAAAGGGCTTGTTGGATGTCCTGGATGTCTGGCCCCATTCAAAAAGGCGTATGAACCCGACTCCGGTCACCGGCTGCCAATGGATAGTGGACTCCTTACTCCACTCCTACTGCCTTGTAGGTCACACTTGGCTGTGTAAAGGCTAGAGCTGCACTCTCAAACAAAAGGCCGAGCGATCCTGGGGACATCACTCGTACCAAATTCCCATGAAACTTCATGAACTCTCTTACAAATTGCCGCGCCTGGGCAGCGATGATTCGAGACGTCCATGAAGCCGGCTGATCCTCCCGTAGGAGATAGCCGAAGTAAAGTAAGTAAGTAATTAGTGTACGTAGTGAATTCTGTTAGTCAACTTTTGTAATGTGTCCAACATAAACTTAGTCTCTGCTATTTGTTTCCAGCTATCTTCACTGAATTAGGTGAACAAGGAAGACACTGCACAGTATTTAACGTTAAGGCTGTCTGCTTGTTGCCATTTACCACTTTTCTCCCTGCATCCTCGCTAAATCTATGCCAATTTTTATCTTAAGATACATTGGGCATACATTCTTCTATGTATATCACTACTAAAGTTTTCAAATCTTGTAAGCGGTAATGCCACCTTCATGTGTTACTTTCTTTCAGAGTTATTTTGAACACTATCTCAGGCTTCGTAGCACCAAATAATTGATTCTTTGAGAAATTTATTCATTGATATTTTCTGTTGCATGAGAAACTTGTTTGTTTGATTTTTTCGGTGCTTATTTTCATGGCTGTAAGCAATTTAAAAAGAGGGTAGCACCGACAGACAGTGCTAACCACAGATTTTTACTAACAATTTCACAGTTAATTCAACTAATATATACAAGGAATCAGGTAGTCAGAAGGTGTGTATTTACGGTGTGTCGCTACTTGTTTGACGTGCGTCTGTGGCACAGCAGTTAGGAGTCGTCGACCATGCACATGGTTCGGGGTTTGATCCCCTTCCGACACACACCAGGCATCAATGGTTGGCCTGCATAATATTGGCTACCGATATCACATGCTGAAAATTCCATACTTGTACCGAAAATACGTTGTGGAGTCAAGTTATATATAAAAAAGTACAATCTTGACAATAAATCAAGTTAACATGATACAACGTAGTTCGCTTTAACTGCTTTTCCAACTAAAGCTACCGGACAACCTAAAGTGGAGATATGCTTCGGTAGCGTTAGCATTCTATTTTCAAACAATGGGGTTCCAGGTTCTAATCCACCCCCCACCACCCGCCTACAGCTTGGGTGACTGGATAGTGTCGTCAGCCGTCATACAATAAGTCACAAAGTATGAACTATGCGTATTCTTTGACGAAAGCAGACGTAAGTGAGGAGGGATTAGAACCTGGAACCCCATTGATCGAAAATCAAATGCTTAAACCTATAAATCACACGTCTTAATTGTGTTATCAGCTGACAGCTGTTGAAGAGAAGCAGTCAAGGCGTGCGTCATTGGTTCGACGGTAGAATGCTCGCCGAAACATTAGCCGGCCAGGTCCGATTTCTGGCCGACGAACACACTCTTAATCCTCATCACGTAGCCTGTATGTAGGAAGTCTGGAAGACAGAGCAGTTTAAAATAATCCCAGCATGTTTGTGAAAACAGTCAAAACAAGATTTTCCCTGAACGTTTCACTGTGTGAGCTGTCACAGCTTCTTTAGCAGAATAATATTATCAATAAAAAGGATCAGAAGGGACAACCAAAAAAATTGGGAAGTCTAGGGCTATCGACGATAGCCATTCCATATTGAAAGGATACGGCTGAATAACTTTAAAGAGTACTAGCTTTTTATAGTATTAAATTTTACTTGAAGTCGTATATTTCTTTAGAGAATATTTTGGTGAATGTCAAAAGTATTATTCCCAAAATAACCCAAATTAACTGTGTCTCTAACATAAAGTGTTCAGAATGTGAAGCTTGTTATACATAGGGGAAAGTAGCAAACACGTGAAGGTTAGAGTGAATGAAAACAGACTATGCTAGAAACGGCCCCAACGGTTGATCTCTGACGAAATCTCACCACGGATACAGAGGGCTAGTTTCGCATATGCCAGTTTACGCCGTCTCTGGCTTAGTAGACGTGATATCCGACTATCGACCAAAAAGCGGGTGTACTGCTTATCAGTGCGCTCCGTCCTCCTTTATAACTGGCTGTGAGACCTGGCCATTGACAGTGGAAGACATGAAAAGGCCGACTAGCTGTCTTCAATCATAGGTGCCTGCGTTCTATCTCTCGTGTGGAGTGGTATAACAAGGTGAGCAATATTGAGGTTAGGCGTCGAGTTCTAGGCAGGTGGGAGGGAAAATCAATCGACGAGGTTGTGAAGTTACATCGACTGAGATGGTTAGGATATATGTTACGTATGCCTAGTCATCGCCTTCCTCTCGACAACAGGCAATGTTAACTGATAAAGGGTGAGGCTGGAAAAGACCTAGCGGTCGTCAAACCAAAACATGGTACCAGTCAATGAAATCCACGACAGTTAGTTTAAGCTAGCCACGTAAGAAGGTGTAGGCTTCCCGACTGGTTGGGGTCGTCGGGACGGTAGAAACCAATGGTTGATAACAATTGGTGATATGGCTCAAACTGATCGGTTTCAATGGCGCAGATGCATCCACTACTTGTGACTTATAATTTCCAATGAAACTGTTTTGTTCTTCGTTATTACTAATCCTTTGTCTCACACCTCTGTTTACTGTCTCTAGTATGCGTTTCTTCTACTTTCTTCTCTTGCTTTGTGTGCTACAAGGAGGGAGTGTGGTGACTTGAACTGCTTCACATTGGTGCAAAGTTCTATGTCGAAAACAGATAGACAGATGCCAGAAACTCCCACCTAAGAATGAAGTAGAATTAAAGAGTCTAGAAGAAAGATCAGCTATAGGAATGCATACTAAATTTTTCTATCGGTAGAAGTGTCTACCAACAAATGACCTTTAAAGGAACTCACTTCAATTTCTGTAATTTTTTGACTATACATTTATTGATCGTTAATAAAGTCCGAATAATTCCGCTGCTAAAGAAGCTGTGGCAGCTTACACATTGAAACGTCCCGAAAAATCTTGTTTTGATCTTGTTTTTTTGTTAAACACGCTGGGGGATGTTTCAAATAATTTACAATGATTCAATCTGACACGGCGCTTAATTTATTCCAGGAAATGCTTAATATTTGCGATCTAAATACTTTTAAATAATAATACAAGTCGAATTTTAAATCAGTCCATCTCTGGTGGACTGGCAACCTTTTAAATATATATATATATATATATTGTTGATAAAAACGTGCTGAGCACCCTAATTAATACTATACACTTGATAAGACATTCATACGGATTGTTTTTTCTATTTCTTGCTTGTTAGCTGTTAGATTGGAGTTTTAATCAAGTCTGTATTTGTTGGGAAGATATGATCTTGGAAATGAATACTAAATTTACGAATTATGCACGTCAACGATTGAAGCATAACAAAGTAAGTGGGGATTATAATGCTGTATATGTACATCTATGTATATGTTTTTCCAAGTTTTGGTTTTTGTAGGGGATTTAGTTTGATTGATTGGAGGATTTCATCATGATCTGAGACATCAGTTAGAGAACCATTGGAAAACCTGCCAGGGAGTATTTACTGGACAGTTGTTTCGTCAGCCTCGTTTGTGACTCTTCAGCAGTACACACCCACCCACCCACCGGGGTTTGAACCATGAACTTTTTGGTTACAAGGTGAGCTAGCCTTGTAGACCATTAAGTCACTTGGAGCCGATCCGATGGCTAGCCCATGAATCGTAACTTTTCCAATGGGTTTCTAACTGATATCAGCTGGAAAACTATGGTAGAGATAATGATTGGACGTGTTTCTTTTGAATAAATAACGTGGGCCTGAACTTTTCAGTCGCTAGTGCTCCAGCTCTATGCCCAGTCAGATGCCTTGATTCCACTGCCTTTGCAAGGGACGTTTGATCTTATCTTGTATATAGCTTTGAAGGACTTTTCAAATGGAGCTGAATGTCCTGAGTTCACCAGGTGTTCTGTTACCGAACTATATATACACACTTGCGTCCTCCCTTTCCTAGTCAGACAGATTGGATATTGTTCTTTTGCACGTTTTACAAGTGGATGCATGGTACGGTGAGTGCACTCAGTTCCACGCGAACAACTGAACTAGTAGACTGGCTTTTTTTCCTTCACGTTCACAGCCGAACATTGGGCTTGAAGTTTCTGTAGCAGTGTTTAATTTTACAAGATAGGGTGGCTAGCGTCATGCCCAACTTTTCCTCTTCACCAGCATTATTTCTGGCTCAGCAAGGTAAAGGAGTACCTCTGTTGGCCGGGGTTCGAACCCCGGACCATGTGCACGGTTGGCGAGCGTCCAACCGCTGGGCCACCGACGCACTGTAGACATCCGTCGAAATAGTCCAAATAACACCAGTCATTTTAGTCACACACACACATGTATACGTATCAATGAGGAATCGTAAACACGAATACATTTATAGTATCGTTAAACTCATGCAACATTTTTGTGTTTTCTGTGTTTTGCCTGTGTTTTTAGGACTGGTCATTATGCGTAGAACTTCTGGAGTTTATTCTCTTTGGCTATTGTTGGTATGTGTTCAAATTATTATTTTGATCATTTTCTGATTTCACTGAAAGAGCCAATTTCATTTGTATTGTGTCAGCAACATTATGAAATACAGAAGTTAGTGTTACGGTTAGGTACTTGGTACCTATATCTATCTGAGTCAGTCTAAAGCGTACTCTGATGAAACTGTAATTCATGACATAGGGAAGATAGCTCTCTCTCAGTACAAGTCGTGGATCGGAATTTTCGTCATGTCTACTAAAGCTTAACAATTCAGGTGGATTTATTAGTCCTCTCCTTGGTAAACAGATGCGGTTGCTGAGTTGTGTTGTTATTGTTTCTGATAACGACATCTCAGCGATTCAAATATCCTGATGAAATCTCAACGAATGCACAATGTTCACTTGGCATTTCTCAGACATGAATGATACGCCTGTTTCATTATGAAAAATAAGGATAAAGAAAATTCAACGATGTTCATCCTGCAATAAATTTTACTATTGAGAAAGTAAAAGACTCTAGTATTTCATTTCTAGACGTCCTTATGACCAGAAAAGAGGATGGCACAGTAAGAAAAAGTGTTTATAGAAAGCCTACATCAACGGGTCAGTATATTCATTTTTTCAGCTTTATACCCTTAAAATACAAACGCAGTCTGATAAAGTGCCTGGTTCACAGAGCAGGAACAATCTGCTCGGATGAATGTCTTCATGAGGGACTTAATAATGTTAAACAGTTGCTGAGTGAAAATGGTTATCCAGAAGAATTCCATTGATAAGAATATGAATCTAAAATCAAGTCAGCTCAAGGTATAAACAGTTCCTCGGAGATGACATCAGTGAGACACTAACACAACGCCTTAGAAACGCAGTGAAAAGAGCATCCTCTGCTGCCAAATTATACTGTGTCTTCAAAAATACTCCTCTTTTGCGTCCGTGAGTAAAAGACAAACTGGCTAATTTCACCTTTTCCATGTGTATCTACCAATTTAACTGCTCCTGTTGAGTGAGTCAGTTACATAGACCGTACAATTAGGCGTGTCTCTCGTTGGATTTCCGAATATCACCCTGCGTGGTTATGTAAAGGACAAACAAAATCTATTCGTAGCGTTATCCTATCTCATATTGTGGATGCAAAAAGGACACATGATTCATGTCAACGGGGCGACTTTCAAAGTCATCTACTGCATACCAACAAAATAATCTTAACTTCGTCTTAAGAGTTCGTTTACTAAATATTGCTGAGGCTGGTTGTTAGGATCCACATTAAGAAGCCTAACTTATGTATCCAAAAAAGAAGCTAGTTTACACATTGTCCTTACCTTGGCCATCTAGGTTTGAATGATCCTTAATTTGTTGGTGTGGATATTTCCTTAATTTTAGTTGATATTCTATTTGCTATTATATTTTTACTAATATTATAATTTAAGCATCTTTAATGAACTGTGGTAATTCCATTGCGATCTTACTTTACAAATCGATATTATTTAAAAGACACTATAATATTGTTATTGACTACTATTCTAGAATATTTTATGTACATAAACATGTGCATATAATTGTAGAGCCAGAAGAGGAAATTATCGGAGAGAATATTCTTTGCTCAATTATTTTGTTTTTCAAGTATTGGTTTTGTAGGGATTTTGTTTGATTGCATGGAGGATTTAATCATGAGCTGACATCAGTTAGAGAACCACTGGAAAACCTGGGAGTACTGGACAGCTGTTTCGTCCTAGTTTGGGACTCTTCAGCATTACGCATCCACCGGGATTTGAACCCAGGACCTTCTGGTTACAAGGCGAGCTCGTAGACCATTGAGCCACTGGGACCCAATCCAATGGTCCTTGAATTCTAACTTCTGCCAGTTCACGACATAGTGCGTACTGATGAAGAGTCCCAAACTAGGACGAAACAGCTGTCCAGTACTCCCAGGTTTTCCAGTGGTTCTCTAACTGATATCAGCTCATGATTAAATCCTCCATGCAATCAATTATTTTGTGTCTTATAGATGCCTGAATGAATATTTTTGCTATACTTTGGATACCTCAACCATTTTTAGATATTCTTCAGATATTCAGTGAATAGACAGTACTCCTGAGACTCATATCTTTGAATCTTTGTGTCATATACCACTGATTGACTGCTCACTGTTGGATTACGTTTTGTGCATCGGTGGTTCAGTGCAGGAATTCCCGTCAACCACACACACACACACGCACACTTGGGCCGACGGATGCACTCCTGGCCATCATCCAACAGGTGAGCAAGCTAGGGAAAGAGTGGGGGGGGTTAAGTGTAAGGAAGTAATCCCATCGCGTAATAGAGTCAGTACCATCAATACTAAAATTTTAAGGTTACAAGTATAAAGTCCCATGTTTCACTCGGAACTCAAGATTTCAATGTAAATTTGTTTATCATAAACTTCCACCTTACATAACTCCTCGATTTTCTCTTATTTCTACTTTTTTGTTGTCTACTTTATTAGTCCTGATTTGAAGAAGTTCCTTGTGGAGGATTGGACTGCAGCCAGTTTAAAGCGTACCGGTACAACTACATTGAAGGCATATGAATCGATTAAGACAATATGCTTTCAACAGATTCAATTGTAAGTATTATCTCCTGATTTTTACTCTCTCCCTCTTTCTCCGAAGATGACTAACTATATCACATTATAGAATGATTGAAAGCCACTGGATATCTGTTTCGTCTGTGTTTGGGATTCTTCAGCAGTGTGTGCGGCTATGACTCTACTCACAAGAGATCGGACCCTCCACTTCACTGACATGTGAACTCTAATTTGTGTGTCAATTCGTGCACTATCTGGCGCTACCTGTGAAGGGTTCCGTACTAGGACAAAACAGTTGTCTAGTAGTATGCTCTGTGGTTTCTAAGTGATTTTGGTTCCTGATGAGATCGACTTTCTTCTTTTCTATCGGTTGGATTACTGATTACATACATAGACTATGAGGTGTGTGTGTGTGTGTATGCCGCCAGCCAGTCACCATCAATCACTAATGATCGTGTACTCAAAGTGGAATATGCAGTCAGTTATATCGATGCTTTGTCTAAAAGCATACAAAAGAGTGGTTAAAGTGAGGACAAGACAAACTGGTCAACTTATCGAATGGTTAAAATGCAACTGAAAGGAGACAAGTGTAACAACCACATGTGTTCGTTTTTGATGTAAACTCAAGAAACCGATCTCTACTTTCTACCCTTTAACCGAGAAAACATCGTTGAGATACGCGCTATCACACGAAACGTTCCACGGGTAGGGAAAGACGATTGTTCTTTAAATAGTTTAGTGGTTCTATTAGACAATAATAGTGTAACTGTCAAAACTCAGATTTACCTCAATATTGGCGTTCAACAGCTAAACAGGCACTGTAGGTTTTTAAGCACAAAACAAGTACTGTAAGAGAAAATTGATCAGCCAAGGTTTAATTGTGTGCGTCGGTGGCACAGCGGTTAGGACGCTTGCCGACCATGCACATGCTCCGGGGTTCGATCCTCGGCCACCGACGCAATCCTTTACCTCGCTAAGCCAGAAATAATGCTGGTAAAGAGGAAAGGTTGGGCATGAGGCTAGTAACCTCATGCTGTAAAAATAAACACTGCTACAGAAACTTCAAGCGACTAGCATGAAGGTGCCTTATGTTCCACTGGGAACGTGAAGGGAAAAAAAGGTTTAATTGCAGAAGGTACCTTAGAATCAAGGAGGATTTTCCCAACGAGGAAGGATCAAAAGTGGGATCTATCCCGGGTCAGAATCACCTTCATTCACTCAGACATGCTCATATCGTTAAACAACATATCGTCAGTGCACACACAACTATGAACAGAAGTATTACAATTAAAGATTAAACAAGGTTAAAGGCATATAATGAAGGTCATAATCAACATGTGACGTGTTTTTTTTGTATTCTTTCATGTTCCCAGTGGAACATAGGGCACCTTCAAGCTAGAGCTTTGAAGTTTCATTAACAGTGGTGTTTAATTTTTACGGGATGGGATTGCTAGCCTCATGCCCAACCTTCCATCTTTACCAGTTTCATTACTGGCCTAGCCAGCGAGGTAAAGGATGTGCGAATGTCAAATTAATGATACACAATCTAAGGGAAAAGCGTACAATAATTACAAAGTTAGTTGTATGAATACTATGAATAAGTATGAATACTATTAATAGACCGTCCAGATGGGATTTCCGAAGCAATTTGTTTACTACACTACAACATGTGGCTGTATAGCATCAATGATTTAAGGGTAGACTGCACTCGAAAAATCCACACACTCCAAGTTTCGATTCTTGGCCGATGCACTCCGAAATCTTGCTTACCTGGTAGTACATTTTAAGGCACATATAAGGTCAGTTATATCAGCGAGTAAAAAACTGTTCTGATTGGTTGTTTGTTGATTTTCTGAAGATTAGACCTCGAGATCAAAAGTTGTCCAATCAGATTATTTACTGACCACAACGTAAACTAAATCCAGGTTTGTAGAATAAACATATCCTCTCGCATGACCACTGGCTTAAAGTGCTATTTTCAATTATGGCTACTTCTCATCAATCTGCGTCCATATATCACTGATCGGCAGGAAGTTCAGCCAGCTGACCTAGGTTTCGTGCTAGTTGGCACTCAGCACCATTCAGCAAGGCGTAACTGCAATCTTGAAGAAACTTATGTCCTCTCTGAGACTGGAACCCAAGTCACCCACTACTGCAGTGAGTCAGAGACGTTACCACACTACTAAGCTATTCGATCTCACGATTGACCTCCTGTAGGACTGCAGATACGCCTTGCTGACTGACTGTTGAGTGCCAGCTAGCACGAAACATAGGTCGAGCAAGGCTTCCTGTGGCCTATCGCCTTCAGCCATCTAATATCATCAAATCAATGTGCGCCGTGATGACAAGCTACCTAGAATACTGGCTACATTGCAAACTATTGGACTGATAGAATTCACTGTGCATCGTCGAAAGGACTTACTTACTTTTTACTTTGCTTCGGCTATCTCCTACGGGAGGATGAGCCGGCTTCATGAACCATGAAGTTTCATGGGAATTGGGTACGAGTGATGTCCCCACCATCGCTCGGCCTTTTGTTTGAGAGTGCAGCTCTAGCCTTTACACAACCAAGTGTGACCTACAAGGCAGTAGGAGTGGAGTAGGGAGTCCATTATCCATTGACAGCTGGTGACCGGAGTTCGGTTCATTCGCATTTTTGAATGAGCCAGTCATCCAGGGCATCCAATAAGCCCTTTGTCCATACGTCTGCCGGTGAGCTTCATACGCCAGTCGTTGGAGGTTTGGAATCGGGGTTTAGCCATCTCCCCTAGACTGTCATCCAATGGACAGTCAACCCGGTGAAGAGCACCGGTCATCCGCTTTTGCCCTCTCACTTTGGTGAAAAACACCTCCGCCACGTGAAGGCAGTGAGTAGGACTTCCTCAGGAGAAGCTATGTAAGACGCTCGGTCATATGGGAGCATTTCAAGAGGTGTACGGAGAGGTGGCCAACCCGCAGCGCAAGACACCCACCCCCGACCATCCTGAGGCTTTGGAGGCCTAGACACATCACACTAGTTACTGGCTAGTGTTCAATCAAAGTAACTACTGATGTATATATATATATATATTGTTAGTAGCCCACTCCATAAATGTATTTTTTGTTGTCAATTCAGTAATGTCATTTGTCATCTAGTTATTATTATTTTTTTGCTTGCCTCTTCATACTTTTAGCTTTTTACAACGTCTACTATTTCATGTCTCTGAGGTTATTGGAAGTTTACGTGATACCCAACTGTGTCATGAATTAGAAATATCTCCCAATATAGCATTACAGCTTTTTCGAACTATTGCTATGACGCTACAGAAAACTCAAGAATTACAACTGTAAGTTGTTGATGTTTTCTTTCCCTGAAGTGTAACAGCAGAAGACAAGGGCCAGGCAACAGATCATTTTATTATGAAAATCAACACGTATTTATACATATTTCACATACATCATTATAGACAAGCGCAGTCATCTGATTGGTTGTTTATCAGAAGTTAGACAGACAAACGCAGGCTTCTGATTGGTTGTTTCGGGATTCCTCGACAAATAGAGTTCCCTATCTGCGAATCATATTTTGCCACGTTAACTTTGCTGTGATTGGTTGTTGAATCAGCCTTGCTCATATTTTCTCACGGCCTGCTCTCACCAGTGTATGTATGTTGTTTGAAGTAAAAATGAATAAACGAGTCAGTAAGGTGGAGATTTTTGCAGTTCAAGATAAAAAGGAAAGAAAATTGATTGGTGTGAGATACGGAGGTGAGTAGGGAGAGAGAAAAGTGAAGGTTTATCTTTTCTGTGAGATGATATTACCGCATTGTCTTGATGTACTCTCAACTAGATGTGATTCATTTGAGAAACCATTACTGTCTTTGCAGACCAATATCTTCAAAAGTTAATTTCACTATTGAATGCGTCTGTGCCATTTCGAAATGTTTCAAGTGATATCACCAATGGTCTCCAGCTAATGGTTCTCAGTATCTTGGGGGATCTTAACTAGACAGTATATACCTCCCTAAGCGGCTAAATCCAACTGTCAAAGATTTTTCATATTAATGCCATGTTTTCACGGGATCACTCTCCTTACTCTTTTCCAACTTGATCCTATGTGAGGTTGAACTGCTCTTCGGAGAAGGCGATGATTTGGCCTACACTGCGCGTGTCCTAGTCATCTCACTTGATGCTACTTCACACTTTCGTGTGAAATGCGTGTGTACTGCTCAGCGGTCCGCTCCATCCTCCTCTATGGCTGTGAGACCTGGCCATTGAGAGTGGAAGACATGAAAAGATTAGCTGTCTTTGATCATAGGTGCCTGCGTTCTATCTCTCGTGTGAAAGTGGTATAATAGGTTGAGCAATATTGAGGTTAGACTTCACTCGAGTGCTAGGTAAGTGGGAGGGGAAATCCATCGACAAGGCTGTGAAATTACATCGACTGAGATGGTTAGGACATGTGTTACGGAGGTCTAGTCATCGCCTCCCTCGACAACAGGCAATGTTAGCTGGAAAAGAGCTAATGGCCGTCAAACCAAAACGTGGCACCAGTCAATGAAACCCACAGCGATTAGTTTAAGCTAGCCACGTAGGTAGGTGTAGGCTTCCCGACTGGTTGGGGTTCCTGGGACGGTAGAAACCAATGGTTGAAAACAATTAGTGATATGGCTCAAAATCGTTCTCAATGGCTGGCGCAGATGCATCCACTCTCTGTGACTTATGATTTCCAATGAAACTGTTTTGTTCTTCGTTATTACTATTACTTTGTACCACATCTCTGTTTACTGTCCCTATTATAGATTTCTCCTAATTTCTTCTCTTGTTTGTGTGCTACAAGGAGGGAGTGTGGCGACTTGAACTGGGGCACATGGGTGCAAAGGTCTATGTCGAAAACAGACTGGCTGACAGACTTCACACTTACATTGATCGTCTTTTCCTCCTCACCTGACACTTGTTGCCTAACCTGAATACTACTCATCCTATTATAGTAGTACCTAACACGGCAGACAGAGCTCAGACACCTATGGTGAACTACAGCTAACCGGCTGTACAATCGTGTATATATGGCCTTTTTAAGAAATTATATCCTCTGAGGGAATTCTTTCATAGATGTGAATACATAAAATAGTAATAGTATGAAATGAAATAAAAATTAAATTGTTTGTGATTATCATCATAGCTGAATGTCAAGTGGCAAAGCAAATTAATGTCATATATAGAACAATTCACAGGATGGAGATAGGACTCGGATTAATAGGCAAATAGAATAAGGCTGAAACGTTACGTAACATTGGATGAAATCTGATGGCATAGAGTTTAACATTGCAAAACAGAATTGATTTAGAATGACAAATGAAACTATTGAAATAATACCGGGGACGATTCAAAGTATAAAAATGGTAATCGTAGCAATTAACGTAATAAAGGAAGAGTATACAAATTGAATTTTTTTTTCATTTCATTACGTTCCCAGTGGAACATAGGGCTTCGAGCTAGAGGTTTGAAGTTTTGGTAGCAGTAGTATTTATTTTTATGGGATGCGATTGTTAGCCTTATGCCCAACCAGCCTTCTCCCTTTACCAATCTTATTACTGGCTTAGCGAGTGAAGTAAAGGAGTGCGTCGACCGAGAATCGAACCCCGGACCACATGCGCGTGGTTGGCGAGCATTCTACCGCTGTGTCGCCGACACACTATACAAATTGATTAAACAAAACGAAAAACAGGCAGAGCCAAAATATGATTAAGGATTACCATACTTTAGCGTGAAGGGATTAAGACCATGAAAATTGGAGGGGTTGAACAAACTTTTTCTGTATACAGAGATCTGGCTTTTTATTTCGACGGCCAAAGTTTTAGCAATACAGAGGAGTCCGATACGTAGCGATATGGGTAAATTACTTTTCGCCTTGTAGATGACGTGAAAGGCTGAGACTGTAGAGATAGGGTGGTCACTATCGACAAGATGTTCAACGACCACGCTTCTTATTACTCCACTTCCACATCTTCATAGCTGTTCAGGATGGTGTCCTTGCACCCTCTTCGACGAAACTCGAGTCTAACGACCAATATACCTAGCTCCAGACGAGCAGTCGAATTCATAAACGCGCATAGAGTTGGTTAACAGCGGGATCTTGTCCTTCAGATTATTGAACAGTAATGGTCGACTGAAAAATGCTATTCTCAATGATGCAGCAGGGAACGTTCTTTTCAGGGTCTGTGAGATCCCTCTTTTAATGATGATATTGGCAGCTATGTCACCTTTGAATTTCAATTCCATGTACAGTATTTTCTTGGTTACCTTTTCATCGGTTTCGACTGTATATTGTTGTCTATAAAATGTGGTGGAAATCCATTTTTCTGAAATTATAGAGAAGATTTGTAACTCAGGTGGATGATTTGCAATTAATAGTGTTCTCTGAGCTGGTTGGTTTAGTTGCGGAGCTTTCGTCGTATTTCTGGACGACATCTTCAGCGCGGTATTTAGGTATTCACTTTATCCTAAATACCACGCTGAAGATGTCGTCCAGAAAGACGACGAAAGCTCCTCAACTAAACCAACCAGCTCAGAGAATACTATTAATTGCAAATCCACTTTTCTACCAGGAATATTCTTGGAAGATGTAACTCTTCGCTAAATCACTTGTTTTGATTTTTCAAAAAATTTTGTATTGAAATAATTGATTTCTGTTAGTCCACTCTTTGCAATATGTATTTTCTTTGTTTGAATTAATTATAGGGTTATTGAGAAGAGTATTACAAAACTACGCGCCTTCTTTAAATGGTTATTTGGTGGTAAGTTGTGCATATTAATTAATTAATTCGTTGTACTTTCATCATTTAGATTCTGTGAAAATTGTTTATATCTAACTTTACTATGCAGAAAAAAGCGTTTTGAATTATATTATTATTGTTATTTCGATTTTTCCTTGTGTTGTGAGAAGAATATAGGTCTTCAACCGTACATTTCCATCCCATTTGCTTCTCTTTCATCTGGTTACTCGACTGTCCATTAGCTCCCATTCTTACTTCCCTTCCCTCTGCCCTCAGCATGGTCTCATCCAGGTTAACCTAGGATTCACAATCCGTTCATTACTATCCATTCGAAAGTCTGGTGTATTATATCACCCAATGATCTTCTCAGAATAAATCGGATCCGTCTTTATTCCCTTGTTCGTAGTTTTTGGGCAATTGGTGCTTACCTGGTTTGCTGTCAAATTCCTTTTTGCATATTCTTTCTATTTTCACTATGGAGAGAAGGCTGCAGATTGTTGGAAGAACTTTTGATGAAACGCGTATGGCATTGTCGAAATCAATCCGATGTCCACTATTCATAGATCTTTTCTCTAGACTTTTTAATCCTACTTCATTTGTAGGTACACACAGTCAATATTCATTCACTCTGAATTTCACCTGTCTACTGCTTTCCTTCATATAGCAAGCTTCACGTTCTGAACATTTTATTCTATAGACACAATTACTTTGTGACATTTTAGGAACCATATCTTTGACATCCACCAAAGCTTTCCCTAGAGAATTTGAGGGCTTGAAATAGACTTTAATATTATATGAAGCAAATAATTTATAAATGATTCAGTGTGACTCGGCGCTCAAACTACTATTCCGGGAAATTCGTAACATCTATGGTCTGAAAACTTATAAGAACAAACAGTTCAGCGAAGAGTCGTCTTTCTTCGATGGTGAATTCATTCACTCAGTTGTACAATCGCATTTGTATCGAATTATTTTTGTATGCGTATGTATACATTAGGTTTACGTCATCGTACGTTTGTGGCATAGTGGTAAAATGCTTGCCGAGCACGCATGTGGTCTGGGGTTCGATTCTCGGTCGACGCACTCCTCTACCTTGCTAATCCAGTAGTAGGACTAGTAAAGAGGGAAGGTTTGGGCATGAGGTTAACAATCTCATCCCTTAAAAATAAATACGACTGCTATCGAAACTTCAAAGCTCTAAATTGAAGGTGCCGTATATTCCACTGGTAACGTGAAGGAATAAAAAAATTGTTTACGTCGTCAAAATGTTTAACAAAAATGTATTGAATAATCAAATTGTAACTAGTGAGGGTGGGGGGAAGATTAGTAAGTCCTAACTAGAATTATGTGATATGAAGAACGACCAGAAAAATAGGATGTTAATGAAAAAGCATGGGGACAAGTGCCGAAAATAAATCATATAGTAGTGTAACAACAGAAGACAAGGGCGAAGCAACAGATCGTTTATATTATGAAAATCAACACGTATTTATACATATTTCACATACATTATTATAGCTTATGCAAGTAGACAAGCGCAGATATTTGATTGGTTGTTTATCAGAAGTTAGGCAGACAAACGCAGGCTTCTGATTGGTTGTTTCGGGATTCCTCGACAAATAGAGTTCTCTATCTGCGAATCATATTTTGACACGTTAACTTTGCTGTGATTGGTTGTTGAATCAGCCTTGCTCATATTTTCTCACGGCCTGCTCTCACCACAGTAGGTAAAAAGAGTAAATGGATGGTTAGTTAAGAAAAAGACGCTTATAAAATGTCATACAGAAAAATGCACAAAATATTTGAACTTGGAATTATACCCAGGGTAGAAGGAGGGGGTGGAGAATTTATTTTTATTTATTTTTGACTACAGCTTGATTCCACACTGTATTTTTGGCACAAGTATGAAATTTTCAGCATGGATATCGGTAGCCCAAATTTTTCAGGTCGATCATAGAAATCAGGTGTGCGTCGGCAGGGGATCGAACCTCGGACCATATGCATGGTTGACGAGAGTCCTAACCACTGTGCCACCGACGCACTTTCCTCTATGTACCTAAATTAGGGTTCGCCATCCAAATCTTGGCAATCCTAAGTACACGGAAGTTTGTCGTTTTCTGGAGAGACTTCTTATGACTTTGTAGATGACTTCGAATGTGTTATGTACTGCCGCTAAGTGGTTAATCGGAGTTTTCCCCGTCGCCAATTATGTGATGTACTCGTCGGGTAGTTAATAGTCCTGACGCAAGAAAGACGGAAATCAGAAGACTACTAGGTTTGCGATGATACTTCTATTTTCCAAAACACCAGGAGAATCAATATGTCCCACAAGAGTGTGGGAGCAAAAATATATATGAATGTCCGAACAAGTGTGTGAGCGAATATTCAAAATGAAAAAATCAATAGACAGTCTTAACATGATTGGCTAATTATAATGGAATATCGATCCATATATACATAGCAAAATATAGCAGACATGTCAACAAACATACATATTATATGGATATATATCACCAAGGACAGACTGTCAACAAACACGCATATTATATATAATATAAGGGGAATATACATTGTTAAAGGAGACAGATTCATCAAAGTGAAATGGTTACAGACTAAGAGAGCAACAGAAAGAGAGACCACCATATATATATATATATATGGATACACATCAGGTAGATACGCATAGAAGTGATGAAATGCGATAGTTTATCTTTAGAGTTGTTGAAGAATAGTGGGCGGTTTGGAGAATACCAATCGTATTTTAGCAGCAGAGAATGTTTCAACCAATTTTTTATTCTTGTCTGACAAGCCTTATGATTGTGATTGTACAGCTGAGTGAATGAATGAATTTGCCGCCGAAAAGTAACGATTCTTCATTGAACTGTTTTTGTTTTCTTTCTTATATTTGGGTAATTCTTGTCAATTGAAAAACTCTTATTTAAATCGCTGTTTTACTGTTGAAATGTTTTCTTTGTCTTTTTACTTATCAATCTACACATCTGTTTTGTACCATTTTGAAATTAGCTATCCTTGAACAGTCTGGACGTGTTCTACCGATTGAATATCCTAGAGTAAGCGATAATTGTTGCATTTTTGTATGTACTTTTTATATGTACAACGCAGACTTTGTCGTTGTTTAATGGTGAAATTTGTTTATCCTTGGTTAGGGGTTTGAATATACTACCTGCCGAATTAGTACGCGTTTCTGTACTGGACTGTATTAAACAGATTGACTGACTGACTGAATGACTAGATTTCAACGTAGAACTATTTCGCACAGATTTGCAGCAGCTCCAGTTGCCACACTCCATTCCATGTACAACATAAGACAAAAGAAGAGGGTAAAAGGGGAGGTCCAAAATACAGATAATAAACAAAAATGTGAGTGACTGAAAAAGAATAGTAATTGATTGGACACAAGTAACTAGGGTGATTTGTCTAGTCCTTTCTCCGGTGCAGACTGAAATCTATCAGTCCAATAGTTTGCAGTGTGGCTACCATTCTAGGTAGCTCACTATCACGGTGCTAGTTAGTACTTGTCAGCAAGGTGTATCTGGAACCTTGAAGAAACTCATATCCCTTCTGAAATTGGAACCCGCGTCACCCAGTGGAGCTGCAGTCAACGACTTTACCTGCCGATTGCTTCCAACCATCTCATATTATCGAATCAATGTGCATCGTGATGGCGAGCTACCTAGAATGATAGCCACATTGCAAAACCTGACTGATAGATTTCATTCAGTCTGCACCAAAGAAAGGACTAGACGCATTACACTGGTTAATAATGTCCAAACAAAGTATCCAATACAGTCCTACAAAGGATCAATCGGGTGCCCGAATAGCTTAGTTATAACTAGTATGACTGCAGCACTGAATGATGCAGCTTGGAATCTCAGAAGGGACACGAGTTCCTTCAAGGTTGCAGATATGTCTTGCTGACGACTGCTAACTACTACGACACCTAGGTCCAAGACTCCCTGTCGATTGCCTCCAACCATATGATACCATCAAAGATTAATAATATTTTGAAGGAACTGATATGTAGTCACACGATGTGTACTTTGTTTTGACAGTCTGATATATTGTGCTATGTGTATATTGATCGATATTCCATTATAACTCACAATATGCTTTGTCTGTCCATTAGTTAAATAAACAATGTATAACCTTTTTTATCACGTGACATTACAGCCAATCAGAATGCAATGGGGGTAAGAGAAACTACTGTCTGTCTTATTGGTTCATGTATATTAGTCATTTTCATATATACTCTTGTATTGTACACTTGTATACACACACTTGCTCACACCTTTCGTACACTACGTACCCTTTCACTCACACACTCGTGTGACAGTCAATTTCCCTTGTTGGAAAATACACGTATCATCGTGAACGTGGTGGCTTTCTGATTCTCCCCTTTTCGCGTCAGGACAATTAACTACTTTTATTATTATTATTATTATTATATAAGCTTTATTCCAAATCAGTACTTGTGATACAGAATGGAATTCTCAGCATTTTACTACAATATTGCATCCAGTTTTTTGTTTACATTAACAATAAATAAAGTTCTACATAGTTTAAAGATTATCTCAACAACATATTAGTATGTCGGTAGCAAAGCCAAAATTAAAATGTTTGAAGGTGTTACAAAAGTAGATACTACTAGCATATTTACTGGCGTAAGCGATAGCAAAATGGTCGAGATATACAGAGTGTAAAAGAACGAACAAGAATGTTTTAAGTAGAGTTTGCAAGGAAGAGAGAAACAAAACAGCACATAACAAAAATAAATACAGAATGAAGAGAGAGAAAACGTTGTACCTATAAATGATGTGAGTTGGAAAGACGAGATTCATTGGTTCTAGTGACTATTTAATAAGTTAAAGGTTTCATGCCTGATGCATTCTTTATCACACAGAACACGGGCTAGGTAGGGTATGGATGAGTTTTTGTACTTACTAGTGCGAGCATATAGTTTCCTATATAGACTTCTTGTTTTCCCTGAAGAGATACATGGGGAGAGTTGTGAGTGTAGAGGGTGTTGTGAGTCAGATAAAATGGACTTCGCCCATTTTTCACATGAGTCCATGTGCCTGTCCACCAGAATGTTAACAAGCTGGCTAAGTGGCAAGCTGCTTACCCTGCTGACAACCTTTAACATCCTACGTAATAAGGTATAGTCTTTCTTCAATAGCCCAGAAAGACTAAGGGAGCAATAGATATACGACAAGTACACAACATATATTGGCGACGGGGAAAACTATGGATTCTTCAAAATTCGAATTACTATTTGAGCAACAAATGGAATTAATGCAAATACTCATCAACAAACAGACTGGTTCAGCTTCACCTTCAAGCGATCCGTCACCATCTGTCGATGGAATTGTGAATAGTATTTCACAGTTCAGTTATCATCCAGATGCTAATGTCACTTTTGACATATGGTATCAACGCTATGAGGATTTATTCAGAGTTGATCTCGCCTCTCAGGACGATGCTTGGAAGGTACGATCGTTACCACGTAAATTGGGTCCTGCAGAATATGAAAGGTACTGCAACCTAATTTTACCTCTAAAACCACTTTCGACCAAACAGAACCATTTAGTTTCATACAAACAAATGTCTTGTAGGGTTTTTCAGATTTTTTTATTTAAATAGTAGAAAAGGATCAGTTCCTTGACTGAACGATTGGAAAGAAGCTCTCTTATTTTTGATGAAATTTTTTGTTATATTGGTATATTTATAGTGACGAAAAATATTCGTCTTTCTGAGTCTGTCCAAGCATTTTCCACAGGGTTACAATTTTCAAGATCAGCCCAAGCCTGATCAAAATCGATTTCGTGCCATTTGAGTAGTGCAAGACCCTGCTCCTCTGAATAACTGAAGTCTTTAGTAGCCGTGTCCAAAAATTTCTGTAAGTGGTCATTACAGTTTTCAGGTATCGGACGCCACATAAGTATTCCATGATGTAATGCGTCTGTATAAGTTGAAGGTGATTCCTCCATTCAAAGACGAACCCCCTTTATCATCCTGAGAGGCGAGATCAACTCTGAATAAATCCTCATAGCGTTGATACCATATGTCAAAAGTGACATTAGCATCTGGATGATAACTGAACTGTGAAATACTATTCACAATTCCATCGACAGATGGTGACGGATCGCTTGAAGGTGAAGCTGAACCAGTCTGTTTGTTGATGAGTATTTGCATTAATTCCATTTGTTGCTCAAATAGTAATTCGAATTTTGAAGAATCCATAGTTTTCCCCGTCGCCAATATATGTTGTGTACTTGTCGAGTAGTTAATTGTCCTGACGCGAAAAGGGGAGAATCAGAAAGCCACCACGTTCACGATGATACGTGTATTTTCCAACAAGGGAAATTGACTGTCACACGAGTGTGTGAGTGAAAGGGTACGTAGTGTACGAAAGGTGTGAGCAAGTGTGTGTATACAAGTGTACAATACAAGAGTATATATGAAAATGACTAATATACATGAACCAATAAGACAGACAGTAGTTTCTCTTACCCCCATTGCATTCTGATTGGCTGTAATGTCACGTGATAAAAAAGGTTATACATTGTTTATTGAATTAATGGACAGACAAAGCATATTGTGAGTTATAATGGAATATCGATCGATATGCACGTAGCACAATATAACAGACTGTCAAAACGAAGTACACATCATGTGACTATGTATCAAGAACAAAGGAGTTTCATTGGAAAAGAGAAACCACAGAGAGTAAGTGAATGCATCTGCGCCGTCGCTTAACATCGGCTTTGATGTGTATCGGTTTTTGGTTGATTGTTGTCCTTTTGAAGACATCAGAACGCCGACCAGAATGTCTACACCTCCCTACTTGACTGAGTGGTTAGCTGAAGCTAACTGTTTTGGATTTCACTGACTGATAAAGCCTTGTTCCCATCTGACCGCCATTAGCTAACTCTTTCTTAAATAATCTATTATCTGTCAGCTAACATTACTCATCGATACGGGTGATGGCTAGGCATGCATGTGTAACGCAACACATGTTCTGAACACATCAATTCATTTAACTTCACAACCTCTTCGGTTGATTTCTCTTCCTTACCTACCTAGCAGTTGACGGACACCTAACTTCAATGTCGCTCATCCAATTAAACCACCTAACACGGGATGTAGATGGTACGCAGATACCTATGATCAAAGATAGCTAGAAACGGCTCTTCATGCGTTTCACTTTCGATGGCCATAATGGAGAAGGTGAGAGCCGAGTGGTAAGACATGTACCTGTCCTCTGATTGATAGTCAGGCAGATATCAAGTCTACTACGCCAGAGATGGTATAAGTTAGCTGAGTAATTATTCATTGACACCTAACTGTTGAATGCAAATAATCATAAGATGTGAATTCGTAGTCCTCTCCATTTCTCACTGATTTCAATACCTGAAATAAAAGGGTCTATTACATAGAATATATACAAGACAGTCGTCTCGAAAGTGCATTAATCCATTTCTATTTAGAAAAACTAAAAGGTATATTTTAAGGCGATAGAAGTCTGCAAAACTTGCGTAACTTCTTATGAAAGAGTTCTACAGTTATTTTTCTTTTTAGACGTTGATGAATATGTATACTGCTCATTGCCGATCAAAGCTAGTGGGTAGTTATGTAACAACAGAAGACAAGGGCCAGGCAACATCGTTTATTAAGGAAATCAACATGTATTTATATATAGATTTCATGTACACTATTATAGCTTATTCAAGGAAACAAACACAGTCTTCTGATTGGTTGTTTCTCACAGAAAGTTAACCTTGCATCTCTTTGTGACTGTTTCTTGAATGTCAGATCATCTATATGTTAACCGTATCCGCCTACGCAAAGTCTGCTGTGGTTGGTTGTTGAATCAGTCTTGTTCATATTTTCTCATGACCAATATTTGGGACATAAACATTGACGTAAATTAATGTCTACCAATTTGGCTAGTGGCCTGCTCTCATCACAGTTATTCTCCCCGTTAAATAGTCGAGGAAGCGTACAAACGATTAACTAGTAACAAGTGTAGTCTGCAAAGATTTCAAACTGGGTCATAAAAAGAAAAGTATACAAAGTTTACTAATGCAACAAAACAAAATAAATTTAAAATCCTGACTAAGTCCATAAACATGAAACAGGCTGCAAAAAAAACACTTTCTAATTCATGACACCAGGTAGTTGTGGCGCTGTATTTCACAAATCAGTAGAGTTCATAAGCCATTAGATTTGATAGTTCCAGTAGCCAATTTGGTGAAAGCGTTCTCGATGTAACCTAATAATCCTGCTTTCGTCTCCCCCTCGCTCAAAAAAGTCATAGTTGCTACTGAAGAGTCATAAACGGCAACTGTTGGTTCCAGTGGTTCTCTAACTGATGTCATTCCGTCATCTCACATTCTTGTAAACCAGCATTTGCAAAAATAGAAGATAGCTTTCTGCCTTTTCATTGTTTTTTGTTCTGATTTTTCCCCCCTTTAAATTTACTGTATAGTTGAATCTTACTGAACGTGAACTTGTTATCAATTTTATCACGGATTCATTACAACCAAAAGTTGTTGACGGTGAGCTACAAAATTATCAAGTTGATTTAGTTGAACAGGTAAGATCCTTTTTTCCATGTTTTAATTTTTGTTGTATTTCGTATAGTACCTAATCAGCAGTCGAAAACAGTTGACCCCAGGTTTGATGTTTTTAAGCACTCGTCAACATGTTATACCCAAGTAACTGATGTCTTCTTTCGAAAATATGGACTAAAATTCCTCCATTCCTTCAATTAAAGACGTTAAAACCAAGTTAATGTATTCAATGTGCATTATAGTGGCGAGTTCCCTAGATCGGAGAACACGTTTCACAATTGACCAATAGGATTACGCCAGTTCTGAGGATAAGGCTGTATATCATTAGTCATTTCCCGACTGACCAATCAGTATGTAGCTTTATATAACGCTTCAAGGTGAATAGATTTTAGGCTTGAATTTCGGCGGTTATATATAGTGTTTTCGTATCGTAACCTCTGGAAGCTACTGTGGAAGACTCTCGGGATAAAAAGTAAATATTGAGGTGTAGTGGAATAATTATTAGCAGCTCTGATATTGGTTCGTTTTCCTATCCGTGCTGGACAGTGCTTGAGGAAACGGGGATGGATTCGCTGTATCGTTTTGAAACGATCAAACTTCAGAGACTATTCTTCACCGATAAAGATTAGTAATTATCACCCACACCATATTACTACTATTAATACTACCATTATTTAAACACAAACTTTATACATAATGGGCATCAAGAGTTACGCCACAATAAATTTCATAGTTTTTGCAAGGACTAGGATTCTGCCTAGGCGCTTAGACCGAAGCAAGTAGTTGTTTTAAGGGGTTGACATCGAAGCCTTTGACTCAAAGTATGATCCACAAGTCAGTTGGGTAGTGCTAAGAGTTTCATTCCCATGGTTCACTGTGACCGAAACAAGTTTATATTCCATTCAATGTTTTCGGATTTTGAACATCACCGATTTCGAGTTAGGGCTTTCTAGCTCCTCTAATTCGTCCTGACTCTCCACCAGTGGAGTTGTAAGCGCCCTTTCACGTTTGTGGGGAACAATCCTTTTGTGTTTAGACAGTGAATAGGGCTCAAATAACCACTTGAGAGGATTCCGAGGAGAAGACGGAGATCTATCCACCCTTAGTCGTACCAGGTCATCTATGGGGGCTATCCACACCATTGGTGTAAAGAGCATTGTAGCTATTGATTAAGTTTCAATCCTATTGATTCAGCAGTCACGTGTTTATAAACCATAGAGCTCGATATAGCTGCATGTCATATACTGTGAAGTAGTATCAATAGTTAGAAAACTACTCGCGTCAAACAGTAATGCTTACTACTTGGCTCGACGTGATCCAAACATCGGATAGCGATTTCACTTGTTTGGAGTGAATCTGGTTAGGCAAATTGACAGTGTTTTGTTAATTAAGGGTAACGTCCTTTGTGTCATTGCTGTGAATTATGTACAGATTTAATATCTTCTATTTGTAAGGATAGATGTAGGTGATAGTTTTTAGCACTTTCGGCTCATCTCAAGGAATAGGTAAGTTCTATTCATCCTTGCAGGAGTGTCTCTCACAGAAGTGAAAGCGTAAATGTAAACATTTGGTACTTACAACCGGATTGACTAGTGGTGGACACGCTGGTCTACCTAGGGGTTGCTGCAATACTCCGATTCCCAATCCAAAATCCGAAAGGTTCAAATGGCGTATGTATTCGTGTTGGAAACCAGAAACCACAAGTGACGCTACTCTACTGCATTGTAGATCAGACTTAAAGTAAAAGACTCCGGGGATGGTTGGCAATCACTAGATTCAGTGTGAGCGTCTGAGTAGGATTTCAGCCGTTGCACAAATTATGAAATTTTGTGTAGCATATCTCTTAGTGCCCATAATGCATCAAGTTTGTCATGAGGTCTTTCTGTCTGTTTTCAACATAAAACTCTGCACCGATATACAGCAGTTCAAGTCTCCACACTGCCTCCATGTAGCACACAAAGCAAGAGAAGAAAGTAGAAAAAGTGCAAAATACAGACAGTAGACAAGGAAGGATATGAAACGAAGAGAATAGTACTATTGAAGAACCATATAGTTTTTATTGGAAATTGTAAGTCACAAGGAGTGGAGTGATGAAGAGTCCGGAACAAATACGAAACAGCTGTCCAGGACTCCCTGTTGATTTTTCAATGATTCTCTAAATGATATCAGCTCACGATGAAATCCTGTGAATAATAATTGTAATTGTTCATCGTAGATAGGATACATAGTCTGTTGCATGATGATGATGCTCTTCCCAGGTAAATAACTTTTCTTCCTGTGGTCAAAATATAATTTTTTTTTCTAGACAAATTGAATTGTTTATTCCAATATCTACTGTTTTGTATTCATTTCATTAAATCACATAGTATATTCGATCTGGTGAAGTTCATAAACCATTAGAGGTTGTTGCACAATCATCTTTACATAAGGATACAGAACGTGGAAATTTACGTAAATCACTTGAAGAAATTATTGAACACACGGATAAAGCCTATTTACCAGGTAAGTAATTTGCATCTTGTTTGGTTGTACAACGTATGAGACGAGTCGTATATAAAACCAGGGAAGATTTGTAGTTCAGGTGAATGATTTGCAATTAGTAGTATAGTATTCTCTGAGCTGGTTGGTTTACTTGCGGACCTTTCGTCATCCTTCTAGACAACATTTTCAGCACAATTTTCGAAATAAAGTTAACCTACTAACTGTCTTCAAAAAGAATAGATATCCGCACAGTTTCAACAAAACGTCTTTAAAATCGAGTCACAACACCAACAAGAAACCGTGTCGATGGCACAGTTGGTTTGGACTCTCGCCGACCATGCAAATGGTCCGAGGTTCGATCCCCTGCCGACGCACACCTGATATCTATCAGTCGGCCTGCGAAATTTGGGCTACCGATATCCATGCTGAAAATTCCATATTTGTGCCGAAAACACACTGTGGAATCAAGCTGTAATCAAAAAATTTTAAAAAAATAAAAAAATCAAAGACTACAAGAAAATTCATTCTATCATATATAAAAATATCTCTGAAATAACAGCTAGAATATTGAAACCGTTTAACATAACATAACAATTTCGCTTTTATTCCAGAAACAGTACTTGTGGTACAGTGTGGAATTTTCAGCACATATCTACAATATTGCATCTAATTTCATCGTACATTTAAAAGGAGTATTACAAAAAGAAAAAGAAATATTGGAAAAACACAACAAAAAACCAAAAAAGAAATACAGAAATAACAAAAAATGCAAATAAAAATACCAAGTAGAAAGAAAGATGAACACCAATAATGTAAAGATATTTCAGTATTGGATAGTGGAAGCTATGATATGTGTATGCTTGGTGAACAGTAACAGCTATAATCATACAAGAAATTATGAGATGTTCTTAAGAATGTTTATAGCCAAGATGATCAGTTTAAAATATATATAGCACACAAGCCAGCCAGCTAGCACAATCACTTCATTCGATATTGTGCAAACCAAAAGATCCAACAAAAAAAGGAGATAAAATTAATACCATTTAGAAAACAAATTATATGAACTGTTACAAACATTACATCGGTCAACAAATTGGGCGTCCCCTTCGAATCAGAATCCAGGAACACGATTCATCCGTGAAAAGACATGATATATATATTCTTCCATATTAATGCCTGCGGATAATCATGGACATCAATATGAATGGGATAATGTAGAAATTTTAGACAGGGACACACCAAAAGTCCCAGGCAACACCTGGAAACTTTGTACTCAAACGAATATACAATTAAGAAATATGTTGATATAGACCAAATATACCAACTAATAAAAAATAAATCATGTGACGAGAAGGTTTAAAATCCGAGTCAGTAAAAAATGATGAATACATATGTAAAGATGGTTACTAGGAGACGCAATTCTATCACTCATGGAGAATTTAAATCAGTTCACTTCATGCTAAAACTTGCGCTGAAGGGGGATGTTGTCCAGCAGGTGGACGACGAAAGCTCTGCAATTAAACCAACCAGCTCCACTTCAGTTACAAATCTTCTCTAGTATTTCAAAATAAGCGGTTTGTCTGATTCATACATTAGTACAAATTAGAATAATATAATTCATCTTCCATTTTGGTGTGTTATTGATTTATTGATTTATTTCCTTTTAGATGGTTTCTTTCCCTATTGTTCTCGAGCTACGCTAGCTGATCTTATTCAAAAGAATATCGAGAATGATATAGTAAATCTCATTAAATTACCCGCAGTAAGTTTACGTAACATTATTTCCATTTGTTGGTCCCATTGTTCGATTAGTTTTTAGGTATAATTTATGCCTCCTAATGATGGTCACTCAATGCTTAAACACACAGTAGCACATATTTCTATTTAGTGGCAGTTTACAGTTCATTGTAGGGTGTTGTAAAATAGAAAATATTGTTTTATCGATTAAGAATAGTGTGTGTACGTTGTGCTGCTGTTCTTGTAGGTAAAATAACTAGTCAGCATACTTATTCATTGGAGATTATATGATCCTTCTAATTTACTGTAAAATGCGTGGGTAGTTTGGCAGTAGAGTGCGCTCACCAACTACGCACGTGGTCCTAAGTTCGATTCCTGTCTCACTCCTTAATCTCACCTAACCTAGCCCGTACGTGTGTGGTTAACAGCTCCCTCCTGTGAAAATAAATGATACCATCGCCACTGAAATTTTTAGCCCTCAAGCTTGAAACTCGATGTTCCACTAAGGAAACAAGGAATGAAGTGTCTGCTTTTATACCCTACTTTGGAGTACCTAAGTAGCGTAACCTGAGACAAATGCCATTTGATGTCCAATTTCATTTCTATGACATTGTACGCATGCTGATGACTTTTGACAAGCATTAAATTTATGTCAAATAAAGTATCTCTATCCATTGTCTTCTATCAACACAAAGTTGATGACCGGAACTTACTGAGAAGTTCCTTTATCTGTCAAGTGCTTGTTGCTAACAAATTTCGACCGATTGACTTTAGAATATGGTTAATTAGTAGAACGCTCTTCATCAGGGTCCGATTTAAATTTGTTAGATAATTACAGTAAGTAGACAGGAAGTCTTACCCTAAATACTACACATTGGTGATACAAAGTTGACCAATGGTTTTATTTGACACTGTCCTCTGTAGAAGACTGGGGAATTTTATTATTTTATTTAAACGCATAAAAAACTTGGTACAATATGGCACCAAGAAAGATGCGCCACACAATAATAATAAAACAACATAGATCAAAAAAAGGAAGGAAGGAAAAGAAAAAATATATATAAGTAGAGAACGGATAAAGAACTTCATCTGGAAGGAAAACAGTCATGCTTAACAAGTTCAAACAGTGTTCGTTAGCTATCATCGGGAAGGGAAGAAAGAAGGAAATCACAACACATTCGCCACTGATTACGATTCTTGGCCATATCCGATAACGTTTCGAGCCATCGATTTGAGCTATCTCTCGGACCCCAACCAGGGAGTCGTGACACACCAACCGATGCTAATCTAGCACAAAAATCCTTCATCCCACGACGCCACGTCATGGACTGACCACCTCTCCGCCTTTTCCATCCCGTCCCAGGGCTAGCGAACAGAGACCTGTACGGAAGCCTCTGGGGTGACATTCGGAGCACATGTCCAAGCCACCGGAGCCGGTGTTTCCAGATGACGACATTCAATGAATAGTGATCTCCACTTTGTTCAAACACACGCCGCCGAACCTCAGAATTACTCACGCGATGATGCCATCGAACACAAGCAATCCTGCGGAGACAGCGGTGATCGAACACGCAGAGTCGCCGCACATCCTCAGCTCGGAGAGGCCAGGTTTCACAGGCGTAGAGCAGGACAGCTCACACCGAAGCATTGTATACCTGACCTTTGACAGCCAGGCTAACGTCGCGACGGCGCCAGAGGTAGCTCAAGTTGATGTATACCACCCTAGCCTTCATTATACGGTTGGAAATCTCATCCGTCACCCCTCCGCCAGCACTCACACAACTACCCAGGTACACAAACTTATCAACAACTTCAAGCGGTTCACCCGCAAGAGTGAGTGCAGGTACAGGCTCCTGCCAATCTTGTAACAGTACTTTGCACTTAGACGGCGCAAAGCACATACCATACTTACAGACACTGATCGCCAACTGATTAAGTGCGATTTGGGCAGCCTGCATGCTATCGCACAGTAAGACGATATCGTCTGCATACTCGAGGTCGAAAAGTCTATCTCCAGGTAGCAGATCTACACCACCTTCACGCACATCCTTCAGAGCTGACTCCAGAATGTCATCGATGGCAAAGTTAAAGAGAAACGGAGAGATTGGGCAACCCTGTCTAACCCCACTGTTGGTTGGGAACAGTGGTGATAGTTGGTTGTATGCCCTCACTCTACCTGAGGTGTTTCTGTATAGGGCTTTCAAGATGTTAACAAATTTCTCAGGTACACCTCTCTCTAACAGACAGTTCCAGAGCACAGTTCTGTCCAACGAATCGAAGGCAGCCCTAATATCAAGAAACACAACGATCGTTGGCCTGCAATACGTGTGGCGGTGTTCCAACAACTGACGAAGGGTGAACACCTGACTGGGGAAACCATCATACACTAAAGGAAATAACCTTCAATCTATGAAATCCGATAATACAATAACTGTGTTGCTTCCTCCAATTCGTTATTAGAGTGAATGAGACAAAATTCGTTTCACGGCTCTATTGCATGAATCCTAATGTTCTTAGTTGACAAATATTGTTGAAAAATAAGCCATCATATATCTAAACGCAGCTTTCTGAAGAGCGAGCATAGTGTTGTCACTTGACGGAAACAGTTCTACATGGGAAAGTGATGGTCAAGTGCACAGAGCTGACGGATATCGTCAGCTTGAATTTGTTCAATTTCACTAATGCAGGGCAGGATTGCTTACATTAAAGTGTTATTAAATTCGATAGGTGATATATTATAGAATTTGGCGTGTTATTTTTACTATCCTTTATTTGCCTCTACTAGTACAGATATATGTAGGGACGTGAAATCTTTACTTATTTCTGCTTCACTGCAGATAAAATATCCCTTTGGTTCTTATAGGAATACTTTTGACTTCATTCACACTATTGAGTATATTCGTAGATCAGTACAACAGCTTCATGCCAACTAATTATTCTCTTACGAGTTGATGACTGATTTATATCATTTAGAGAACAACTCAAAAACTAGGGGTACTGGACAGCTGTTTCATTAGCCTAGTTTGGGAATCATCGGCAATACGCGCCCACTCGGGTTCATATCAGTCAGCAACTGGGACCCGATTCAATGGCTGAATAGGATACAAGCTTGCCTTGTAACCGGAAAGTCCTGAGTTCGAACCCTGGTAGTGGGTGCGTCTGTCTGTCTGTCTGGATTCAACATAGAACTTGGCACCGAAGTGCAGCAGTTCGAGTTGCCACGTTCCAAATAGCACACAGAGGTAGACAAGAAGATGAGTGAAGAGAATCAATAGAGTTTGACAAGTATAAGAGTGAAACAGAATGGGTAATGGTAGAAAGGAATATGAAAGATTACAGAGACTGAATACATCTGCGCCATTGACAACGATTTTGAGCCATGTCACCTATTGTCTCCAGCCATTGATTCCTAGAGTCCCGAGGGCCCCAACCCGGGAGTCTGCATCTCCCTACCTGACTCAGTTTAACTGTCAAGGATTTCATGGATTGATGCCATGTTTTTGTTTGGCCACCACTGGCTCTTTTCCAACCTGAACCTATATCAGCTAGTAATGCCCGTCGGGGGAGGCGGTGGTTAGGCATGCGCAGCACGTGACCTAGCCATCTTAGTCTATGTAACTTTATAGCCTCGTCGATTGATTTTCCCTCTTTGCCCAACACTCTACGCCTAACGTCAACATTACTTATCTTGTGAAACCACCTAACGTGAGACAGAGATCGCAGACATCTATGATCGAAAGCAGTCAACCTTTTCATGTCTTCAACGCGTATTGGCCATGTTTCAGAGCCATAGAGAAGGACGGAGCGAACTGATGAGCAGTACACACGTCCCTTGGTTGATAACCGGATGTCACGCCTACGCCAGAGATGGTGTAAGTCAGCGAAAGCAGCTCGAGCTTTTCGGATCCGTGCTGAGATTTCATCGCCAATCAGTCCGTTGGTGCTAATACAACTTCCCAAATAGGTGAAGTGGTCAACATGTTCTATCACTTCACTCCCTATCACTAAGTTAGGGGTGACGTGGTCCAGTCCTGTAGCAGCATCTTACATTTTGTAGGGGCGAATCGCATGCCAAACATACGAAGATTGCTGCTCAAGGTGTTCAGAAGACTCTGCATTTTGTCAGCATCCTCCCCTAACAGGACTATGTCATCTGCATATTCTAAGTCCATAAGACTATTCCCTGGTAACAAGTCGATTCCTAAGTCATTACGTTCAGTTAAGGATACTTCCATTAGCATATCTATGATGAAGTTAAACAGAAATGGGGAAAGTGGACATCCCTGTCGGACACCACTGGTTGTTACCAATTCAGATGACAATTCCCCATAAGCCCTTACACGACTACGTGAGTTTGAATAGAGTGCCTTGATTAGTGCAATGTACTTTCTTGGCACTCCCTTCACAGTCAGACATTGCCATAGTACCTTTCGATCCACGGAGTCGAAGGCCGCCTTCAAGTCAAGAAATATGACAATTGTTGGACGCCGAAAAGTGTGTCTATGTTCTAGAATCTGTCGAAGAGTGAAGATATGATCTATGCACCCTCTACCTGGTCTAAAGCCTGCTTGATTTTCCCTTGTCTGTTCCTCCCGAGTTCTGCTTAGTCTATGCATGATTACTGAGCCTAGGATTTTAGAGACTATGTTCGTTAGGCTGATCCCCCTATAATTATCACACAAGGACTTGTTTCGTGCTACAGATGATTCCCAAACTAGTGGGGGAAACAGCTGTCTGTCAGTACTCACTGCCTGGTTTTCAATGGTTCTCTAACTGATATCAATCCATGATCAACTCGCGAAAAAACAAATTTAATGCTTACTAACCAACTATTGAAAATTATTTTTTTTACTAGTCTGGTGACCAGTACAACTGAAAATTTCCCAGGCTTTTTTTTAATTCTTGTTGATGATATTGTTTTATTATTCTTGTCAAGTAATGTATTTCTCCCCTTTTTTTCTTCAGAATTCAAATACTACTCGTGGCTGTCTAGATGTAAACCGTCGGTCTACAAAGATTTTATTCAGTGGGGAGTAAGTAATTTCTTCAGTTGTTTTTTCATTATTCAATTGTAATTTCATTCTAAGTGGCTCCTGAGTGTAATGGCAGAAGATAAGCGAAATGATAACGGGTCTTTTTATTTCATAAAAATACACATAATATTTATACATTTTGAACCACATTAAAAGTGGTCTAGGTCATAGGGAAATAAATCGTTCTGATTGGCTGTTTATTGGCCCAAGGTTAGAGAATGCAAGGAAAATTTTTCCAGTGAGATTATTTCTAGATCACAACGTAAACCAAATCCAAATTTGAAGGATGAATACTTCTGCCTTTGTAACCATTGACTAGAAATGTTGATTTCAGTTCTTAATTCGTCAATAATCAATACCCATCATCCAAACAATATTGAAAGGAAAACACGTTGTTCAGCAAGGAGTCTCTTTTCGACGGCGAATTCATTCACTGAGCTGTACAATCTAGTTGTTTTTGTATGTCTGTATGTGTGTGTGTGCACACACTACCTTTGTCAGATGAAAATAAAAATTAGTTAGGACTATTGTTAACGTCATAAAAATATTTCAAAAAATGTGCTGTATGATCAAATCGTAAGTAGCGTGGTGAGAATAGAGATTATTAAGAGGGTAGTTGTGATGAGTTGTCACAAAATAGCTTACTTGTTAATGTTAGTTAATGCATAAAAGAGGTTGATTAAGTGTACTGCAGTTGCGTAATAAGATGAATAATTTAATGATCGAGTGTTGATTAAGATGTACATAGAAACGAGAGAAATTATAGAATTATGTGGAGGTCTTTAATAAATACAAGAGTTATCAGGGGTTAGAAGAACAAATAAAGTAACTAAAACCAAATCAGTAGAAATCAACGTGATTGTTTTCAAGATAATACAAGTGGTTGAAATATTTTCTTCTATATATATTGCACTGGTTTTTTCGTCTGAATGGCTAAAGCTTTGGTAGTGCAAAGTGGACGAAAGCGTATTATCTTTTATCTTTACTTTGTACATTACTTTGAATTGCAAGGGGGGGGGGTGGGATTTGTTGTGATGGAATGATCAGTGTTGACAGGGTGTTCGATTATCGCACTCATTGTTCTTGAACCCTTTTAAAGAGGATACGCGTCGAATGACTGATATGCCTTGTTAACTGCACAGCAACAGTTAAATTGATAGATGCACATAGGAGTGGTCACATGCGAGATCTTGTCCTTCCGCAGATCAATAAACGAATAGCGAACACTACTCTCAGGTGTCTGTTGCACACCTCACATAAGTAGTTATAAGGTTTGGGCAGACAAACATTTTTTGCATATTAAAGTTGCCCAGCTTCATACCATGCACATGGTCCGGGGTTCGAGCCCGCACCGACGCACATCTGATATCTATGGTCGGCCTGCGAAATTTGGGCTACCGATATCCATGCTGAAAATTCCATACTTGTACCAAAAATACAGTGTGGAATCAAGCTGTAAATCAAATAAAAATAAAAAATAAAATAAGTATTGTGTAGAGACTCCAGTGACCGTAGAAAAGTCATCAAACACCTTGTGAAATATGGTCTCTGAAGATGGATGCTGAAAATATCTTTTTTTTAACATTCCACTGGGATTAATATAAGAGTAGAACTTGTGCACTGTGGTAGAGTATAATTCCATTGTGGATAAAATTTATTTTGATAAAGTCTTTGATAAAGTTTCCTTTAATTCTTAGTGGCTTCAATCACACGTCTCCACTGCGTTTGGTTCTCTGTCAACGTTTTCACCTGGCTCCACGTCTGCCCACATGCTTTTATCTCCTCTTCACATGACTCCCTCCATGTCACCCTCACACTGACAACCAACTCGTCGCTTCCCATTCCAGTTCCACCAAATGAGACAAAACAATATAATTTACAAAATACCTCGTAATAACTGTGAGTTAAGTCAACTACATAGGTCAAACTGGTAGATCGGACGGAGATAGTCAGATTGCTTGTCAGAATATAAGAATTTAGCTAAGGTTACAATAATTGATTCCACATATGACAAGTAATTTTTGAAAAAAGCTCACCAATTGCACTGCATGCATTAACACACAATCACACAATAGGGTGGGAGAGGGTTAACATTTCCAAGATGTAATCTGTGTAGGTGGTGGGAGAGGTTGATTACTGAATCATTGTTCATCAAGTCTACACCAAACACATACAACAGGAATGATTCATCAGTCATACCGGAAGTATGGAGAATACTACTACCAATCAAATCAATTGATGGCAAATAATGGAATTATATAAACGAAGTTAAAAAGTTGTGTGACTAGTGCCTTGATATGATTATGAGTAGCAATGATAAATTGTTCTCAAAAGTTAGTCATCATGTAAATATCACTGTACAACAAACACTATGAGACTTTATCAAAATAATATGGAATTCACCGGGATTTATACAAATATTAAATTTAATCTAATGTTTAGTCGGAGAAGTTAAACTTTCGACACCACTAACTACCAATCAGCGAATTATCCAATGAGATTCACGAACACAGTTCAATGTTGTATAGCGCTTGATTCATTTCTAATGCGTGACCTTACAAGGCTACAGTTGCAATTCGAGGAGGTTAGTGTTTTCCAGTATTTCCTGGATTTGAGTTGCTCCGGAAAGAGCGAATTTGTTTGTGTGGTGGTATCATTACGTTTAAAAGCTATACCAAATCAACTGATGGGTTTGTTCATCTGGAGACGGTAAGCTGATAATTTTAATATTTCGTAGGAACTTACTTTCGCTAGGTCGCATCTCTCCCTAACCCAGATTTTGTATATCTGCAACTAATGGGTGTTGAAACAGGCTGTGAGAGCAGCAGCTGCCGAGATGGAGAATAGCCATGTCTCAACAGTTCAGTGGTACCAGCATTGCAGAGACATCGCATCATGGCAAATGGGGAAAATCACTTGTTTGCTGGGTAGGGAAGACGTTATCGTGCGTGTCGATGAAACAGTGCTGGTTATAAAGAAATACAACCGTGGTCGCCAGCCAGCGAACAATATATGGGTAATAGGTTTGTATGACACCTCCCTACGAAAGAGATTCGTCGAAAGGATAGCAGATGGAAAAGCATTGACAGTCCCATGCTAAACTGGGAGATGTTTGTCTCACATGTTCGAAAAAGATATCTCATGTAACTTTTTCATTCTCTATTTTGTGCTTTTTTTTCTATAAATATACATTTCCATTCATCATATATGCCTCTTTAATGTGACTGGTTCGTTCAAGATCGTTTGCTGATTGGTTGTTAGTGGTGTCTAAAGTTTAACTTTGCCGTTTAATCATTGTGTATGTATGGTGTTCATTATGTGAATCATGAAATACATAAACTACACAATAGGATTGATTGCATTCAAAGCATATTTCTTTCCATTCTTCTCCTTATTTTATTTAGTTCATCTGACCTGTTGGACTTTGGTGTCCACTGTACATCAATCAATTGTTCCGAAAAGTCGAATGAAACAAAGTCAACATGTCATAAATCGAAAGGAACAGTATTGATGGCTTATACAATGGGAGATGAAAATTTCGGCTTCAATTCATTGTTGGCAATTGAAGTAGACGGAAATAGTTTTAATTCTGCATTTCAGTAGGTTTTTTTTTTGCCTTTTAGTGTTGATTGGTTGTTTTCTTGTTCTCTGATAAACGAAATATTCCCTTGTATCGATTTAATCGTTTAGTTCTTGTTGTTTAACTTATCTCGTTCTTAGTATGATGTCGCAGGCAACGCTCACATGCTTCAGAGTCCAATTCCTGGCCGATGCACTCCTAAACCTCACCTTGCCTATTGGCCAACAGTAAACCGGGTTAAGAGGCAAGGTTGGGTATCAGACTAGCTGTCCTACGCTTTAAAATATAAGCCTTACTGCTACTAAAACTTTAAAACTCAAGCTTGAAGCCCACTATTTCATCGTGCTATCATGTTAGGTGACTGATAGAATTCAGTCTGCACCAGGCAAGAGACTACACGTATGACACCAGTGGGTTACTACCTGGTGTCCAATCAAAGTATCTAATACAGGACATGTGTTACGTATGCCAAGCCATCGCCTCCCTCGACGAGCTATGTTAGCGGATATAGAGTCAGGCTGGAAAAAAGCTAGCGGTGGTCAAACAAAAACTTGGCCTCATCAGTCAATGAAATCCACAACAGTTGGTCTAAGCCACGTAGGAAGGTGTAGACTTCCTGACTGGCTGGTTGGGGTCCTCGGGGCGGTAAAAATCTATGGTTGGAAACAATTGGTGACATGGCTCAAAACCGTTCTCAGTGGCGCAGATGCATCCACTCCCTGTGACTTATGATCTCCAATGAAACTGTTTTGTTTTTCTTTATTACTCCTTTGTCTCACACGTCTGTTCACTGTTTCTATTATGCTTTTCTTGTACTTTCTTCTCTTGCTTCGCGTGCTACACGGAATGTGGCGACTTGAACTTCCGCACATTTGTGCAAAGTTCTATGTCGAAAACAGACAGACAATACAGTTCTGCAGGTGGTCAATCGCGAGTCCGAATAACTCAGTAGTGGTAACGTCTCTGACTGGGTGACACGCCTTCGAATCTCGCAGGGGATATTAGTTGGTTCACGCTTTCAGATACATCATGCTTGAATGGCGAGCACCAACTAGTACAAAACTTGAGTAAGGGAGAGCATCCTGCCGATTGCCTCTAGACATGTAATATTACGATTATTCTGTCCTTGATGTACATCTCCACTGACATGGTTCACCGTCATCTCTTTCATCTGGCTCCCCAAATGTGTATAAACTGTAATTTCCTCTAAACATAGACTCCTCCATGTCATCCTTGGACTTTCATCTTGACACTTCTCATTCGTGTTACACTTCATGGCCTATGATGTCACGTTGCTTGAAGGTATCACCTCATTGTATGTCTACTCCACGTCCTGCCGTGTATTTGTTGAACAATAGATCCTTGTATGTGGTGGCAGATTAGGGATTATTAATTAGTTAGAATTCTTTTGGGTTCAGTATACATGACGTACGTCGGTGGCATAGCTGTAAGGACGCTCGCCGGCCATGCACATGGTCTGGGGTTCGATCCCGGCCACCGACGCACTCCTTTACCTCACCGAACCAGAAATAATGGTGGTAAAGAGGAAAGGTTGGGCATAAGGCTAGCAACCCCCCATCCTGTAAAATAAACACTGCTACAGAAACGTCAAGCCATTAGCTTGAGGCCCTATGTTCCACTGGGGAACGTGAAAGGAAAAAAAATACATGACGGTTCTATTGAATAGAATCTTTGTAGACCGACGGTTCACATCTAGGCAGCCACGAGTAGTATTTGAATTCTGAGGTAAAAGCAGGGAGAAATACATTACTTGACAAGAATAATAAAACAATATCGTCAACTAAAATTAAAAAAAGCCTGGGAAATTTTCAGTTGTACTGGTGATTAGTAAAAAAAATAATTTTCAATAGTTGGTTAGTAAGCATTAAATTTGTTTTTTCACGAGTTGATCATGGATTGATATAAGTTAGAGAACCATTGAAAACCAGGCAGTGAGTACTGACAGACAGCCATTTCCTCCCACTAGTTTGGGAATCATCTGTAGCACGCACCCACTACCAGGATTCGAACCCTGGACCTTCCGGTTATAAGGCAGAGCTGGCTCGTATCTCATTCAGCCATTGAATCTTATCACAGTGGGCGCGTACTGTCGACGATCCTCAAACTGGGCTGACGAAACAGCTATCCAGTACTCCGGTGCTGGTTTTCAATGGTTCTCTAAATGATATAAATCCGTCATCAACTCGTAAGAGATTAATTCGTGAGTATAAGCTGTTGTAATGATCCACAAATCTACTGTGCATCTCTATAGAGTATAAATGAAGTCAAAATTATTCCTGTATGAACCAAAGGGATATTTTACCTGGACTGAAGCATAGTAAAATAAGTAAAGAGTTCACATGGCTACAATATCTGTACTAGTAGAGGCATATAAATGATAGGCTTGTGATCATGCGACCTACTGTGCAGAGTTTCATCGCCTTGTTAGGTGCATTGTGTTCTTCGTCAGTTAAATATGTACAATTGCGTCACATTCCCCTGCATATTAAGTAGTTTGACTTCGTGACATATGTGTCATCCTTTGAATGACACTGAAGTTGATATCACATCTCGATTTTTATTCAACATATCATATTTGAATAGCAAAATGTATTGTGTGGCATTGATGATCGGTTGGAGCTTTAAAACTTCACTCATTGTCTTGAAGTTAACTGTGTAAGATAAAACTGAAATCTATCGTCAGTACTAGAAAGTCAAACGCCTAAACTGTTCTGCAATACAAGCGCGTCGCCCTTATAGCTTGTGTTAGCGTTCATTGTTTACTAGGTCTGTGATTGGATAAAAATACTGAAAAGGTAGTTGGTGCATGACGTCGTAGTATGTTGAGTGAAGAAAAGTTAGCGTATTATGGCTTCTTGAGTAGAGCCCCAGAGATGACCAATGACTAGAGACAATATCAGATTGATATATATCCATATAATATGTGTGTTTGTTTGGCAGTCTGATATATTTTACTATGTATACATGGATCGATATTCCATTACAATTAGCCAATCATGTTAAAGCTGTCTATTGATTTGTTCATTTTGAATATTCGCTCACACAATTGTTCGGACATATTTATATAATTTGCTCTCACACTCTTGTGTGACATTATTGATTTTCCTGGTGTTTTGGAAAATAGAAGTATCATCGCAAACCTAGTAGTCTTCTGATTTCCGTCTTTCTCGCGTCAGGACTATTAAATTCTCGACCAGTACATAACACAGATTTAGCTGAAAATTGAAATCGTTGGTGAACATGCCTCAGTTTCCTTCTGTTGTGTTTTTCCGAAAGTAATACGAAGTAACCATTACGCTTAAAAAGTATCCTCATAATTCTGTTCCACAGTTATTCTATTTCCTTTTTCTTTATTCTATTGTGTCTTTTATCCCGGTGGGTGCGTACTGCTGAAGATCCCAAACTAGGACGAAACAGCTGTCCAGTACTCCCAGGTTTTTCAGTGTTCTCTAACTGATGTCAGCTCATGATTAAATCCTCCATGCAATCTTTATATTACTCATTCTGTGTTGCTCAAATTGCACCAGGTTTGTTTATCATCGCATCCTACCGAGTTGAAATTAGCAGTGGTATCACCAGTTAGACTAGACAAAATCTGAGTGGTTTGAGAAAATCGGGCTCTGTGGTTAGCGACCACTACTGATTGACTTGGCAGTATGTGACTACTCACATTATTCGATAGTAGTATATGACATGATGTAATTACACTTGTTTTCTTGCTTACCTTCTATGCATCAGGCAAGTCACATATTGCGACCTAAATCATTTTGGATTTCTGAACAAACAGCAGTGAAGATTTTTGTATTTCCCAATGAATGAATGAATGAATAACAAAACGATATAGTTGTTTTTATTGACGTTTCGCTAATTAATACTGCTGCTAATAACTTTATCAAAGTATTATTGAACCGGAATGTACAAAATCCACTCAGCATATATATTATATAACGCAGAGTTAAGAGGTGAGGAAATAGACAAGTTAGGTCAACTTAGAAGGACATATTGAAAGTCAAAATAACAATGAACATCACTAAACCAAATAACAAAGATAATAACAGTACATCTGTTGTGATATCAAAACAAAGTTTACTAACTTGATCACCGTTCGTCAGTCTGGGGTCGTTTTTTGTTGTCAAGTTGGTCAATTGGTAAAGATAACAAAATCAATTGTTGGATTTGATAAGTGTGTAAAATTATAAAATCAGCGTGTGTTTTTACATAATCAAATCGCTTATCACATTCGTGTTGATTTTGCCACTTCATGAGGGAGGGAGGTGTTGTAACCAACCAGGTCAGATTCTGTTTAAGTCTATCATTCCTATTCAGGCAATTTAGATTCCACTTGATGATATGAAGTGCTTCTGATATTAGACGTTCGTTGTAATTTCTGAAGTTTTTCTGGATTATTTCAATTCATTGGGAAATACAAAAACCGTCATTATGATGAATACCATATACCCAATGCCCAATTTTTTTCAAACTGTTAAAAGTGAACTTGGTTTGGAGATATATAACATGCAGTACAATTTCATCTCCTCAGATTGTGTAAGTTACATATCACGAACCTAATCCAGAAAGTAAATCGAATTAGCTGAAACTCCTCGATAATAATGTGACCCGTTGATTGGGAATTAATTGGTCAAATAGATAAGATTACCAATAAACTGGTGGATAGTGACAAGCAGTTGGATCCACAAGGATGTGGGATTTGTCAACTGGACGTATAACGACAGGAGACAAGGGCCGGGAAACAGATCGTTTATTGAGAAAATCAAAAGATATTTATAGATTTTTATGTACATTATTATGGGTTATTGTTAACCGAGAGGTTAAGTTTTCTGATTAGTCGTTTTCTTGCTGAGGGTTATTCTGTCATCTCTTTGTTGCCGTTTCTTAGTTCGTTGATATATCTACGAATCGTATCCACCCACTCTAAGTCTGCTGTGATTGCTTGTCGAGTTACTCAAGGTTAGGCTTTCTTCTTGTTTTTCTCATAACCCCGATTCGGGATGTAAACACTGACATTAATTGTTGTCTACAATTTTGTCTTGCAGACAGTTGTCGCCACAGACGCACTTGCAATCCCCAGTGAGACAGTGATGGTGTTCCTCTCACTGAGGCTCGAACCCAGTGCCCATAGTTTCGAACGCCGAGAGGACTAGTAGAAAACGCTTTGGCATTTGAAACCATAGACACCGGGTTCGAGCCTCAGTGGGAACACCGTCACTTACTGAGGAATGCAGGTGCATCCAGTTGACGAATCCTAAATAGGACGAAATGTACGTTGTCTTCGATTTTACTATTGCTAGTCACCATTCACTAGTTTCATTCAAATTAAATAATCAGGCACTATGAAAGCACCTGTGGCGACTTGAACTGTCGCACATCGGTGCAAAGTTCTATGTCGAAAATAGACAGACAGACAGACAGAAAGCACCTGCACAAGAAGCCGATATTTTGTCGACCTGAAGCTGAGCACTTCGATCCACTCAATCAATCAACAGGAAAGTCCAGATTGAATTCAAAGATTGTTGATAGTTAGGATAGACAAAAAAAATAATTTCCGATAGAAGAATCAACCGAAACAATCGATACTTTATAAGTAATATGATAATTGCATTAGCACTGTTGTACAAAAGTTGTTAGTCTTTATTTTGAATTCTTCATTTTCTATGGACTTTCAATTGTCTTAATTTTATTTTTCTGTAGCGTATTGAATGGTGTTGAACTTCTTCTGGATTGTATACCCGGTGATTCAAATCTGCAAATTTGTAAGTGTACTCTTTATATACTTTAAAATACACTGAACACGTATATATATCTGACTAGTGACAAACTACCCCTGACTCTTCTCAAATATCCTGTGGGTGGGATTGAGTGGAGTTTGAACTCATCGTTAGTCAATGATTCAGAAATCGATACCTTCAGCTTAGTGAACCACAACTCCACTGTAGATCCAGTTAAACAGTGTCGAAGACAACACGCCCACATTATTATTATTTATTGTTATATCCTTTAATTCCTTGAGGAACATAGGGCTTCAGCTGCGCACCTCCATTGCCTTCGGTTCTCTGCCAAAGTTTTCACCCCGCTCCAAGTCTGCCTACATGCTTTCATCTCCTCTTCACATCACCTCCTCCAAGTCACCCTTTCACTGAAGACCAACTCGCCGCTTCCCTTTCGGTCGGGTTCCACTCGAGCGATGGCTTGTCTAGTGATGTCACTTGATGGTTTCCTCAGAGTATGGCCAATCCATCTCCATTTCTTCCTGCCTATTCGTTTCACAATCGGTTCCTGCTGTTTTGGTTCGCTCCCACAGATCCCTGTTGGTAATCTTTTCTGACCGGCCATCTGATTTTTACTTATTTTTATTTTTGATTACAGCTTGACTCCATACCGTATTTTTGGTACAAGTGTGGAATTTTCAGCGTGGATATCGGTAGCCCAAAATTCGCAGGCCGACCATAGATATCAGGTGTGCGTCGGCGTGGGCTTGAACCCGGACCATGTGTATGGTCGGCGAGAGTCCTAACCACTGTGGCACCGACGCACACATCTGATCTTGAGTATTGAGCGAAGACAACTGTTAATGAAGGTCTGAAGTTCGTTTGAGATGCTCTTTATGACGCGCTGGCCAAGTCTCTGATCCGTATAATGAGTAGCACTAACTTCACATTGGAGTTGAAAATCCGGATCTTATTTTTGATTCTGAGTGCTGTTGACCTCCACACAGACTTAAGAGTAATGAAAGCTTGTCTTGCTTTCCGATTCTGGCTTTGATATCCTCGTCAGTTCCGCTTGTAGTTGAAACGATGTTTCCCATGTTGGTAGGCAATGGAGGTTGTTTCTTTCAGGTTCCTCCCATTTATGCTGACTGTCGTCTGTTGTTGTTGATGTTGGCTAGGAATCTTCATCACCTCTGTTTTATCTATGTTCACTTGAAGTCCTATCTTTGATGCTTTTTCTGCCAGCTTGTTGCTTTTCGCTTGCATATATTCCAGTTTTTTGTGGGAAATCAGATATAAATAAATATCATCGGCGAAGTCCAGGTCCTCCAAGTTTTTTGTGTGGGTCCATTTTATGCCTGTTTGCTCATTGGCCGTTGTCTGTCGCATTATTCAATCTACTGAATTTCATAGGACTGATTGTTGTATGAAGAATTTATTATTTTCGATATCTTCATCATTGGGCGATACAGTTATATATGAACAGAATTCCTAGCATTATAAATTACTTAAATTATTCCCAGAATGTTAAGAAAATCAAAACAAGATTTTTCTGAACGTTTCGCCGTGTAAGAATTCCTAGCAGTTAGCAGCTTGACAAAGATATACTATAATCAACCTTTGATTTATAAGGCGATTGAATAACTTTCAAGCACTTGACTCACATGTTTTATGCCGTGATTCAATTATATCTCTTCCGAAACGTGATAAATTATTATCAACAAACCTATGACAATTTGACTGCATTCCTTGATAAACAAACAAACGTTATAATCCCATGTAGGATGGAATGGCTAATGAGAACAGCTACCTGTATAGAAATATACAATCAAGCTACTTAAGTCTGCGAAGGCAGAATCGAACAGAATTCTTCCTGCAGCACTGAAAACAGGAGCAAAGTTTGCAGCGAATATGCTCATACCAGTACTGAAAAAGGTTAGGAAGGGAGAAGGGAAAGGCACCTACGGACTGGAAGAAAGGTTACCTTGTCAAACTAATAAAGAAGAGAGAATTAAGCCTCTGGAAGCACTGTCAAGGAATCATGCTGATGTCTACGCCAACCGAAGTATTACGTCGCGTCATCCTTGAGGAATTGAAAGATGAACTGGATATGAAACTCTGTCCGGAAAGGGAAATCATATGCGGATCTAGTAGCGAACAGATGCATCATCATCGAACAAAACGGAGAATGCCAGTCAAATCCGTATCTGAATTTCGACTTTGAATACACTTGAACCAATATGACCAGGTTTTTAGCATACAGCCTTCAAAATGTACATTATTTCACGGCAAAGTTAAACTTTAGACACCACTAACAACCAATCAGCAAACGACCTTGAACGAACCAATCACATTGAAGAGGCACATGTGATGAATGGAAATGTATATTTATAGATAAAAAAGCTTCAAACATGTAGCACAACGATGAACAAACCCATCAGTTGATTTGGTATAGCTTTTTAAAGTCATGATACCACCACACAAACAAATTCGCTCTTTCCGGAGCAACTGAAATACAGGAAAACACTAACCTCCTCGAATTGCAACACTAGCCTTGTAAGGTCACGCATTAGAAATGAATCAAGCGCTATACAACACTGAACTGTGTTCGTGAACTTCATTGGATAATTCGACATCGTTCGTGAATCTCATTGGATAATTCGCTGATTGGTAGTTAGTGGTGTCGAAAGTTTAACTTCGCCTATTTCACATAGTCATTCAGCAGTTAGTTATGTCTTCATAACAATGACTTCTGGTAAGATAGACGCATGAAGCTCTTATCTATTAAGATAAATACCCATTGCAAAATAGACTCAATTTGTCCAATATCAACTATAGTGAAACCAGATACAGCATATAATATATGTTAGCGTGTGGATTTTCAACTCCAATGTGAAGTCAGTGTTACTATACGGATCAGGGACTTGGCACATCATAAAGAGCACCTCAAACAAACTTCAGACCTTCATTAACAGTTGTCTTCGCCCAATACTCAAGATCAGATAGCCAGTCAGAAAAGATCACCAACAGGGATCTCTGGCAGTGAGTGAGCCAACCAGGAACCGATTGTGAAACAAATAGGCAGGAAGAAATGGAGATGGATTGGCCATACTCTGAGGAAACCATCAAGTGACATCACTAGACAAGCCATCGCTCGAGTGGAACCCGACCGAAAGGGAAGCGGAGATTTGGTTGTCAGTGCAAGGGTGACTTAGAGGAGGAGGTCATGTGAGGAGGAGATGAAAGCACGTGGGGAGACTTGGAGCGGGATGAAGACGTTGGCAGAAAACCGTACGCAATGGAGGTGCGCAGCTGAAGTCCTATGTTCCTCAAGGAATTAAAGGATATAATAATAAACGAAATAACTGAAACAGGAACACTAACAATAAATGATAATTCTACTCATAATAATCGATTATCGAATAGACAGATGTGAATATTGGTTTATTTTGTGAATACGTTACATTTATGGATGTTTGGTTGACTTTTGAACATGTTAGTTTGTGACCTGTTCAAATGAATTGAGATTCCTTACACTGTATGAAAGAAGAGAATTGGTAAGTCAAACCTGATAGGATAGAGATGAAGACCTTATCAATCCCTGCTTGATATCCATTAACTCAACTCGGTCCCACCCCATGGGACAAATTTCTTATGTACTAGTCTTTCAAGCACACACATTGTGAGAGGCGCGGTGATACTGTAACGACAGAAGACGGAAGGGCCAGGCAACAGATCGTTTATTGAGAAAATCAACAGATATATATAGATTTTTATGTACATTATTGTCAGTGGAGAAGCAGTGTCTTCTGATTGGTTGTTTTCTTGCTGAAGGTTATTCTGTACTGCTTGTAGCCGCTTCTCAGAAAGTTAAGTCATATATCTGCGAATCATATTTACATACGTTAAGTTTTCTGTGATTAGTTCATGAGGTCCTCAAAGTTAAGCTTTGTTATTGTGTTTTTTTCTCATGACCCCGATTCAGGACGTAAACACTGACATCAGTTGCTGTCTACAATTTTGGCTTGCAGATAGCTCTCACCACGATACTGCTGAATTGCTTAAACTTAAGTGGGTAAAGCGAAAGACAAACTATAAACTCACTGATCAAAACTCCACCGCTTAGGCCCAATAGTATCTATTTATAAAGACAATGTAAGAGTTTGAAGTATTCATTGCCCCCCTCCAAAACATTTTGTTTTTTTTTTACAAATTTTTCATGTTCTTTTTCTGTTTTCTTTTTGTGTGTATGGTTGCCTTCTTTAGACCTTATGAATTACAAGATATGCAGTTTTATTCTCCACAAATACTTCTGCTATTAGTGTCACGTCGTTCAAAACATTCGAAATCTCAGTACCTTCGATCAACAAAGTCTAATAGCAAAGCTGATGATTTAGACGCAGAAGTCGCTTTATCACGTAAAACAGCCAGCGATTTAATGCATAGTTGGCTTGTAATGGTACCTATTCGTGATATATTGAATACTGCAGTGATGAATACTTCTACTGACAAGGAAGAGGTACTAAAACAGACGGATACAGTAGCTTCCATTGTAAATGAATCAATTCAAACTAATTTGTGAGTATCGCTTGTTGGTGTTGTTTTTAAACTCTATATTATTCCATACAAGGTCAAGAGTCTATTATTATTATTATCATCGATCCCTTGACTTCCGACTGAATTATAAAACTTTAGCAAAATATCTTTATTTCACGCTTTTCCCTGCCAATATTTCTAGTTGGCTCTACGACCACCCATTTCCTCTTTACATAATATGTCCCTCATGTTACCTTGAACTTTTAATTTGTGTGACTTTATGTTTGCGTATCACTCAAGGGTTTTGCCGATTGTGTAGTATCACTTATAAAAGTCTTCTTGGTGTATGTTCCATTCATCTCCATTACACCTACGGTGTGTATGTGTTAGGCTATTGCCTAGGGGTAGTTGATTGGTTCGTTGTCAGAGTCACTTATCGCTTATCCTTTTAGCAGGTCATATGACGTTCAATATGGATCGATGGCAGCTGTTCATGAAAGTCTGCATTGAGAGCTGATTAGTATTGCTCTTCTATAATTCTATATTCATGAAGACCAGAATCGCCCCCAACGGGCTGATCTCTGACGAAATCACAGCACGAATACAGGGGCTCGTTTCTCATTTGCCAGTTTACGCCGACTCTGGCGTAGACGAGATGTTCGACTATCGACCAAAGGGCGGGTGTACTGCTCATCAGTCCGCTCCGTCCTCCTTTATGGTTGTGAGACTTGTCCACTGAGAGTGGAAGACATGAAAAGACTAGCTGGCTGTCTTTGATCATAGGTGCCTGCGCTCTATTTCCCGTGTAAAGTGGCATAATAAGGTGAGCAATATTGAGGTTAGGCGTAGAGTTCTAGGTAAACAGGGGAAATCAATCGACGAGGCTGTGAAATTACATCGACTGAGATGGTTAGGACATGTGTTACGTATGCCTACTCATCGCTTATTCGACGAGCAATGTTAGCGGATATAGGGTCAGGCTGGAAAAAAGCTAGTGGCGGTCAAACAAAAACTTGGCACCAGTCAATGAAATCTGCAACAGTTGGTTTAAGCCACGTAGGAAGGTGTAGACTTCCCGACTGGTTGGGGTCCTCGGGACGGTAAACCCAATGAAGGCTAGAGACAGTTGGTGATATGGCTCAAAATCGTTCCCAGCAGATGCCTGCACTGCTGGTGACTTATAATACCCAGTGGAACTATATGGTTCTTCGTTATTACTATTCTTTTTGCCTTGCATTTCTTTAAACTCTCCTCTCTTGCTTTGTGTGCTACATGGAGAGAGTGTGGCAACTGGAACTGCTGCACATCAGTGCAAGGTTCTATGTTGAAACCAGCTAGCCAGTCAGCGTATGATGAACACGCATTGTTATTCCTCTTCATGATTAAACTTGATTGGTGTATATTTATCAGTGTCTGTTGCTTCCCTGTATATTACAACCATGCTTGGTAAATTTCTTCATCCTCATTGATGACTGTCATGAGTCTATTCAGGAAGTTCTTATCACCTGCACAATTTTTTCTCCATTTCTTTCCAATCCCATTGAAGCATAGATGTTCAAGGCTCATCTCCAAAGTGTCTAGAGCTGTAGTGCTGTCTGTCTGATAAGAGGGTGGGTGGTGGGTTTTCTGGCCTCATGCTCTAACCAACCTTCCCTCTTTACCGGCTACACGAGGTGTTAAAAGTGTTTTTTGGTGTAGTTGTGTTCTCTGAGCTAACTGGATGGTTTATTTGCGAAGCTTTCATCGCCCTACTAGACAACATCTTCAGCACATACACTTCAATTTGTTCAAGTGAACTTTAAGATTTCTCCACGAGTTTATTAGTCATCTCACCTGGCCATGAACGTGATTCGTTGTTCTTTGTGTGTTTTCACACCCTATAGGCTACTTCTATGGGTACGGATTGTTCCCTTGACCTGAAGTTGGAACTGTTGTGTGTGAGTTTTCCTTCTTACCGGCTTGGCAAACTTTGTTTGTGTCGAGCGTATTGGCTGTGAATTGTGAACCCGAGACACCAACGCAGCGTTGTCAAGCATTTTATCAATCGACTACCATCGACACGCCTATATAATTAAATCTATCTATTTTCGCCTACATCCCAATGTAGACCATTATAAATTGTCGGCGTATATTTCATATTCTTCTTCTTAAAATTCGCTTATCTTTCCTTTAGACGAAAAAAGAACATGTCTGAGTTTATAACACGGACAAATGTTGAAGCGCTACCATGGCATGCTATAAAATTAACAACTAATGGTGATCGTTCAATTATTTTTGTTGTAAGTTCATTGATTTTCTTCTATCATATTATTATTATTTTATTTGACTTCACTGGGACGGTTGCAGTGGTGTTTAATTTTTACGGGTGGGGTTCCTAGCCTCACACCCAACCAACCTTCCCTTTTAACCGAATTTACTACTGCCTTGGCAAGGTTTAGGAGTGCTTCGGTGGCGAAGGGTCGAACCTCGGATCACATGCGTGGTTGACGAACGCTCTACCACTGAACTATCAACGCACTTGTGTTATTAATTATCCTTGAATTCATGTTGAGGACCTTCGATGGCTGTTTTCCTCATAATAAGTTCAAATTGCATCCGCTGACCAGTACTAGTTGATGTGAACGGTAACCTACTACTGGTAGTATATACCATTATGCATTCATGGACCCACGGCTGTTTGGTCAACAGGCTCGACTCCCAATCACTGGCTCACTGGTTTGAATCTGACTATACCTACCGAAATTTGATCAGCCGAAGGGTATCAGTAGCCCTTATATTACAGGTATGACTGATTATGAACTAACTTCGACACCTTGATTTGAAGTAGAGGGTTGTCTTATGGGACCACTTCCTAATTGATTGAGTTGACACCTGATCCAAAAACTTCATTCGTATGGTGACTACAGCAAGCTAACACGTCAATCGTTTCGCTCAAAATCTAGAGCGCATTTACTCCATATCTTTAAAATGATAAGAGTTCTCCAACTCTTCTAGACAGACCACCCTCCATATCAACCAGTCTAATAATGTTAGCAGCAAGCACTCGCTTTCCGCTTTTGACTTTATTTTCATGGATGTGATAACAGGTTGTGATAATTTATTTACAATAATTACATAAGACAACCATCGTTTGCCTTCTATCGTTATTAATTTTCACTCTTGGTGGAGGTCTGTCTTCACCTGATCCTGTTTATTTCTAATGAGTCACTTGTTTGTAGTTTCTTTGAAATACAATACTGTCCTTCTAGGTGTAAGCACTGACAAATTGCAGAATCTCCTGAGTAAATTAAGCATGAATCATAGAGTATTTGGCATGTGATGATTCGCCCGCAATTAAATATTAAATGATTCTGCTGGACTGATCTGCTCTGACTTTTAGTTCAAGGATAGATAGCAGATTGGTTGAACCTGTTGATCCTTTCACCGATTTAAGAAGTTGTGCCAACCCCAGTGAACTGATTACTGACGAAGTAACAGCATGGATACAAAAAGCTCGTCTGACATTTCCAGCCTACGTCATCTCTGGCGTACAAGTGACATCTGGCTATCGATTAAAGAGTTATGTGCACTGTGTAACATCCTTCTTTACGACCATAAGAAGTGATCGTTGAATGTGGAATACATTGAAAGATTAACTGTCCTTGCCTGCAGATGCTTGCATCCTATCTGTCGTTTTAAGTGATGTAATATGGTGAGTAATATTGAGATTAGGTGCGGGGTTCTCATCAAATGCAATAGCTAGGACATTCAAACCATCACCTTTTTCATTGATCAGTATTAGCCGATATAAGATTAAGTTGGGATGGAATTAGGAGTCGTCAGTTCAAAACTTGGCATCAATCCATGGTGTGTTTGACTATAGTTTTGATCTGTGTAGGGAGATGTCGACTGCCCATCTGGTTCATCAAAACTCTTAGAATCAGTGACTGGAAATTGTTGATAAGATGCACTCACTCTTTGTAGTCCCCCAGATCCATTCAATTCTCAGTAGTCCCCACCTGATCAGGAGTTCGCAAATGATCTTCGTCTAATGGTCTCAAACTAAATCCTTCTAAATGTCAGACTCTTAATTACAGTTTCCGATGCATAAGGAAGTTAAATGAAGCTGGTATTTCTTATGACCGTTTTAAAATTGATGACAGTGATGTAGAAATCAAGTCTGGTGTTAAATATCCTGGACTAATTCTTTCTTCTGATCTATCCTGATCTTCTCATGTCTTAGCGATTTCTAAAATGTATTTCGTCTCACCTTTTTACATTGAGAAGTTGAGGCACTCAGGCATAACCCATCCCCTGCTCCTCTTACAGTTTGTCAACTCGTGCATCTTACCTATTCTTCTTTACTGATCACCCTCCTACTTATTCTTTCCTGGGTTGCTTAAAAAAGACTATGTCATACTTCGTAGAACTCTGAAGACTATCAGTCAGTAGAGCGAGTGGGGTATCCCACTGGGCCATATCGTTGACTTCGTCATTGATGATAGGCACTTGATGCCATGTAACAAATTTGCTGAAGGCATTTTGTCAGACTCTGATCACAGACTTTACCCACAGCTCCAACCTTGTGTCTTCTCAGGTAAAACAAGAAGTCTTTATAGGAGAATTTACGCACGCACGTCTAAATATAAAAATTCCACTATACCATATTTAGCACGTACTTTATGTGATGAAAATGGTGTCAGGCATGAACTAACTAACTAACTAACCAACCTTCTTTGCACTACTAAATAAACTATTTCTTCCACCCTTACAGTACCAAACTTTATTGTTATTGTATTTCTTATATTTATAATTCTCTCAATCTTTTTTGTTTATTTTCTCATAAGTGTAAACATCATTTAAGCTCTGTAAAAACTGTCCTTCTTTGTTTTTCCCTTCACCATGTTATATCAAGCGAACAGTCGATTCACTATGCTATATACCATGCTAAAATATCCTAACTGAATCGACAACAAACTCACTGTTACTATCATTATATTTATTATTCTCATTTTGTACTTTGGACATTTTTGACTTTATTCCTACCGTAAGTGTGGAAAAACTCCTCTGGTTAATTTTACTTATATTTTAAGTGACTCAGATGCAATACTGTGACAAATGCTGAGAATTCCATTCTCTACTAAAAGGGTACTGCGTGTTGGAATAAAGCAGATTATTATTACTATTAATATTATTATGCTTTCTGCTGCGTATTTGTGTTTATCAAAGTTCTCTTGAATTTTCTCCTCTGTCCTTGTGTACTACTATTTGGAATATCACTAACTCTAAATGTCAAACAGTCAATTTCACCTTTAGGCATAAATCTGACTGACCTAAACAAACTGGTTAGCACTCACGAGGTGTGCATTATAGATGGATAGCACTGAAATAGAAACCAAGTCGAAAATCAAACACCTAGGCGTCATTCTATCTGCTGACCTTCTATATCAAGAAGTTAAGACATTCTGGAATAACCCCCCCCCGACCCTTAATCCTACAATTCGTTAACTCTTCCATCCTGCTTACTATTCTCTATTGTTCCCCCTTAGTTTTCCTGGGCTACTGAAGAAAGACTATGCCTTATTACGCAGGATGCTGAAGGTTGTCAGCAGGGTAAGCTACGTGCCACTTAACCAGCTTGTTAATATTCTGGTTGACAGGCACTTGGACTCATGTGAAAAATGGGCTAAATTCATTCTATCTAACTCGCTCCACCCTCTTCATTCACAACTCTCCCCTCGTATCTATCTCATCGGGAAAACCAGAAGCCTACATAGGAAACTATATGCCCGCACTAGCAAGTACAAAAACTCATCCATACCCTACCTAGCTCGAGTTCTGTGCGATAAAGAAAGCGTTAGGCGTGAAACCCTTAACATATTAAATAGTCAGTAGAACAACTGGATCTCGTCTTTCCAACTCATATCACTTATAGGTACAACGTTTTCTTTCTTTCCTTTCCTTTTCTCTCTCTCTTTTTTTTGTTATGTGCTGCTTTGTTTCTTTCTTCTGCTTACGCCAGTAAATATGCTAGAACCTACTTTTCCAACACCTTCTAACACTCTGTTTAATTTTGGCTTTGCTACCGACATGCTAATAAGTTGTTGTCATAATGAACTGAGATTACCCTTAATCTATGTAGAATTTTATTTATTGTTGATATACTAACTGGATGCAGTACTGTATGTAGTGAAATGCTGAAAATTCCATTCTGTATCACAAGTAATGTTTTGGAATAAAGCAAATTATTATTATTATTATTATTAAGTTTTGCCATGAAACATGGGTCAGGTTGTCATAGAATTGTTCGTTCCAGTTTGTTTGTTTTTTTGTTAAATGTCAGCTGAGCAATCTCTTGTCACTATAAAATGGCGTAGACGCGTGTTTATTTCCATTAAGTTATTTTACAGTTTCGTTGAGTATCATCTCCCCTCTCTATTTTGTTTTTCACATTTAGCTATTTGAAAACTATTCAACTTGTCGTGTTTATCTCATGGAACGACCAGAATCAGATGAAACTATGACTATTGACTATCCTGCCGGTGATGAGAATTCTACAAATCCTGTGGGTGAGGACAATCCTGGCACTACTGCTGGTGGTGGTGGTGGTGGTGGCGGCGGCGGTCGTGGGCCTTCTATTCCTGCTGGTGATGTTGATGTAGCGATGTAGTGTATAGTTCAATGCGTTAACGGATTAGTTTTTTTCGTGTATATAATTATTGTTATTATTGAATAATATGTGCGTGAATTTGTTTCCGTCAGAGTTCTCTTCTTCCTACCATCTATCTGTTATATAATTATTCTTATTCCTTTGTTGTGTGTGTGTGAAGAAACTTTTGTTTTACTTTTATCCGAAATACAAAACTCTAAAGATTTTATGAATAAGTGTTCTGTTTTCAGCTAATATTTATGTGTGATAGTAAACGGGATGTGATCACTTGCTTGTTTGTCTGTTTGTTTGAAATCAGTATGCGAAAATGAAGGGTGCCAGTTTTTGTTGTGGTTGTGTTCTCTGAGTTAACTGGCTGGTTAATTTGCGAAGCTTTCATCACCCTACTAGATGACATCTTCACCTCAGCGCATACTACTTCAATTTGTTGAAGTGAGCTTTTAGATTTCTCCACGAGTTTATTAATCATCTCTCCTGATCGGTGACCACCTGACCTTGAATGTGATTGGTTGTTTTTGTGTGTTTTCACACCTCCTAGGTGGCTACTTGTATTGGAACTGATTGTTTCTGTGACTTGAAGTTTGACCTTTTGTGTGTGAGAGGTTTCTTTCTTATCGGTTGATAAATTTTGTCTATCTCGAAGTGTCTATTGATTAATGATTCACTGGAATGCCAGGTGGGCTTCTAAGAATTCTCTAGCATTCTTGTTGTTTCCTCTGTCTAATATTTGGACATTGATTGTCCCAGTCGAATCGATGTCCGTGGTTGTTTGTACGTAGTGATATGAGGGAGTGGGTATCCACATCAAGTCGACTGGGGCAACCAACGTTCAAATATTAGACAGGAAACACCAAGAATGCTAGACAGAGAATTTTTAGAAACCTCACTGGTATTCCAGTGAATCATCAACCAATAGACTCATAGAGATAGACAAAATTTATCAACCGATAAGAAAGAAACCTCACACACACAAAGGGTCAAAGTTCAAGTCAAAGTAACTATCAGTTCCAATACAAGTTGCTGCCTAGAAGGTATGAAAACACACGAAAACAACCAATCACATTCAAGGTCACCAGGAGAGATGATTAATAAACTCGTGGAGAAATCTAAAAGCTCACTTCAAATTGAAGAATGTGCTGAAGATGTCACCTAGTAGGGTGATGAAGGCTTCGCAAATTAACCATCCAGCTCAGAAAACACAACCACATCAAAAACTGACACCTGAGCTACAAATCTTCTCTATGATATCTTTAGGGTGTCAGTGTTCTATATATATATATATATATATATATATATATATATATATATATATATATATACCCAGGAAGAGGGTGTATTGATCATATCTTCACCCTCCGACAGATTCTAGAACATAGGCATTCCTACCGGCGTCCAACAGTCATTATATTTCTTGACCTAAAGGCAGCATTCGACTCTGTCGATCGGGAAGTTCTCTGGAGATGCTTGGCTGTAAAGGGAATTCCGAGAAAATATATTGCACTGATTGAGGCACTCTACTCGTACTCATACAGCCAGGTGAGGGCTTACGGCGAGCTGTCATCTGAACTGATGACGACTAGTGGTGTCCGTCAAGGATGCCCATTATCTCCTTTTCTATTCAACTTTATCATAGATGTGTTAATGGACTTAACCCTAGGTGACTTCAGTGACTCAGGGATTGACTTGCTACCTGGGAATAATCTCGTTGACTTGGAATATGCAGACGATATAGTCCTTCTAGGCGAAGACGCTGACGAAATGCAGAGTCTTCTAAACACCTTGAGCCGCAATCTACGAATGTTTGGCATGCGATTCGCTCCCGCCAAATGCAAGATGATGTTACAGGACTGGACTACATCGACGCCTAGTTTAAAAATAGGAAGTGAAGTGGTAGAGCACGTTGACCGCTTCACTTATTTGGGAAGTACCATCAGCCCCAACGGGCTGATCTCTGACGAAATCTCAGCACGAATACAAGAGGCTCGTTTCGCATTTGCCAGTTTACGCCGACTCTGGCGTAGACGAGATGTTCGACTATCGACCAAAGGGCGGGTGTACTGCTCATCAGTCCGCTCCGTCCTCCTTTATGGCTGTGAGACCTGGCCACTCAGAGTGGAAGACATGAAAAGACTAGCTGTCTTTGATCATAGGTGCCTGCGTTCTATTTCCCGTGTAAAGTGGCATAATAAGGTGAGCAATATTGAGGTTAGGCGTAGAGTTCTAGGTAAACAGGGGAAATCAATCGACGAAGTCGTGAAGCTACAAAGACTGAGATGGTTGGGACATGTGTTACGTATGCCAAGCCATCGCCTCCCTCGACGAGCTATGTTAGCGGATATAGGGTCAGACTGGAAAATAGCTAGCGGCGGTCAAACAAAAACTTGGCACCAGTCAATGAAATCCACAACGGTTGGTCTAAGCCACTTAGGAACGTGTAGACTTCCCGACTGGTTGGGTCGGGACGGTAAAAATCTATGGTTGGAAACAATTGGTGACATGGCTCAAAACCGTTCTCAGTGGCGCAGATGCATCCACTCCCTGTGACTTATGATGTTCAATGAAACTGTTTTGTATTTCTTTATTACTCCTTTGTCTCACACCTCTGCTCACTGTCTCTATTATGCTTTTCTTGTACTTTCTTCTCTTGCTTCGCGTGCTACACGGAATGTGGCGACTTGAACTTCCGCACATTTGTGCAACGTTCTATGTCGAAAACAGACAGACAGATATATATATATATATATATATATATATATATAAACCCCTTGAGTTCTGAGTGTAGCTCCATTTTTTTCTATCTTTTCCTGTCCTCTTCAGCTTGGACCACAATTGCCCACAGTCTCTCATCTCCTACTCACGCGATCTCCTCTATGTCACCCTCTCACTGACGACCCACTCGTTGCTTCCCAATGGAATTCCACTCGAGCAATGACCTGCATTGCGCGTGATGTCATTGGATGCTCTCCTCATTGACGTATAACCGATCCATCTCCACATTCTCCTGCATATTTGTTGAGCGATCGGCTCTCGGTCGATTTGTTCCCAGCCAGAGTTTCTTGTTACTTATTCTTTCTGGCCATTTGGTTTTCAGTATGGAGCCGACCAGCGAAGTGAGCAGCTGTTGATAAAGGTCTGCAACTAGCTGTTGGAAATCCTTTTCGTGACATGCAGTGCGAATTCCTGGCCCATATAAAAGAAGTGACTGACTAATTGACTTCACATTTGTGTTGGAAATGCGAATCTTGTTCTTTATACCAACTTTTTTTTCCCTTCACGTTCCCCAGTGGAACATAGTGCACCTTCAAGCTAGTGGCTTGAAGTTTCTGTAGTAGTGTTTATTTTACAGGATGGGGTTGCTAGTCCCATGCCCAACCCTTCCTCTTTACCAGCATTATTTCTGGCTTAGCGAGGTAAAGGAGTGCGTCGGTGGCCGGGGATCGCACCCCGGACCATATGCATGGTCGACGAGCGTCCTAACCGCTAGGCCACCGACACACGTATACCAACATAGTGGAGGAGATTTCCAAACTGGTTTTATGTTGACGATGGCGTATCTTGCTTTTCCGATTCTGACTTCTTCATCCGCTTCCCCTGTAGTTGAATTGATACTTCCTAGATAAGTGAAGGTGACCTCATTCAAATCTCTCCTTCTGATGATGATTGTTGTTGTGGTGGTGGTGGTTCGTTGGTTATCTTCATCATCTCCACCTTCTCTATGCTCACCTGAAGTCCTGTCTTCTCCGCCTGCTTCTTCAGCCAGTTTTATGGTTTTCGCCTGCAAGTCTTCGAGTTTGTGTGATATTAGACATATATCATCTGCAAAATCCAGATCTTCTGGAGTCTTCCCTTCGGTGGTCCATATACATGCCTTCACTCGATGCTGGACACTAGATGTTCGGGCTGTGCGACATGGCTATTGCAAATGCTTCTCGAGAAAGGTGGAAGATGGCTAGACAGGTGTAACATATCTTCCAACCATCTGAATCAATGTAACTTCGCAACCTCATTCATTGTTTATCTTACCCTTCTTGCCGAACACTTGATTGATGCCTAACGGCAATATTGCTCATCCTATTAAACCACTTCACACGGGAGATGGAACACAGGCACCTATGATCGAAGACAGATAGCCTTTTCATGTCCTCCATTCTCAATGGCCAAGTCTCACAGCCATAAAGGAGGACGTAGTGGACTGATGAGCAATATACATGCCTTTTGGTCGTTAGCCAGCCGGATATCACGTACACACCAGAGACGGCATAAAGTGGTATATGTGAAACTACCCCGCTGTATCCGTGGTGAGATTTCGTCAGAGATCAGCCCTCTGGGGCTGGCTGATGTAACTTCCCAAATAAGTGCGGCGGTCAACGCGCTCCACCACTTCGCTCCATATTTCTAAGCTAGGAGTCAGTGTACTCCAGTCCTGTAGCATCATCCTACACTTTTGAGAGAGGAGAATCGCATGCCAAGCATTTAAGATTGCTGCACTGCTCACGGTGTTCAAAAGACTCCGAATTTTGTCAGCGTCTTCATCGAGTTGGAAGGACTATATCATCTGCATATTCTAAGTCAACGAGATTATTCCCTGGTCGGTAACAAGTTAATCCTTGAGTTGCTAAAGTCAGTTATGGTTAAGTTCATTAATACATCTATGATGAAATTGAATAGAAATGTGGATAGTGGGCATCCCTGACGGACACCACTAGTTGTCACTACTTCAGATGACAACTTGCCGTAAGATCTCACCTGGTTGTATGAGTTTGAGTAGAGTGAGTTCCTTGGTAAGTGCGATGTATTTTCTCGACATTCCCTTTACGGCCACACATTACCATGATACCTTGAAAAGTTTATTGGACGGAAAAAGTTTCTTATCTTTTATTTTTCACTTAATTGTTTAGAAATACAGAATTCAATAATCCTACTAAGGTTGTTTTCTAGTCATCATTTGTTTTACTTTCATATTTTTCAATGGCGGCCAATTCAAATTTGATAGATTTGAAATGTATGATTTTGTTTTCCATTTTTTTAACATACTTAGTTCATTCATTGTTTCAATATTATTAGTTTCATTGTGTGTATAATTGTTATTTTTGTATTTCAGATTGTTTATCACTGAAAAGAAAGAAGCTTTTCGAAGTTTTACAAGTGTACAAGTCTATTATCATGTTCTGATTCTGTTTTGTTTATCACAGTGAGTATTTCTTTGAAATTAATTCATTTATTATGCAGAGATTATCGATATATATTTTATGATGAGACTACCTGTGATAGTAGGCGTCGGTGGCACAGTGGTAGAATGCTCGCTAACTACACATGTGGTTCGGGTTTTGATCTTCGGCCATCGACGCATGCCTTTCTTTACCTCGCTAAGACTGGTAAGGAGGGAAGGTTGGTTGGGCATATGAGGCTAGCAACCTCATCCCGTAAAAATAAACACCACTGCTACAGACACTTCAAAGCTGTAGTAGCTTGAAGCCACCCTATATTCCACTGGGAACTTAAAGGGGTAAAGTTAAACTTTAAGCACCACTAACTACCAATCAGCGCACGACTTTGAACGCACCAATTACATGAAGGAGGCATTTTTGATTATGGAGCATATATATATATTTATGGAAAAAATGCATAAAGACTGCATAAAACTGTTATATTGGGTACCTTTCCTTCATAGGTGACAAAAAACATCTCCCAGTTTAGCATAGGAGTATCAACTGAAAAGGTATACTACATCCTAAACATATATTCATCTAAATGACTATAAATAACATCTTTTTAGATGTATTATTGGCCCTAATCTTAGTTTTAACCTTTCCCAAAAGCCTTCTATAGAATTGGTGTATGTCCCTGTAGTGAGATACACAAAATCATTAGAATGGTTAACTTTGTTGTGAATTTATCCAAGGGATGACAACGAGTTATAACCTTTACGGTGTGTATTATAGATCTCTGTTTCACAAATCAAGCGGTAATAGGTATTAAGGTAGTTAATTTTCTGTCTACTATCCTCTTGATGAATCCTTTCGGTAGAGAAGTGTCGTATAAGCCAAACGCCTAAATATTATTTACTCGTTCATGACACGTTCTTTAATAAGACAGTTTCACCCAAATATACGACGGCATCTCCTCCCAGTAACTAAGTAAGTCTTTCCATTTTCCATGACACGGTGTCTCTGCTGTCTGTCTGTCTATCTGGATTCAACATAGAACTTGGCACCGAAGTGCACCAGTTCGAGTTGCCACCTTCCAAATAGCACACAGAGGTAGACAAGAAGATGAGTGAAGAGAATCAATACAGTCTGACAAGTATACGAGTGAAACAGAATGGGTAATGGTAGAAAGGAATATGAAAGATTACAGAGACTGAATACATCTGCGCTGTCATTGACAACGATTTTGAGCCATGTCACCTATTGTCTACAGCCATTGATTCCTAAAGTCAGTCCCGAGGGCCCCAACCCGGAAGTCTGCATCTCCCTCTCTGCTGTGCTGATACCCATGAACTCATTGGACCATTCAAGGTCATTCGCTGACTGGTAGCTAGTGGTGCTTAAAGTTTAACTTGGCCCTTAAAGGCATAAAATTAAAAAATTAAATTAAATCTGGGATAGCGATGGATTTTGATTGAGTTGTGTTCTTTGAGGTAGTTTAAGATTTACTTGCGAAGCTTTTGTCGTCCACCTTTTAGACAACATCTTTAGCTCAGGTGTTGGCATGAAATGAACTTATTTGAATTCTTTATGATTGATGATATAATTGTATCCCTTGACAACCTTGGTTGTTATGATTGGATATTCATTTACATCTCTAGTGATCATTTTTATTTCACTTTGAATTAAAGCTCTCTTGTCATGTGATTTATTTTTTCATCAGTCGGTAAATTTCACCTATGGTGATGTCCTTCGTAATTGCTGGCTGATTCATCTGAGTACCACCAGCCTTCAAAAAATCCCCTGACAGTATTTTTGGTGTTTCCTTTGTTTAAAATTTCTATATTATTCCAATCAAATTGGTGTCCATGATTATCTACGCATGCATTGATGTGAAAGAATAGATATCGGGCCTTTTCATCACAGCTCTAATTTGTGTTCTTCGATTCGGATTCTTAAGGGATGCCCACTTCAACCAATGTAGTGTTTATCGCAATTCATACAATTTCTTTTGTAAATGGTCATTGTCTTATTTTTTTCTGTTGGTTCTTTTGAGTCTGCACAGTATCGAATGAAGTGATTGTACTGGCTAGTTGCGTTATATGTCTATCTCAATTGGTCTTGATATTCTTGCAGTTATTCCAGAGATGATATTCTTTATGGATATTGCAGAATGAATTTTCTTGTGGTCTTTAATGATTGTTCCTTGATGGTATTTACGACTTGAGTTTAAACACACTTTTTGATGAAATTCTGTGTGAGTATTCATTCTTTTTGAAGACAGTTAGTAGGTATTTCTCTTCCGTTGTCTTCAACACTGGAGTGCTACAGTGTGTTTGAACTCTTTTGAACAATGTGCGCACATAGTTTCTTTTTGATGTGGTTTTGTTCTCTGAGCTGGATGGTTAGTTTGCGAAGCTTTCATCACCTTACTGGGTGACATCTTCAGCGCATACTTCAAATTGAAGTGAGCTTTTAGGTTTCTCCACGAGTTTATTAATCATTCCTCCTGGTGACCTTGGACGTGATTGGTTGTTTATGTATGTTTTCACACCTTCTAGGTTACTTGTGTTGGAACTGATTGTTTCTGTGACTTGAACTTTGGCCAATCGTGTGTGAAGTTTCTTTCTTATTGGTTGATAAATTTTGTCTATCTCGATGTGTCTATTGATTGATGATTCACTGGAATGCCAAGCTTCTAAAAATTCTCTAGCATTCTTGTTATTTCCTTTGTCTAATATTTGAACGTTGTCCCAGTCGAATTGATGTCCGTGGTTGTCTGTGTGTAGTGAAATGAGGGAGTGTATATCATGTCTTTTGACGGCTAGCTTATGTTCGTGGATACGAAGACGAAGGGGACGTCCACTTTGGCCAATGTAGTGTTTTTCGCAGTTGTTACAGTTTATTTTGTAGATGATGTTGGTTTTGTCTTCTTTCGCTGTTGAGTCTTTTGGTTGACATAGAATTGAGTGCAGCGACTTTGTTGGTTTGTGTACGACGTCAATTCCTAAAGGTTTGAAGAGTCTTGTAGTGATTTCTGAGATATCCTTTATATATGGTAAGGCGATTTTCTTTGTGTTTTCCTTGGTGGCTTTTGTTTTGGTAGGTTGGCTTGGGGGTATATGTCTCTTGATGAAATTCCGTGGATATCCATTCTTTTGGAAGACGTCCATGAGATACTTTTCTTCAATTTTTCTTAAGGTGGGAGTGCTGCAGTGAGTCCTTGCTCTCTTGAATAGTGTTTGTATGCAGTTCCTTTTGTGTGCTATTGGGTTGTTGCTGTTGTAATTCAGTATTTGGTCTGTGTGAGTTGATTTCCTATAAACTTGAGTTTCTAATTCTCCTGTAGTTGTTCGCCTGACTAAGACGTCCAAAAATGGTATTTTGTTCTCGGATTCCTCTTCTCTTGTGAATTTGATGTCGTTGAAGACGTTGTTTATTAAGTTGTGAGTTTTGTCTAATTCGTTTCTTTTGATTATTACAAATGTGTCGTCGACGTAGCGTATCCAAATCTTGGGTTTGATCTTTGGTAGAATTATGTTTTCGAGTCTTTGCATCACTGCTTCTGCAATCAAACCTGATATTGGCGATCCCATGGGTGTTCCTTTGACTTGTTCATATATTTGGCCGTTGAATTGGAAGTATGTTGTTAGGCATAGATTTATGCATTCCATCCAGCTTGTGTGTTGCATTTTTGATTGTTGTGGAAGTTGTTCGTCGTTGCTAAGTAATTGCTCCATGGTTTCTTTTGCTAGTTTTTGTCCGATAGAGGTATATAATGCTGTCACGTGAATCATCAATCAATAGACACATCGAGATAGACAAAATTTATCAAACAATAAGAAAGAAACTTCACACACAAAGGGTCAAAGTTCAAGTCAAAGAAACAATCAGTTCCAATACAAGTAACCTAGAAGGTGTGAAAACACACACAAACAATCAATCACATCCAAGGTCACCAGGAGAGATGATTAATAAACTCGTGGAGAGATCTAAAAGCTCACTTCAAATTGAAGTATGCGCTGAAGATGTCACCCAGTAAGGTGATGAAAGCTTCTCAAACTAACCATCCAGCTCAGAGAACAAAACCACATCAAAATCATCCACCTGAGCTACAAATCTTCTCTATCATATATATATATATATATATATATATATATATATAATCTCAATGACCGAACACCAGCTATACTTTCTGTAACTAATGTTCCTACAGTTCCACAAATACCACAAAGATTTTTAGGATAGCGAATAGATTGAAATCGGTTACCATCATAATTTACGATTGTTTTTTTAGATTATGTTGAGGGTCTGTGGGCAAAGTCGTACTCCTGTCGAACACGGATGTATCAGTAATAATGTGTTTCCATCAGATGGCCAGTATACCAGTTATGCTGTCTGTCAACTCTGGCGAGAGAACGAGTTAGAAAAGAAATGTGAGAGTGGAAGACATGAAAAGATTAGCTGTCTTTGATCATATGTGCCCGCATTCTATCTCCCGTGTGAAGTGGTATAACAGGGTGATGAATATTGAGTTTAGGCTTCGGTCGAGTGCTAGGTAGGGAGGGGACATCAGTCGATGAGGCTGTGAAGCTACATCAATTGAGATGGTTAGGACATGTGTTGCGCATGCATGCCTAGTAATCGCCTACCTCGAAGGGCAGTGTTAGCTGACATAGCGTCAGGCTGGAAAAGAGCTAGCGGTGGGCAAAGTCGTACTACCGGCACGGATCCGAAAAGCTCGAGCTGCTTTCGCTGACTTACACCATCTCTGGCGTAGGCGTGACATCCGGTTATCAACCAAGGGACGTGTGTACTGCTCATCAGTTCGCTCCGTCCTTCTCTATGGCTCTGAAACATGGCCAATACGCGTTGAAGACATGAAAAGGTTGACTGCTTTCGATCATAGATGTCTGCGATCTCTGTCTCACGTTAGGTGGTTTCACAAGGTAAGTAATGTTGACGTTAGGCGTAGAGTGTTGGGCAAAGAGGGAAAATCAATCGACGAGGTTATAAAGTTACATAGACTAAGATGGCTAGGTCACGTGGTGCGCATGCCTAACCACCGCCTCCCCGGTTTATAGTGTGAAAAGCGGGGCAAAAAAAAGACAACTATAAGGGGGCCCGGGTGGGCCCGAAGGAGGAAATAGTAATTTTCTTCTCCTTTTTTTTAATATTTTTTCTTGTTTGAGAATGGCATTACACTACCGGCGAACACGGATGTATCAGCAATAAGGTGTTTCCATCAGATGGCCACTATACCAGTTATGCTGTCTCTCAATTCTAGCGAGAGAACTCGTTAGAAAAGGCAGACCCCAAAGGTTATTTTTATCCTACGGTGGTCCGTAGAGCCGGCAGTAAGGAAGTAGTACAGAATCAAACGAAAAAGTCCATCCAGGCTCGTGAATAATCTTCCGTAGGACTACTGTATTGTTTTCTGCGACACCGTATGGTATAACCAGCCGTTACACAACTTCATCAAATTAAAAGTTACAGGATTTTAATCATGAGCTGACATTAGTTAGAGAACCATTGGAAAACCTAAGAGTACTGGACAGCTGTTTCGTCCTAGTTTGGGGCTCTTCATCATTACGCACCCGCCGGGATTCGAACCCAGGACCTTCTGGATACAAGGTGAGCTAGCTCGTAGACCACTAAGCTACTGGGACCCGATCCAGTGGCCCACGAATTCTAACTTCTGCCGATTCACGACATCGTGCGACCCTAGCCAATGCCTTCGGCGAGTATTTCTCCTCACACCCGACCTGCTGCACCCTACTGGTCACGACTTCTCACTAGAACCCTAGGTAACTACCTACCTGAATAGGGCAAGTCGATAGTGAGCATCTCATTGATATTCAAGTGTTGGTTTGTAGACCATTAAGCCACTGAGACCCAATCCAATGGCCAGCGTCCATGAATTCTAACTTCTGCCAATTCACGACATAGCTCAACGAGCTAGCTTGCCTTGTAGGCAGAAGCTCCTGGGTTCGAATCCCGGTAGGTGCGTTCTGATTAAGAGTCTCAAACTGGGACGAAACAGCTGTCCAGTACTCCCAGGTTTTCCAATGGTTCTCTAACTAATGTCAGCTCATGATGAAAATCCTGTAAGCAATCAAATCCCTACAAACCAACACCTGTTTGTTTAAGTACTAACATTGATTTTCTAATTTGAAGATATTCTAATCAAAGTTTATTTTATACAATTTATTTAAAGAAGAAGTGTGATCGGTACACGTTCAATGTTCAATCGTCATCTTCCTTATTGTGATATTATTATTTATTATTATTATGGCTTGTGATATATCTCAAGTATTTACCACGATTGTTTCATCTTTACAACACACAACCTGTAAAAATGTCAGTTCAGAGAAAAATGCTGACAAGACGACATCAAAGACGCCACCATCACCATCAACAGCATCACCGGATTATGAATTCTCATTTCAATCACGTGCTAAAAGTCTTCATTCAAGTTTACAAGTTTTATCGAATTACTTGAAACGAATTCATCAGTTGACATCTGGTACTTTAGGCAATGTGATAAAACAACGTTTACATTCAGAATTAACAGAACATGCTAATTTGCTGATTGATCAGTGTACTGTCCTGTTGACTCAACTGAAAGATTTAATTCCTATTCATAATAGTAATGATGATCATAATAATAATCGAAGTAAAACCATCAAGGAGTCGGCGGCGGCGGCGGCGGCGAATAGTAAAAGTCAACTTATATCACATCGATTAACTGTGCATAAATTGCTAAGCGAAGAGTTAGATTATTTAAAGAAAATAAGAGCTGAGGAAGTGAGTTGACATATTTTTTCCGCTGTTCTTGTTCTTGTTTGAATTGTATTTTAAAGGTGCAGATGTTTACTCCAGTATAAAGAGACAGAGAAGAAATAAATCTTAAAAACTAGCGACTCGTAAGTAGTATGCACCCACCGACAGGATTTGGACCTACAGACTTCCGTTTTGCTCCCTCCAAATGTAAGATGATGTTGCAGGACCGGACTGGACTGGACTACATTAACTCCTAGCTTAGAAATAGGGTGTGAAATGGTAGAGCGTGTTGACTGACGACTTCACTCATTTGAGAAGTTGCAACAGCCAGTGCCAGTGGGGGTTGATCGCTTACGAAACCTTACCACGGATACAGAAGGCTCGTTTCGCATATGTCAGTTTATGCCGTCTCTGACTTAGTAGACGTGATATCCGGCTGGCCGGCTATCGACCAAAGGGTGTGTGTACTGCTCAGCAGTCCGCCCTGTCTTCCTCCTTTATGGCTGTGAGACCTGACCATTGACAGTGGAAGACATGAAAAGGCCGACTAGCTGTCTTCGATCATAGGTGCCTGATGTCAATTCATGATGAAATCCTGCAATCAATCAAATTCCTAAAAACTAACAGTCTGATTTTAATATGCTTTCAAATGTTACATGATGATGTCAGTCGACCGACAGTTCAAGTGTAATTTTCAACTATTGGTTCTGTAGGGATTTTGTTTGATTCGATTGAGGATTTCATCATGAGCTGATATGAAATTAGAGAACCATTGGGAAACCAACTAGGAATACTGGACAGCTGTTTCATCCTAGCTTATGACTCTTCATCAGTACGCACCCACCGAGGTTCGAACTCAGGACCTTCTGGGTACAAGGTGGGCTCAATTTATTCACACACACACTGGCAAAGGAGTAGTGTAATAATGACAAGAGGTTAAAGCGAAAGATCACGTAGTCAAATGAAGGAGAGAGAGAGAGAGAACAAAGGTATCCAGTTATCAGGGTAAGCAAACACTAATGATGGCTGCTTCCTTCTAAACACATAAATTGGGTTTCAGGCATCTAATAGCGATTGCGTCAGCAGCACTTGAGGAGAATTAAGCTATTTTGTCTGCTGATAACTTTAAAGGATATGTCTGGCAATCGCACTAAGCTTTTGTCCCCTTAAAACGTAAGATTTCTTGGTAAATATTCGTTTAGAAAAAATCGAAGGTGTGCCCCTTCTTTCTGTTCTCTCAGTGTAGTTGCTCCCACAGATACATTCAAGCTTCTAAGGGTTGGTTTGCAGGGATTTGATTGTTTTCAAGATTTCATCATGAGCTGACATCGGTTAAGAGAGCCATTGGAAAACCACCGGAGATTACTGGACAGCTGTTTCGTCTCTGTTTGCTACTCCTCAACAGTACTCACCCATTGGTGCTCAAACCTAGGATCTGCTGGTGTCTTAATGATCTACGAGGTCACCTTGTAACCAGAAGATCCTAGTTCTCGACCCTGATGGGTGCATAGTGCTGAGCAGTCCCAAGCTAGACGGACGAAACAGCTGTCCAGTATTCCCTGAGTTTCCAATGTTTCTCTAACCGATGTCAGCTCATGATGAAATCCTGATAAGCAAATAAAGTCTATTTTGTTGTTCAACTGTCTTTTTGTTGTTTTTCTTTTCAGTTGAATCGTCAACAACGTCTTGTAGAATTTTCAGGAAATCTCGCTGCAGGTGTAAGATCAGTTACTGCTGCTGCTGCTGGTTCGACTGATACAAATATTTCTGCTTACTTAAAATCTACAAGTAGTAATCTTGATGATACAACGGTGTTAAGAAGACGACGTGGTCATCAACAAGAGAATGTTGGAATTTCACAACAACAACAACAGCAACAAGAACAAAAGGCATCGCAACAACATCGACATGATCACGGTGATGGTGATGAGGATACAAATTTCACTGACACTGAATTACACACACTTAAAATAGAAAATGATGTCCTATTTGAACATTTAATCCGAGAAAAAGATGAAATACATCAAGTGGCTAAGAAAATTTCTGAAATTGGTTATTTAAATCAAACCTTGACAGAACATTTATCAGAACAATTAGAGGTATACGTTTTTATTGAATTTAATTTTTCTGTCGATATTGATTGAACTGAACGAAGTGTTCAGTCTCAGGTTGATATGTGTTGGCTCCTTGCTCAGATGCTTTAATAATAGTGTCTGGTTATGTTACTTGAAGTCAATTGGTGGATGGTGATTAGCAGTGGGATCTACCAAAATGCATATTTCGTCCTATTTCGGACTCTTCAGCTAACTGGGTGTACCTGCATTCGACAGTGAGTGACGGTGTCCCCATCGGGGGTCCCCAGTGCACATAGATGGCCCAAGTTCGTCTTCAAGTGGACAGCGCTTTGGCGTTTGAAACTATGGGTACTGGTTTTGAGCCCCGATGGGAACAACATCACTGACTAACTCGGGAATGCAGGTATATCCAGTTAGCTGACGAGTCCAAAATAGGACGAAATATGCGTTGTTCTGGATTCCACTGCTAGTTACTTATTAGTTTCCTTATTCTTTTTATTTTATTTTTAAATGATAGTATGCTTGTACTCGTTATTATCTAGGTCATGGGTGATTCTGAGTGCTTGTAGAGTGAGTGGCTTTATTATTGTTGCACACCCCAACTCATTATAGTGGTGTAGTTTGTTGCTATGATGGTTTAATGACAAGTTATTTCTTTTTATTGTTATGTTTATCTACATGAAATTTGGTATTATTTTCTTAAAGACTGCGTTACGTTTGCTTCAATTTTATCAGAAAATTGTAGCTTGATACTGACGTCGGTGGCACAGTGGTTAGGACGCTCGCTGACCATGCACCTGGGCCGGGGTTCGGTTGCCGGTCACCGACGCACTCCTTTATCTCACTAATCCAGAAATAATGCTGGTAAAGACGAAAGGTTGGGTATGAGGCTAGCAACCTCATCCTGTAAAAATAAACACTGCTACAGAAACTTCAAGCGACTAGCTTGAAGCCCTATGTTCCGCTGGGAACTACTATACTGACATCTGTGCAATGTAAGGGATTAAAGGAGATCATAAGTTCAAAAGTTCAATGTGTATTATTGAATTTTCATGGGAAATCATGTTGGTATCATTTTGCCGTTTGCGTCGGTGGCACAGCGGTTAGGACGCTCGCCAACCATGCACATGGTCCGAGATTCGATCCCTTGCCGACCCACACCTGATATCTATGGTCGGCCTGCAAAATTTGGGCTACTGATATCCATGCTGAAAATTCCATACTTGTACCAAAAGTACGGTATGGAATCAAGCTGTAATCAAAAATGAAAATTTTAAAAAGAATAAATAGTTAGTAACTAGTGTAGTGTACGTGTACTTCTTTGTTTTGCTGAGGACTGAATTATTCTATCAGTCTATCAGTTTACAATGGGGCCACCAACGAGCTGGATGTCTTACTATCATCACGATGCACTTAGAATTGGTGATATTAGATGGGTTGAAGGCAATCGGGACAAAGCCTTGCTTCACCTAAGTTTCGTGCCACACTCACCAACCACAAAGGCGTATCTGCACTTTTGAAAGAGCTCATGTCCCTTCTGAGATCCGAACCCGCGTCTCCTTCATATCATCCTCAAACTCACGGCCCAACTCATTGTTTCACATTTACGTTCCACTCGATCGATGGCCTGCGTTGCGCGCGATGTCATTCGACAGTCTCCTGAGCGTGTGCTCAATCCATTGTCATTTTCTTCTACATTTTTATTGATTAATAAGTCCTTAGTTGGTTTTTTCCCAGAATTTCTTGTTGCTTGCTACCTCTCTCCGGTCAGTCACCCAGTCAGCCATCTGATCTTCACTATGGGGCCAGAGTGAAGGGAGTTGTTGGTAAAAGTTTGCAGCCGCCTGCTGTAAATGCTTCCTGTGACGCGCGGTGTAAGTTTCTCACCCACATGGAAGAGCGGACTGACTTAACTTTGGTGTTGAAAGTTCGAATCTTGTTCTTGATGCTGAATGTGAGTGCAGAAGACTTCTTAATTGATTTCACAGTGATGAAGGTCTGTCCCACCTTTTGCGATTCTGGTTTTAACCTCATCATCCGTGTCTCTACTGTCTGTCTGTAGTTGGAAACGATGCTGTTTAGGTTAGATAAGTGAAATTTCTTCCTGTTAATAGTGATTGGTGCTGGCTGTTCTTGTTGTTGTTGTTGTTGTTGCTGTTGGTCGGTGATTAATCTTCATTACCTCTACTTTCTGTATGTTCACTTGAAATCCTGTCTTTGTTGCCTAATCTAATCCTTCTGCCAGTTTGTTGGTTTTCGCTTTTAAGTCTTCGAGTTTACATGACATTAGACATAAATGGATCCACGCGCAAAATCCAGATCTTTTAGAGTCTTCTTATCGGTGGTTTAACGTATGTCCGCCTTCTCGCTTCCATGCACAGTCTTCCACAAAAACCGGTCCACCACAAATAAAAAATATCATCAATGGTAGCAGCAGACTGACAGCCTTGTCTTAGTCCTGTAACCAAATCAAATTATGCCTTCTTTTCTCTGAATTCGTATAACAAGTTCCAGCAAGATTGAAAGGTAGATTTACTGTGTGAATAATGGATTAATCGGAGTCATTAAAACCTGTATAGGCGGGAAAGCTTGACCAGTCAAGTGGTCTTTTTGAGGGGAAGAGGGGAATGCGGATTTCTGGGTAGACCAAAGAATAAAATCATAAATATAAGTGGATCTCAGAACATCAAGATATATAGTCATTTTTTCGGCAGTTTTATAACTTATTTTGCTCTTTAATCCTCATCGGTAGCTCAAAATCAGTGTTTAGATCGATCGGTATGGCTGCTGTAGTTCATTAACCTCGTTCATTTAATGTTCTATATGAGCATTTAAGGTGCAACATACATTGACTTTAGTGGATTGATTTCATACACGACTGAAACTATAGAAGGTAAATTGTACATTATTTTGGTTTTGTTATTAGTTTCCACTCATTGATGAAATGATTATTGTGTTCTGAAAGATTCCAACCTGTTATTTGGTACTGTGATCACTACACTGTGTGGACAACAACTAACCGACTGTAAGACTGGCTACCCTTAGATCTAGTGATTTGTCACTAGAAGATGTGCGTCGGTGGCACAGCGGTTATGACTCTCGGCGATCACCCACATGGTCCGGGGTTCGATCCCCTGCCGACGCACCCCTGGTATCTATGGTTGGCCTACAAAATTTGGGCTACCGATATATCACATGCTGAAAATTCCATACCTGTACCAAAAATGCGGTGCGGAATAAAGCTGTAATCAAAAATAAAATAAATAAAAAAATAATAAATATTATTTTTGAAGTAAATTTGTGGATGGTGACTAGCCGGGGGAATCTACCAGTGTGCACATTTCGTCCCATTTCAGACTCATCAACTGTAGGTGTACTAGTATTCCCCAGTGTGTAAGCGGTGGTGTTCTCCCAAATGAGGCTTAAACCTACCACGTACTCTAGACTCCTGGATAGATTGGTCTATTTGGATAACTCTTTGGCATTTGAAACCATGGGTACACTAGGTTTGAGTCTCAGTCAAGGGAACACCACTACTTACTCACTAGGGAATACTGATACATCCACAGTTGACGAGTCTCAAATAGGACGAAATGCCCACCCTGGTAGATTCCACTGCTAGTTACCCACCCACCCACCAATTGAATTCAAGTTAAATAACCAGACATCATCGAAGCATCCTGCACAAGGAGTCGACATGTCAAGGTGAGACCGAGCATTTCGGTTCAATCAGTCAATGAGAAAGTCCAAATGGAAATAAAATAATATTATATTTTCTTTTCCTTAATAATTTTAATATGCTTAATAATCCATAAAATTTACTAATACTCAGGACTATGGATCATATTAGTGACTAATCAAATTATTAGTTAAATTTTAAAGTGAAAGAAGGGCATATCTACGATTTTCTGAACATGTACCAAAAAACTTACGTCTAAAGGGAACAAATGCTTTAAACAGTGCCATCTCCAGGCATCTCCTTGACACGGGTCATGAGGTGGACGTCGAAAAGTCGTTCAAAATTATCAATAAGCAAAATAGCTCAATTCTCCTTAAGTTTGCTGAAGCCATTTCCATCAAGCGCCTGAAACCTGATTTATGCGTCCAGAAAGAAGCGGTTATCAGTCTTCCTTTGCCCTGCCTGGTAACTGGATAATTTCACCTCTCTTTCCTCCGAATGTGAAATGCTAAAAGTTTCCATTGTGTTTGATTATTATTGTTCGGAATAGTGGTTAATATTGCATATTTATATATGTATATATTTTTAGTGTATGCGTATATTGATCGATTGATTTTTGTTTAAACTGAACTCTGTGCAAGTATGTTAAAATTGTTGTTGTAGATATATTTAATAATGTCTTTGCCATGTAAGCAGCTGACGAGAAGGCAACGAAATAAAAGATGGTACCATTTTATTCTGCTAAAACTGTAGTTCTTGCTTTGTTCAAATTCTACATAGTCAGTATGCTCGAACTGGACTAGGTTTCAGCATGGAACTTTGCACAAAAGTTCAAGTCACCATATTCTATATATCACAATAAGGTATGGAGAAGTGAAATATACGGAGGGAAGAATACTCACATGGCGATTAAAAAGAAGTGTAATATAAGTAGGCTTGTCCAAGAGGAAAGAATAGTAAGTAGTGTGGAAAAAAATCGAGATTTAATAGAAATGGAAAATTACAAAGAGTGAATGCATCTACGCCATTAAGAAAGATTTTTGATCCATATCACCATCAGTCTCAAATCATTGCTTCTTAGCATCCCTAGGTCCTCAACCAGATAGTAGTAGTCTGCACCTCTCTAACTAACTCTGGCTCATTCCATTATAGATAAGATTTTATTTTGATAAATCGCACAGTGTTTACAGTAATGTTTACTGATGACGTTTCGAGCACAATTTATTGCTCATAATCATATCAAGGTAATCACACGACTTCCTAAATTCATTTATATAGTTCCATTGTTTTTCTCTTGATTTTCACTTGATTTGATTGGCAATAGTATTTTCCATATTTCAGGTATGAGTGACGAGTCATTCCTATTGCATGTGTTGGGTGTAGACTCGATGAACAAGGATTCAGTAATCAACCTCTCTCTCCACCTACCTAGATTACTTTTTAGAATTTTAACCCTCTCCCACCCTATTGTGTGGTTGTGTGTTAACGCATGCATTGCGATTGCTGAGCTTTTTTCTAAATTATTTATCTTCTCGGGGTCAACCATTCTTACCTTAGCTAAATTTTTATGCTCTGACAATCTGACTACCCCTGACCTACTAGTTTGACCTATGTAGTTGACCTCACAGTCATTGCATGGTATTTTGTAAATAATATTATTTTGTCTAATTGGGTCAACTGGGTCCTTTAACCTACAGAGCTTGTCCCTGAGTGAGTTTGTAGGTTTAAATGCCACCCTAATTCCTATTTTATTCAGAATCCTACGTAGTGTCTCCGATGTCCCCTCTTTATATGGTATAACTGTGAAAATCAAGAGAAAAACAATGGAACTATATAAATGAATTTAGGAAGTCGTGTGATTACCTTGATATGATTATGAGCAATAAATTGTGCTCGAAACGTCATCAGTAAACATTACTGTAAACACTGTGCGATTTATCAAAATAAATTTATTAAAGATTACTCCCAGCCATTTTATATTATATAACTCTGGCTCAAACTGACTGTCAAGCATTTCATAGATTAATGTCTGGTTTTGATTTAACCACCTGTAAATCTTTCCTAACCTTAACCTATGTCAGGTAAAATTGCTTGTACGAAGGAGACATTGACTTGGTATGTGTAACACGTATCCTAGCAGTTTCGATCTAAGCAAATTCACCACCTTGTAGATTGACTTGTCCTCCTTACCCAACACTCTCTTTGCCGAACCCCCCAGTATTACTAACCGTATTATACGATTTAACACAGGAGAGAGAAACCAGAAATTCTGTGATCAAAGAGAACTAACCTCTTAGAGTCCTCCATTTTCAATGGCCTTGTCTCATAACCATAAAGAAAGACTGAGAGAACTGGTAAGCTGTACACGGATTTGATCGATAATCGGGTATGATGTCTACTCCAGAGATATGTAAGTTGGTAAATCCCACACAAACTTTTTATATCCATGATGAGATTTCGTTATCAAGACATTTGATAAGAATTTAAAACAGTACCAATTTGTACAACTCTTTGAATATGTATAGTAGTAACTTAAATATTCTCATAGTGTATTCAGAACAAAATAGTTAGAGCGAACAATTGTGCTTTCAATAAATTTCTTGGTCTTATTGTATGTAGGCCATGATAAACATAGTGGTTGAACATTTTTCTTCTGTATACAAAGAGTCGATCTTCTGGTATCGATTGCGATCGCATCAGCTACTGTACGCAAGTGAACGTGTACCTGTATAGTTGAGTAAAGATGTAACCAAATGCGTAAATAGTGCAGTCTTAACTCGCTTAGTAGACAGTCGATAAAATTTGACCAGGTGTTCTTAGTTATTTACCGCATTCCTGGTAATCTATGTAGAGAAGCTTGACTCCGTCTTCTATCAATAGCTGAAGCGGTTCTAATCAGTACCACGAGTTCGATTCTTTGTATACAGAAGAAGTATGTTCAACCTTTATGTTTTCCTTGGCATGCAATAAGGCCGACAAATCCTCCCTAAACATTAGCACTTTAAATTCCCATCACAATTTTTCTTTCTTTTCCTTTGTTTCATTGACAAACGTTCATTTCTGACCTTTTACGACCTTATGGGTGCTCTTATGATTTCCATTACCTTAGGTTTAAGTAGTACTTTTCTAACTTCTTATCATATTTACAAAATCCTGTTGATTTTACTTCACTAAATTTATTATTATTATTTGACAATCATTCACCAATAGTACTTTTAAGTTTACACCACATCATCGTTATTATTTCACAGTCACTCTTGTTGTCGTTATTTTCATTCTTGAACTTACGGCTACTCCACCCCATATTCGTTGGTTTATTTTCTGTAGTATTCAGATTGTCTCACACACCCTGATTACACTCACCCTGGAAACCTGTATTTTCTGTTGACTATATTTATATATATATACACACATCATTAAATTAAATTGTTTCATCTCACTCATCTATCTCAACTTCATCGACTTTGAAAAGGCCTTCGACAGCGTTGATTGAGAGGTCATTTGGCAACTACTTCGCTACTACGGGGTGCCATCGACAATTATACATCTCATTCAACAGTTATACGACAATGCTGAATGCCAAGTAATCCACAACGGGAAATTTACGGAAGCTTTCGAAGTGAGGACCGGAGTGAGGCAAGCTTGCTGTCTACTATCCCCAATGATCTTCCTGATCACAGTAGATTGGATTATGCGACAGACAACGGCCAATAAGGAAACAAGCATAAAATGGACCCACACAAAAACTTGGAGGATCTGGACTTCGCCGATGTGATATATAACCTTCTTTCATCTAGAAAAAATTCTCCATCCTCTTATCTATTTTTTTTTTTTTTTTTTTTTTTAAATTTTTTTTTTTTTTTTTTTATATGTCTGATTTCCCACAAACTGGAAGATATGCAAGTGAAAATCAATAAGCTGGTTGAAGAAGCATCCAGAGAAGATAGGACTTCAGGTGAACATAGAGAAAACAGATGTGTTGATGAAGATTCCTGGCCAACAGCAACCACAACAACGGACAACAATCAGCCTGCATAAATGGGAAGAACCTGAAAGAAACAACCTCTTTTATCTGCCTACCTGGGAAGCATCGTTTCAACTACAGGCGAACGTAACTGACGAGGATATCAAAGCCAGAATCGGAAAAGCAAGACAAGCTTTCATTACTCTTAAGTCTGTGTGGAGGTCAACAGCACTCAGAATCAAAAATAAGATCCGGATTTTCAACTCCAATGTGAAGTCAGTCAGTGCTACTCACTATACGAATCAGAGAGCATCTCAAACGAACTTCAGACCTTCATTAACAGTTGTCTTCGCTCAATACTCAAGATCAGATGGCCAGAAAAGATCAGCAACAGGGATCTCTGGCAATCGCTGAACCAACCAGGAACTGATTGTGAAACAAATAGGCAGGAATAAATGGAGGTGGATTGGCCATACTCTGAGGAAACCATCAAGTGACATCACTAGACAAGCCATTGCTCGAGTGGAACCCGACCGAAAGGGAAGCGGTGAGTTGGTCGTCAGTGCAAGGGTGGGTGACTTGGAGGAGGTGATGTGAAGAGGAGATGAAAGCATGTGGGCAGACTTGGAGCGGGGTGAAAACTTTGGCAGAGAACCGAAGGCAATGGAGGTGCGCAGCTGAAGCCCTATGTTCCTCTAGGAATTAAAGGATATAATAATAATATATGTGTAAATCTTGGGCACTGTGGTAGTAATTAATTCCATACTTCGAATTGAAGTATGCGCTGAAGATGTCACCCAGTAGGGTGATGAAAGCTTCGCAAATTAATCATCCAGCAGCTCAGAGAACACAACCACATCAAAATACTAGTTTGTTTTCTTAGATGTATCACACACAGTGAGTGAAACAGTATTATTATCCAGTAAATAATACTGTTTCACTCAATGTGTGGTGATATATCTAATATATTATTTCATCTCACTTTATCTCGTGTTCTCATTGACCAATCAATCATATTCAAAACTAACTGAATTATGGTTTCATCCCATCTTACTTATACTTATTCCACTTTCTGATATGACTCTAACTTGCCTTTGGTGGCTGTCTGGCTATTGTATGCTTAAATTAATTAATGGATGTATAACTGTAGAGCAGCCTGAAGAAGAAGAATTTATTGAAAACGATAATTGTTTGCTCTAACTATTTTTTTTCCTGAATATGTATTAGGATTTAAGTTAATTAACAAATAGTTTTGCGTTTGGTCTATTCACATCAGTGTACTTCTTCTTTTGTTTTTTGCGTTTTTTATTATAGAAAATTGAAGAAATCGGTAGTTCATCTGTCACCGCGACAGAGTATATTCGTCAAGGGAATGAACTTCTTTTAGAAGCAATTAATACTAAGGCAACTGTACAATTTTGGATGTTATTCATTCTTATTGTATTAACACTTTCTTTACATTTTCTTGATTGGTTCTATCCATAAGTTGTCTAACTGTGTGTGTGTTCGCGCGCGCGTCTGTTTGTTTGTTTGTTCATAAACTATTTTACAAATACTCTGTGATAAACACTTTGACAATTGGAGATTATACTATAAGTATATTTTGTATAATATGATTTTATTCTAAAAAAATGTCTTTTCTCTTATGAAGTTATTTTGTTGAGAATTTATCAGACAAACTTGTCTTCAACTGTAAGCCTCTTGCATGATGAATATAACTGTTAGAGTAGTCGACTAACAAAGAAGGCTGATGGGACTTTGAACGGAACAGTGTGCATAGAAATTTAGACAAAGAAATAAGAAGACGTTATTTGTCTGAATCTTGTGTGTAATGTATTTGCGTACAACGCATTTTGAACAATCTGATCCATCACACACGGACTTGTCATAGGAATATGTATGAAATTAATAAAGAGTTAAGAGGTGAGAAAATAGACCACTTAGGTCAAGTTAAAAGGACACATTGAAGGTCAGTATAAAAATGAAGGTGTCAGCCAACTCTCATAAACTGTTAATGTCCAGCTCTTACTACGCTGGACCTCACGCTGTCCTTGGAAGACTCCCGCGAAAAATATGGAGGAGTTGGGTTTGAGCAAACAACCATGAATTGGTCGTTCAATCTTCAACTACATTGACAGCATTGTTTAGTGCTTTATCTTTACAGATTTTATGCCGCTTCAGTGCTAATTTTACGTATGCCTACCGAATATTTGTTCCCTGCATAGTTTTCGATCGTCATTTATAAAACTTGCTCAGTTACTCACACATGCGTTTGTTTCATGTATTTCGACGCTCGATTCAACTCACATCTTTCAGTATCTCCACTTGTGTTTTTAATACAATGCTGTTCGTATTTGGCCATAGACAGCTTCCGGCATATGTGAAAACGTGAATGTGTTATAGTATATAAATCGGATTTACTTACAGTACGCCAGGGATACTACTCATGTCAACTATTATTGCTTGCTAACTAGAATTTGATGATCTAAATGTTGGGTGGCAGCTTCACTCTTCTGGGAGTGGACTCATCTACAGTGTGCACATTCTCACTGAAATTAGCTGAGATCACTCCAATTCTGGCTAGCTACTTGGGTGGACTGGCAAAATATTTGATGGAAACTGCATCACACTGATTCGTACACTCACATATCGGTGACGATGGGAAGAACTCAGTTATGTACGTGGCAGCCCTGATATTTTCATGAAACATTGCAACACGAACGACAGCTGCTTTAACACCTCTTACAGAAACTAGCATGACCACAACAGCTTCACATGGTACTCATCGCACAAACACTTGCCTGTCAAATATCGTTTGTCACTGCCATCGCTTTTCACTTATTTTTCTTACTCCTAGTAACAGTGACGTATGCAGGCTTTATGCGTTAGTCCTTCAGCTCCGCGGCTTGTGGGACCTCAGACTGAGACTAAAATACCTTTTCACTCTCAATCGTGAATATCATAACTAATACTTGTCCACGTCAGGATTGGATACTTTTCCATTTGTATCAACCCAATATCAGCTCAGGCCTTCCTGGGATACCCATTCTTATGTCATGACTTCAATTTTGGCATCACCCTGTCTCTTCATAAACGGGGAAGACTTGAAACGACTTAACAAGTATGACGAAATTTTAACGGGATTTTCGCAATGCGACAAAATAGAAGAAAAACAAGCGAACCCGGGTGACGATCTCAACTCGCACGGTACTCTACGGATATACACAGACATTGTACTTAATTTCGTGGGACATGTATTGATACACTACTCCTAAGGAACTGCAGTACCTACGAGAGTAAGCCTGCAATCCCTCTTCAGCTGACAATTTTACGTTTGAAATTCATCAGGGTTTCTATTCTCTGACCATCCACACATGTCTATATTTTCAACTCCAAGTACATATGTGACTGTTAAGTTTGTAACAAACTTGTTCAGCAAAGTGACAGTAATGTGTTATGTACTCGTCGCTAAATTATTGTTATGGACTGGTCGAGAAACTAATAGTCCTGACGCGAGAAGGCGGAAATCAGAAGACCACTAGGTTTGCGATGATACTTCTATTGTCCAAACACAAGGAGACGAAAATAAATGGTCTCACACCAAAGTGGTAAGCAAGTCAAGTAGTTGTAAAGTAAAGTAGTTCACACAAATTGTGAATGCGAATATATATAAATAATTCAGACAAGCGTGGGAAAAATCATTAGACAGTCTTAACATGAATGGCTAATTATAATGGAGTGTCGATCCAATTATACATAGCGAATATAGCAGACATGCCAACAAACATATATGGATATATGTCACCAAGCAACGGACTGTCAACAAACACTCATATTATATATAATATAATATAAGGAGAATACACATTATTAAAGGAGACAAGTCCATACAAGTGAAGTGGTCACAGACTAACCGAGCAAACAGAAAGAGAGACCAACATGCACACACACACATAAATATATATATGTGGATACATATCACCTCCCCTTTTGAGAAGATGGATGATTAGTAGGATGTTTACCTGGGGGTTTATCTGGGACCTTTGGGCTTGTTGTTGACGCCTGTCGTTTCGTCTGATTGTTGGGTTTGCGGCTTCGGCTCCGTCCGGAATTGTCTAGCATTTTATGCTTCTTCACTGTATTGCGTAGAGAATTTAGTGGGACATCAGCCAGATGCAAACGATCGAACCAATCAAGTCCCAAAACATTTAAATCATTCTTCGTGACGTAACAAATTCCTGTGAATTTGGTATTGCGGAAGGAAACAGAACATTTGAGTTCACCAATTAGTTTGAGCCGCCCACCACAGGCGCTGAGAAGAGACTGGGAAGTATTGGTGATAGGTGGTCTGCCAATATAATTCCAAAGTTTCTCTGATATAACAGTAATATCAGAGGCAGTATCTAGCTGCAGACGAGTATCATGACCATTCATCTGAAGGTCAATATATTTCCGCATAGCTGGTGTTGTGACTTGACAGGTTGCACGTAGACTCAGTGATCTTTTTGGAGATTTAGGACCGACATTTTGTTGAGCTTTTGCTGGATTATGATATCTGAGTTGGCGTGGCTGACAAAACCCATTTTTATGACCGATGATTTTGCACTTGCTGCAACGATGATTTTTGTATGGGCAAGACTTTACAAAGTGCCACGCGCCACAATGCCAGCATGGTGATGGTGGGGTCTTCTTTGCAGTATTTTGTGAAGTTGGACGAGTATGTGTAGATTTCCGCGGAAATAGGAGAAGTAGGTGGGTCAGGAGTAGCTGATGAGAGATTTTTGCTCTTGCGTAATGCACGAATATCAGAGCTTCTCGGAGGTGTTGATTCGACCAAGTGTGTGTCTTTCTGCAGATTAATCAGCCGTTGATATTCATCAGCTATGTCATGTAATGTTAACTTGGGATTTTGTTCTAGCTGATTGAGCAGTCGAGTTCGGATATCTGTGAAACGAGGAGATTGGAGACTGCATATGAGAATCAAGGCTTTGAACTGATCATCTGTTAAGGACCTGAGTCGAAATCTCTCACATTCTCGGTTGACTGTGCCAACGTGAGTAAGAAAATCATCATTTTCATTCATTGCCAGCTTGAGGCAACGATAACGTATACTGAATAATGAGGAGTGGTCTCCGAAATGTTCACGCAGCAACTTTATTGTATCATCGAAACAATTGTCACGTGGTTTCTGTGGTAAAATTAGGTTGCAGTACCGTTCATATTCTGCCGGACCCAATTTACGTAGCAAAACTCGCACCTTCCAGGCATCGTCTTGTGAGGCGAGATCAACAGTGAATAAATCCTCATAACGTTGATACCATGTGTCAAAAGTGACATTAGCCTCTGGGTCATAATTGAACTGTGAAATGCTGTTCACAATTCCGTCGACAGATGGTAGCATGGTATGATTGGGATTGCTTGAAGGTGGAGCTGGACCAGTCTGTTGGTTGACGAACATTTCCATTAATTTCATTTGTCGTTCAAACAATAATTCCAATTTAATAGGATCCATAGTAAATTGTTATGTTGTTGCTGCTGTGTGGTTAATAGTAGTTTTCCCCGTCGCCAAATTGTTATGTACTAGTTTCCCCGTCGCCAAATTGTTATGTACTCGTCGCTGAATTATTGTTATGGACTGGTCGAGAAACTAATAGTCCTGACGCGAGAAGGCGGAAATCAGAAGACCACTAGGTTTGCGATGATACTTCTATTGTCCAAACACAAGGAGACGAAAATAAATGGTCTCACACCAAAGTGGTAAGTAAGTAAAGTAGTTGTAAAGTAAAGTAGTTCACACAAATTGTGAATGCGAATATATATAAATAATTCAGACAAGCGTGGGAAAAATCATTAGACAGTCTTAACATGAATGGCTAATTATAATGGAGTGTCGATCCAATTATACATAGCGAATATAGCAGACATGCCAACAAACATATATGGATATATGTCACCAAGCAACGGACTGTCAACAAACACTCATATTATATATAATATAATATAAGGAGAATACACATTATTAAAGGAGACAAGTCCATACAAGTGAAGTGGTCACAGACTAACCGAGCAAACAGAAAGAGAGACCAACATGCACACACACATAAATATATATATATGTGGATACATATCAAATGAGAATAATATTAAAATGGTAGATGCAGATTAAACAGCCTTTCATTCATTTAAGTCTGTCCAACAGCTACCTTTAACTTAAGGACGCACAGTCCCCTTATCCAACCTATGTAGCTACAAGTGGCCAGTGCCTCTCAAAGACTCCTGAAATTTTCACTACCTTTCTCTAGGAACGTTCAATTCGGTCTACCGGGTTTATACAACACTACAATTAAGGCTATTAACGAAGACTTAAGGACGAGACGGGCAGCCAAGTAGAGACTATATCTTCTCCATGATTTGTATGATCTTTTTTCTCTACTGAATAATGAGTGTCCTTCTGCGTATTTGAGTAGATTGCCCTCGCTTCACCTGCCCACCATCGGCGCTAATAAAAATATACGTTCAAAACCAACTGCGGTCTTCTGTCACTATACGCGATATCGGTCGGCAATTTCACGTCCATTTTTACGTAGCGAGTTATCAAAAGTC